GTCAAAAATACCCCTATGGGATAGACTTCTTATTTTACCATATATACTATTTTCTTTCATTAAATTACATTTAAATTTTAAAGTAAGTGGCATTTTAACTCATAACCAAATGTTTCTAGTAACAAGAAATTCTACTTTAAAATAAAAAAATTTTAAACAAAATTATTTAAATTTAATGAAATGCAAATTATTTTAATTTAATCAAAGTATTAATTTTTTAAAAATGAATAATTATAAAATTTATTTAGATTATTTTTCCTTTATTTAATAGTCAAAATTGATTTTAATTTAGATTTGACTTTTATTTAATAAATTAGATAAATATAAATGGTACTACAGCTGGCTTAGAAGAAAATTAATGGTACACAATAGAGGATTTGTTATATGGATTAATGTTACCTAGTGGTAATGATGCAGCAATTTGTCTAGCTGAAAATTTTGGATGCCTTTTATATTTTGAAAGTATTGGATAAAGTAAATTGTTTTCAGAAATACAAAGTGTTGATGTGAGAGATGACCAATATGTTTCTGATTATCAAAGATACTTTTTAAAAGAAATGAATAAAATTGCTATGTAATTTCTTTTGAGGTGCACTCAGTTTTCAAACCCTCATGGATTAGCAAATAAACTTAATAAATCTAACTGTAATGACTTAGCTAAACTCACTTATAAAGCTATGAAATGGAGATTGTTTCGAAAGATAGTTCAGACCAAGACTTACCTATCTAAATATAAAATTATAAATGACCAAACCTAAGATGTTACTTATGGCACTAATTTTTGGAAAAATACTAATAAGCTATTAGATTAAGGTTACTTAGGAGTAAAGACAGGTATTACAACTTCAGCTGGGTCATGCTTAAGCTCTTTTTATTCAAATTATGTTCCTTCATTATAAAAAAATATTTCAGTAATTGTAATTGTTTTAGGAGGATACAAATCTGATGATCGATTTGACGATACTTAGTCTATTATTGATTGGTATATTAAAACATTAGAGGAGTAGTAAAAGTCTAATAAAATTTGATTATATTATTATAAACATTTAAAAAAATTATAAGCATATCTTTGTAAATATATATATTCTTTATTTAATTTTAATATCAAAAAACAGTTCATGGTACCTTTTAGTAATTATTTTTTTAGAATAAAAACTAATAAATCAAAAATTTTTATAAAAAATGGTTAAAAATAATTTCAAAGTAAGGTTAAATATTTGAAAAAGAGTTTATGGGAAATAATTGCTTTAAAAATGTTAAGATAAATTTTGCAAAAATAATTTGAGGAACTTTGTAAAAAAAAAATAAATAAAAAATTAAATTAAGGGTAGATTAATTAAATAATACAAAAAATATTCTGAAAAAGCTTTTCAAATGACTGTAACAAAGAAAGTGGAATAATGATTTAATTATTAATAGTACATGCCACTAAACCATACAATAAATAAATAAATAAGAGTAGACTGAATATTTTAATATTTGGTTATAAACAGATAGCATGTAAACAAATAAATAAATAAATATTAAATTTCAGAAAACGCTTTTTTTATAATTTTTTGGTAAATAAAATAATTTTTATTGAAAATGAAATGCTATTTTTAAGGCTATGCTTAAAATTAACATTAAAAAAATATTGTGATTGATTAAAATTCATTTTGCTTTACTCGCAATTTAAAAATCAAAACTGAAGTAAGTTAAGCTTTAAGGCTGTAAATTATTTAAATTACTAGGGTAATTAAACAAAGCGTAATCAATAACTTTCCTTTTTTTCAAGGATTAGTTGTATCATTTAACCAAGGGTGGGTTATTATTTAAAGTGTATTAAATCTTTCTGATGGGTTATGACATAGCATATTTTCTAGTAAATCTTTTAAATGTTCAATTCCATAATTTTACTGCCTTTCTTTTTCTTCCTTTTCAAACTCATTTAAGATGTCTTTAAAGTTCATCCAAAATGATACGTAAGAGCTTTTATTGTCAAGGTACTAAAATATTTCATCTTCAAAAAATGCTCCTTCTTGAGTCTTATAAGGCAAAACGCTAAAGATCATTACGAATATACTCATACCAAAGGCAAAAACATCAGTTTTAACTTCATCTATATAACAATTATTCAATATGTTTGTGAGTATTTTTTTATTATTAATTGCAACATTGTTATTAACTATTTGTATGAGCTCTGGCGCCATGTACTCCCTGCATCTATACTTCCATTTATTATATAAATCTGAAGAATAAATTAAAGTTTTTTCTATCTATTTTGCATATCCAAAATCTGCTAGTTTAAAAAGATTTTTATCAAACATTATTATATTTTCTGGTTTAATATCATTGTGAGATACATGTAATTCAGTGTGGAGATAATGCAAGGCTAGAGCTACTTGTTTGGCACAATTCCTTACTTCATTTAAATCATAATTCTTCAACTAGGTATGGTCTTACCTAAAAGTACGATCATACATATCACAAAGACCTTTTTCTAATGTAAAATAGCAGCTCTTACTTTCACTTTTCAGTTCACTTGTGAGCTTAATAATATGAGGATGAGAAATTTAAGATAGAAAATAATACTCATTCTCCAGTAAGTAGCATTATTTTGTATGGCAATCTAACTATTTATGAACCATTTCCTTCAAAAAGCAAGTTATTTATTCTGCATTTTAGAGTTAATTATTTTAAAAAGAAGTTTAAATTTGTTATGTTTCTTATAGAATTAATTATTGCTAGTTATCATTAACAGATGTCTTAGAATTTAGTATTTTCTTTTGTAGGATTTTTTATATTTTTGAGTCTTATTACTTTTAAAAGATAGTATTTTACGAATAATCGTAGGATATATTTAACATATTTCAGCAAAATAAATGCTTGTTAGTTAGATGATAATTAATTATTATAGAATTAAAATAATGGTAGGTAGGTATGTATGTATGAAAATTTTTAGTTTATTTATATTTAAATTAAATTTTTTCTACTAATTAATTGTTTTTTTTAGTATTTTATTGATTTAATTTGATTATTAATATTATTCTTACTTTTATTATTAAATTGTGCAGTAAAAATTAATAGAATCAAATTAATCATTTAATTATGAAAAGTGTGTAATTAATTCTTTAGAAATTAATCATTTGTCGTAATTTTACTGATAAATAACACAAAATTTACTTTATATAACATTTTTTAATAAAATAGACAATATTTTGATTGGTATTAAAATATTAGTTATACTTAAATATCACCAAAATTTCTTTCTCAAAAAATATTAATCATTAAAAATCTAACAAACTATTTACTTTATTTGTTTAAAATTTCTAAAAATAAACTAAAATATTACAATTTTATTTAATTTAAGAATTAGTTTTAATTAGAGATAATTTATCTGTAAAAATATTTTAATTTTAGAAAATTTATTATTTAAATAATTTACTATAAATTTTTTAATATTTATTTTTAATTTAAATAAAAATTAATAAACAAATTTTTTTAGATTATATAAAATTTTAACTTAAAAATAAATTTAATAAATATTTAATTATAATCAAAGAATTATTATAAAATATTGAATAGCAAAATCAATCTAAAGTGAATTAGATTTTTTTATTAAACTTCTTTTGTAAACATACAGAAAATCAAATAAAACAGGTGCCTTAGAATTATAAATTTATTAAAACTAACAAATATTATCTATTTATATTTTAATGAAGAATAATATTTTTTTAAAATAAAAATAAAAATCTAAGTTAAATTAAATTAAATAGAGTTTTCGATATTATAAATTTTTAATATTTATTTTTAATTGAAATAAAAATAAATAAACACATTTTTTTATGCTCAACTTTCAGCTTTAGAAATAAGGATAATCTTAATATGTATTATGGGAGGAATATGAAACTATGCTGCTTGATCTATTAAATTTTAATGAAAAATTAAAGAGTATTTTTTAGATTATATAAAATTTTAACTTAAAAATAAATTTAATAAAAATAAAATATTTAATTAAAATCAAAGAATAATTAAAAAATATTGAATAGCAAAATCAATCTAAAGTGAATTAGATTTTTTTTTTATTAAGCTTCTTTTGTAAACATACAGAAAATTAAATAGTACAGGTACCTTAGAATTATAAATTTATTAAAACTAACAAATATTATCAATTTATATTTTAATGACGAATAATATTTTTTAAAAATCAAAATAAAAGTTTGGGTTAAAATCTATTAAATAGATTTTTCGATATATTGTTGATCAATCATTTTTAAATTTAACAAATCTAAATTAAATTTAAGCATTATTTAAATACAATGAATATATTTCTAAATTCGATAAATTGAAAGTAACAAAAATTAGTTCATTAATATTGTATCTTAAATTATAGATAACTATTGTAACTAAGTTAAAAAGAGTTGACGAAGTTTTTATGTTACCAGTAAATAATTTGATTTTATGGGATAGATAATTCTATTTTGATATTCATTTATTTAATTCATGTTTTATTAAAATCCAAAACATTTCACATTTGAGTATTTCTTGATTAAGTTTTAATAATATTAAGTAAAACAAAAAATTGTAAGATTAACTTATACTAAAGATAAATAAATTGCTTATCTTTTTTAATCTATCTTAGTACTAATAACATAAAAACAATTATACTTGAATTATGAATTTTTCAGGCTTAAGTGAAGAAGAAATCCAACAAATTTAATAGGTAAGCAGATATTTGCCTAAGCCATTTATTTATTTAAACTTTTTTTATTTTAATGTAGAAACAATTAGCGATTATATAGAATTCTGCTGCTAAAAGAAGTGAAAAAGATGTTTAGCTTTTAATGTATGCAACAGAAAACATTTCATTTTTTAAAAGCTATAGTAATGATCCTTCCTTTAAATATATTCATAAGTAATGTTGTATGAGCATGGAATATGAATTCGTTAAAAAAGGTGACTGGGTTTTTGAAATAGGTAACATCGTTTTTATATAAGAATAGTTTTAAATGTTTTTTATATTTAGATAGTATAGGAGAGAAATTTTATCTCATCTTAAAAGGATCTGTATCTGTATGGATCTATCCACCTGGAGAGGCTATCAAAAATAAGGATAATCTTATTTAAGCAAAATAATTAAGATACGGAGAGAGTTTCGGTGAGCTCTCATTGATCAGTAAAAAACCTAGACTTGCATCTATTAAAGCAGACGAAGATTGTCACTTTGCAATACTTGAAGCTCAACCCTTTAAGTAGATTTTATAGGATTCTGAAAATGAAAAACTTTTAAAAGAAATGGGTTTTTTTGCTGATTTACCTCTATTCCAAACTTGGAATTTCAATCTAATAAAACAAATATATTTGAATTCCATAAAAAAATAGTATAAAAGAGGAGAGAGAGTATTTAGCTAGGGAGATAATCCTGATAAAATTTTCATTGTCAGCAGTGGATAGTATACTGTAATAAAAATAAATATGAAAGACTTATTAATAGATTTTTCATTAAAAAATATAGATATTTAAAGAAATTGGTATTGACTGTATAGGAGATGAAAAATACATCATGAAACCAGAAGATGAGCTATTTAAATAGCTCGAAGGAAATAATTTAAAATTGAATCGTCCTCCACAAAAAAAGCTCCATTAAGTAAATAAATTTTAATAGAAATATACATAGAACTTAATAATAAACTTTTTGGTCTATTTTATATTTTTGTTTATTTATATTTAAAATGAGATTAAAAAAAAGTAATATTCATCCATTATAAATAAATAAATAATTAGATTATTAATTTAGCAGCTCATGAGTTATTTGGAGAAGAAGATATTTTAAACAAAGAATCTCACAGAACATTTACTGTAGTTTGCTAAGAAGAAGGGCTTTTATTAGAAATAAGTAAAAATGATCTTATTTAAAGAATATGTTCTCAACGCTGCTCTCATGAATATCTATAAGAAAGACTGAAAATAAAATAAAATTTAATGAAAGAAAGACTAGAAGTTGTTACTGAACAGCTAAAAGTAAACACTTATAACAAATATGAAGATACCTTCTAAAAAATGATTGTGAAAAGCCCATTGAAATAAAAGATCAAAGATATGTTATACAATAATGAAGACTCTTTAAATAATGGTGGAATTTTTCATAGAAAATTTAATTAAGAAGAGCTTAAAAAATACAATAAAAAATTTGATGAAGAGCTAGAAAAAAGAAGATTGGAAGAATAAAAAAAGCCTGAATTTCTCAATTCCTCCGCAAAGCTTTTTATCCATAAGTTGTAATACTAATTTGACTCAAAGTTAGGATCTGATAAAAGAATGAAATAATTGAAAGATCATGTCAAACACAGCAGTGTAATTGAATTAATACCTGCCAATTTGGGAAGTGTTCCAACATTAAGAGAATTAAGAGAAGAATATGAAGAAGAGTTGCCTAAAGTTGTGAATAAAGCAACTCTAAATTATTTCATGAAAAAACTAAATAAAATTAAATAAAAATCTGCAAGCTAGGTGGAAGCTAATTTAATGAGCAATATCAAATCTTTGAATTAAATTCCTTAATAAATTGAAAATATTGATAAAAAACAATACAAAACCTTTTCAAATTTCAAAAGAAATCTTTTAGATGATTCTAATTTCAAAATAGAAGAAGAAACTTTAAAACTACCTAAAAAGTCTTTTGTTGAGCCTACTATCAAGTCTTTAAATTTTTTATAATGTATGTAAGATGATTAAAGCCTATCTAAAAATACCTCTAGAGATTCAATTACAGAGAAGAGTGAACAAAATTTATTTTTAACTGATAACAAGAGTGTAAAAGACCAAAAATAAAATTAAGCCTAAGAATAAAGTTTTCTTGTAAATAGATAAATTAAACAATTCAATTAATATTCCAAATAACATCAAAATATAATTAAACTCTTAAATGAGACTTAAGCCTAATAACCAGATATTTAGCAATCAGACAATTCATAAAGAAATTCACGAAAACTATCTGCATAATCAATAATCTTAGATGATGACAGTCAAAAAATACTTTTCAATTAATAACTTGATTATGCTCATATTGCAAAAGTTAGAGCAACAAAATCCTCTTCTTAATTATAAAGAGCTAAAAAAACCTAATTTTAATTTAATCTGAGACCTAATTTTAGCTTTAAAAAAAATTAATATTTTTTAAGTTCAGCTTAATCTACAAGAAATAAAAACTCTGATAATAATTTAATACATACTATATCCTACTAAACCCCATCTTTGATCAATTAAAACATAAGTAATTCACCACTTTAATTACCTATTAAAAATAACTCACTAAAAATCACAGAAGAATTACAAAAATCTACATAAAAGGAATAGCTTAAAGATAACTCTTCTATCTTTCAGTAAAAAGATAGTAAAAAATTCCAATTAAATTCTTTTTCTACTAAATTTTTATAAAATAAATAATAAATTCAATCAGATAATAATTTAAATTAAAAACCTATTACTAACTTTATAATTACTAACTCAAACAAAAAAATACAAAATAATCTTTCTACTAGCCCAAACAAAAAGAAAAGAATAATTTATATTTGAAATAATTAATTAATTAATTAAATAACTAATTATTTATCATATATTAATAATGTTACTACATTTACTTGCACTGTGCTAAAAATTATTTTAATATAAATAATCATTTTTTATTTCTTTTAAAAAAATCTAATTCATTAAAAAAATAGTAAAATTTAATAAATAGCTAAAAATACTTTCCAGCATATTATTTGATATGAAAAAAATACAAAAAAAGCTAAATAAATACTTTAAAATTAAATAAAATGTTAAATAAAATTCTTTTAAACTTTATTACATATATACTGTAAATCTTCATTAGGGGAACGGATGAGTGGTAGGTTTAATAAAATGTAAATTCAACTAGCTTCTCCATTTATATGGAGAAAATATACTTTTGTACTTGTATTAATTTATCAAGATTTAAGGTATTTGGCGCGCGCCTAAAAAAATTATATCAGAATTATTAGGCATAATATATTTGGATTTCTAAATGATATGAGATTGAGTGGTATTTAATCAAAAGCGTGAAATTTTACAAGGAAATTATTCCAATTCTTTTAATAAAATTTTACTAATTTTCATCTAATTTAAGACAGGAGCAGGAGCTTCTTAAAAAATCATAAGAATAATTTATTTTTATAAAATAGTATCTTAAAATTAAAGATATCTAACTTAAATTAAAAAATTGGCTTTTAAAAACTGAAATATTATTAAAAATGGATATTCCTTTAAGAGATTAACTAATAATTGCACTTTAACAAAATAAAAATTCAGTGTAATTTTTGAGTATTTTTAATTCTATTCCTAAATAAGATTTGATTGAAATGCTATCAGACATTTTACTTCATGAATAATCGTTTCCAGCAGCGATAGTTATGTTTGACATTATCGAACTATTAGATGATTTTTAAAAAAAGCTATAATGTGAAGTAATCTTTCTAAAATTGATGTCAAACTTTAAAGAATGCAAATAAGATAACATACAAACTCATGCTGAAATTATAGGAGCCCTATTGAGAAGATTTAATAAACATTTATCAATAACATAACAAGATTTGTTTTCATTTCTACTTGCTTAGTAAAGAGAAAAATAGATTAAAGGATTAATTTTAATTAAAGAAATAACAAGTCTTAGACAGGGATTCAAATATTTAGTCTCTAATTCTGATTATTTATCCATATTATTATATAAAGCAGGATAAGCTAATATACATTTCGAAATAGAGTTAATAGATGCCTTAATAAATAAATGGGAGAAAAGTAAATAGAATGATAAGATTAAATCTGTTAAATAAAAATAAAAAGATGATTTTGATATAAATTTGTTACTAACTTGCTGCTTGATTTAATCACAGAAAGCTATGAATAATAAATAAAAAAAGATGGTATATCCCCTAGTAATAACATAGATTAACGCAGATAAATACCTCGAAGAAGATAAATACTTATTATATCATTATCTGTATTTCCTAAAGAGCTGTGACAAAAATTTTATTTAGAAAAGAGAGAAATTTGTATTCTAAAAGTTAAATAAATTATTAAAAATGTTTGAAATAGAATAATTTAATATAACAAGAGAAGACATTGAAATCTAAGGAAATAGTTCTGAAGAGAAAAAATAGGAATTTTAATTATATTAATCTAATATAAATAACTCTATTAATTTGTTTCTGATATTTGCAAATGAGGTTATTTAGAATAAATTTACTAAAACATTTATTCCAGAAATGGTTAATTGCATGTTTTCATTATGCGAACACTTAGATATAAAAAGCAAAGAAAGTTAAGTTAACACTTAATTATTAGATTTTAAATGGATAGTAGAGTACATAACTTTATCTGAGAAAAAATTATTAATTAATGAAATAGTTTTCTAAAAAATATAAAATAACATAAAAGCTGTTGGAGAAGGAAATCTTAATAAAGAAATTTCTAATCAAGTCGATTACTCGCAAGAAGAAGTTAGGGTATTAATAGGAACATATAATATGTTATTTTTCTGGATTTTTAATAATTTAAGCTATATTCGTTAAATTGAGTCAATTTTTTGCAAATTTTTGGGATGCCACTTAAAAAATCCATATCTTAAGTATAATGCTATCAAATGCTTATATTCATTATTTGAATAAGCTTTTTATTTAATATGTTATAATCATGAATACTTTATGGAAAATTTAATTGATATATTTTAAAATATAAAAGATTTTTCTAGCAACAACTCTTAATTAGTAGTTTAAATTTTTGAAATTATATTCTAAAAATATAATAAAAACGCCTCCTTTTTGCTGTAGTATGTCCCAAGAGTATATTAAATATGTTTGGAAATTTATCCATTAATTTGCCAGGATAATTCTTGTTCAGATTGTTTTTAGAATATCGAATCTATTATTTGTAGTATTCTTTAAATTGATGAAGTAGAGTATTATATTTCAAAATATTTATAACTCTCTAAAGAAACATTTTTAAGATACTCAAATACTGAGTTAGATTAAAGTCTAAAAACCTTGAGTTAAAACCAGGAATTTAGTCAATAAGATTTCAATTTATCTTGTTTGAGTGGTTTAGCTAATATGGTTTTAAAGTCTTAATGCTTCAAAGATGAAGATTTAGTAGCTAATATAAAGAGTTTACTTAGAACTTTTGCTAATCAAATATATTAAGGAAAGTATGATAACTTTATGAAAATAAGAGCATAAATTTATGATTTTATCTAAAATATAAAATTAAAGTTACTAAATGATAATAGCTTTATTGATGAGTTATTTTTAAAACTGTTTCCTAGATTAATAACTGATTTAGATATAAATACAAATTTTATTGTAAAAAAAAAAAATATAGACTCAGAGCATGAACAAGAGGACTAGGAAGAGGAAGAACATGATTAATTAGAGTTTGTCGTACTTGACATACCATTAGTTAATTATAAACTTAAATCTATATAACTGTTAGGACATTTTATAAATTAATGCCCTAAAATTGTTATAGAGAATAAAAAATTTGAAATTATGACTAAAATAATGAAAACTTTAATGAATGAAAGAGAAGAATATACAGTGATTCATTTCAATTTCAAAAATTTAGCAAAAATGTTTAAATGTGTGAGAAGCTATTATCTTCAATATTTACCAGATTTATATCTAAACAATAATGAAGCTGTATCTGAAGAAAATAAGTTTTTATCTGAAGAAGCCAAAGTTGAATATGCTCCTTTATTTGATTTTATGCTAGAATAAATCTGTTCAATTGAATAGCTTAACTATGAATCAGAAATCGAAGATCTAAGTTATTTAATATACAAAATTTTAAAATGTACTGATAATCCTACAAAAAGAACATTCTTCTAACAAATATTTCAAGCAATCAAATATTTTATGAAAAAAACAAAGCATATTTTAAATACTTAAATTATTGAGTGGAGTTTGGCTGGATTAAAATTAATATATAAGGCATTTCCTAGTTAGCTACAAAATAATTTTTTACCAATTTGGAAATCTTTGGTTTCATCATTAAATTAGCAAAAAGCTCCTCTAAATGACTCAGACGAGGATAGTAATGATTATAATGGAGATAATGATGGTGACCATAGCTATTCATCAGAATAGTAAATGGAAATATAAGAAAATTCAGAATAGTTAGAATAGGGGTCAATAAATGGGAGTGATAATTCATATATAAGTTTAGAAGAAGATGAAGAAGGAGTAAATTAAATTAGTAATGAAGAAAGTCAAAGTCAATCAAACTTATAAAATGAAGAAAATAAAACTTAAGATCAGTACATTTTTAAAATGTTAAAAATTGACATTACAAAAATAGATATATAATTAGTATCTGAAATAATAGGTAGTGTTGCTAGTTTTGTGAAATATGATAAATGTGTCTATCCTATCATCTCTGATTTGATAAATGAAATAATACTAAATAAAAAGTATATTAAGATAGAGATGGTTTAAAGAAATACTTTTTATTATTTAAATAAAATTACTAGATACTGTTTTGATAGTATTTAGCCTGATTTATTTAAAAAGTTTTATGAAATAGTTAAAAATACTGCTGAATCTTATCAAGGATACACTGATTTAAATAAAAAAGATATAATTGAAAATATTTATATAACATATGCTTTCATGACTGTCAAATTAGTAGAGAACAAACTACCTTTAGAATATACAAAAAGTGATTATAATTGTTTTAATAAGCTTTTTTCTTTGGTCCCTTTTGAAGGAGATTATACTGAAATGTAAAGAGTTATTAAAATATGTAATTTTTTGTTGGAAAAAAATTCTTCAATTATTGAATAAAATTTGTACAATATTACATTGTCTGTCATATATATAATTTATGACCCTTCAAAATATCATGTCAAAAGTTCAAAGGAGCAGTTTTATTCTGAATTTTATGATAAAATAGTGGTTAAATTCCCATAAGCTAAATCTATTGCTAAGAGTATTATTGATTTAAATAAGGGTAATGTTTTTAATTAAAAATAATAAATACTATCAAAATTAAAAATTATTTGATAAATTTGCTTGTTTGTTTGTTTGTTTGCTTGTTTCACTAACTAATTTATAATATAATTTTAGGATTATTTTTTTTATTTAAAAATTATTTAAATTCTCTTCAATTAAAATTATAAACTTTATTTTTCATTTTGATATTAATTAAAAAAAATAGTTTTTTATTGCAAATATCAATCAAAGAATTGAGTAAAAAAATTATTTATATATTGAGAAGTTTATTAAAAACCACTAAAAAATAAAAATGTATCTTTAATCATTTATTTCTGATTTTTATAAATTTAATTTATTAAATTCAAGAATAAGATCAAATTAATTTCTCTTATTTTAAAAACTTAAATAATTTTATTAATTAATTAAGAATATGTAAAAGTTTTTTATGTAAATTTTTTCTATCAAAAATAATTAAAAACTGTTAATTTTTCAATGCTTTTAAACTTTAATTTCAAAATCATATAAATAAAATTCAAGCTTTAAAGTTTTATTTTAGTACTCTAAATAATTAAAATATAATTTAGTTAATTAGCAATCTTTCTTTATGTTCAATCATAATAGCCTCCATGAAGATTTCTTAAGTGATTATAACATTCATCAGCTGTATTAAATGGAATCATGCATTTTTTATGCCAACATATTGCTTTATGACAATTTCTGCATTCAACCTTATTACAACCATCTATTTTCATAAGAATAGCACCACAAGCTTTATTAGGACAATATCTAGTTTAATTATTTTATAATAAATACATAATTAAATATTAATTTCAATAATTGAAATAATCATTAAAAAAATAAATTAAATTTTAATTTATTTTGTTTTAATTAGAAACTCTTCATATATTAAATAATTTTTACTTATATAATTAAAATTTTACCTTGCATCGGCTTCAAGCATATAATTTTTAAATAGGATATCTATTCCTAGCTAAGCTTCACTGCATGTTAAACCCGGGTGATTTGGTTTTTTACATGGAATACAATAAAATACATTACATATTGGGCATCTATATTTCTGTTAATGAGGATCATAAATATACACACAATTAGGGGTAAAGCAAAATTATGCTGAAGAACCATTTTCTGAAACATATTTATTTAAAGAGAGATTAGTTAGTTTCTACCATTACTATTCACTAAGTAAACGGACTAGATCTTATATGACCATTTCTTATAAGCACTTAGGGCATTTTAGAGGAAATTATTATATATTTGATAAGCAGTCTATTAAATACAAGTTTATACACGGTTAACAAAATTTATGTCTGCATGCCTAATAAAATTAAAATTAAAATTTTGTTATAAACTTAAGAACACAGTTAAAAAAGCTATGCTTATAAATAAGAGTTAAATTTTTACTTGCAACCTATAGGCGACATCCATATCCATTAGACAAATTTCACATTGAGGTGATTGAAATTTCAACTAATTCTTATCACTTTACTTTTCTCCTTTTATATTATTTTGCTCTTTCATTTTGGATAAATTTTACATCATAAATGAAAATTCTTCTCTAAATTTATTGATATTCTACTCTATGCCCTCAACAACAAGTTATCGCTTAGCTTTATTCAAGTAAATTTAATCTATAGAAAATTCTTATTTGATATCTTCAAAGACAAGTAATTTAGAAGCAGCTTTAAATTCCTCTTCATTCAGTTAAATAATGAGTTTTGAATTCATTCCAAGCATATTTTCTATTTTCTATTGAAGCTAACTTAATTACTCCTCATTTAAACCATAGACATATATTATATAATTTCCTTCAGTTGTTACCTATCCACTTACTTTAATATAGCAATTGAAGAGGGTATTCATATCGTTTATGAATAGTTTTCCTTCAGGAGATTACAATTTATTTATACTATACTTTTCTTTTTAAATTATTATCTAGCCTCCTTCAATATAGGTAATAAGTTTCTATTTAAAAGCTTAGAATAAATTAATATCTTTAGCCTTTATTCTTATGACCTCAAACCTTTAACCAACTTCGCTTTCTTAAGCTAAAAATGACACTTTGCATTTTTTTTGCTGAATTGCTAAATTAATTTTCTAGTCCTAAATTAATTATAAATTTTATTTATAAAATATTTTTTGATTATTAAATTTACATTTTCTAGGGCATGCTTAATGTAATTTCTTATAGAGCTATCTATCTGATGGGTATAGTAATAAAAGGGTGATATAAAGCATTTAGTACAACCAATTACATTTTAAGTTTCATGGTATTTCTCAACTACTTTTTTAATATCAGATTCAAGTAAGAGTTGTACTTTTGCTGATTTTTTGGATGTCTCAGCATAGCTATTTAAGTTTAACAACTAACAATTAGGAGTAATATTATTTTTAATGATATATTTAACAAAATTTTCTTGTTTTAAATGATCAGGCTTTTTCTCTCTGTTAATTTAAATTTTAGTAGGCTGTAGCTTACATTTTTTAACTAGATATTCCATCCAATCTACTTCATTGTTAAAGTTTACTCCTCCTTTACAATATTTATATTAAATTGTGGTATTGTCTTTTCTGCTGAAGCTTTTTTCCTTTGAAAGAATTTCCCAAGCTTCTTAACATTTTATTTAATCTTCATATTCTATTAAAGCAGGTCCTTCACATTTTAAATTATACCACTTTATACGTACTCCTATGCACTCATCCGTAAACTTCATTCCGTCAATCATCTAACAATAAAAAAATATGATTATTAAATTGCTTATCATTAAATTTATTATTATACTTATTTATTTTTTAAGTTATTTTAAATTTTTTTAATCTTTATAATATTATTATCCATTTCAGTTTCATCAAAAACATCAATAAAAAAGTTAACATCACTCTAATCTTCTACTGAAATAATATAACAAATTCCTCTTTAACTATTTTATTGCAAACTAATTTCGTCTTTTGGCTTATCAACTGGTTTTATGCTAATAATATCACTATATTCATTAATCCACTCACTTAGCTTTTCCATACTCATACTAACTGGAACGTTATCAATCTAAAATGTGAAGCATTCGTGATTTTTAATAATCCTCTCGATAATACCTCCTATTTTTATTTTTGAATAAATATTATAAAATAAAAGGTAAGTAAAAATTATTGTCATCTGAAAATAAATTTAAAATATTGTATTTTATTTTATTTTATTTAAAAAAATAATAAATTTTTAATGTAAAAATAAAAAACAAATTAAAGGTTAAAGATTTTTAGAGAAATTTCGCCATTTGATTATTCCCAAATTGTCAAATTGTGTATTTTATTTAATTTATTGATGTGCATTAAATGTTTTGTTTTTAATTATTTTAATTTGAGTTATTAAAATATTTAATTTAATTTTATTAAAATACTGGCTTTACGATATTATAATATATTTTTTATTATTTTTATTAAATATTTTGATATTCTAAATATATTTTTAAATAAATTAATACTAAATTACCTTTCTTTAAGCACAACTTAGCATTATTATAATAGTCAAATTCTATTTTTTCATTAATAAGCGAATTTTTAGAGGAATTGAGGATTAGTTCAAATGCTTCAATTTTCTACTCTGGAGTATATTGTTCATCATTCTTGCAAATTATATTACAAACAGTTATTGAATCGAAAATAGGATCTGCTTTAACTATGCAATTATACTACTCTTGAAAAGCATTTATTAATTCTCCTGAATTTACCCAAATAGTATCAAAGAGAAGAGTGCTTATATCGAAGTATTGTTTTCTTTTTATAATTTTAATGATAAAATTTAAGTATTAAAATAAAAATTTACATTTATTCTACTTTAAAGTTTTCAATATATTAAATAATTTTTTGTCTTAATTAATCTGGTATTTCTTAAACATCAACTTTAGTGTAATCTTAAATGAAAATTTCTTCTCCTATTTAAAGCATATAGTGAACTATGATCAAAGTAGGATATTCTGAATATATTTTGAGTGGACTCTGAATCGAAACTTTTAAATATTCACCAGTTTCTACATTCACATAACCCTTTTGCTTATTTCTGAAAAAAAAAATTTAAAAAATGAGAATTTTTAAAATAAAAATTCACCCTGAAAAGACAAATAGAGATTATGGGAATGCTTAGATATACTTTTATATGAGAGATGATATAGGTTCACAAGGGATGCTGATAATATTTGATATTAATGTATTTAAGAACTATTTTTGACACACAATTTGTTATTTTGATTTCTTTTCATCTGCTAATATTTAATTTCTAAAATTTGTAATTGTATATATATTTCCATCTTTAGACCAAATGTGATTTTATAAAAGAGAAAATACTATATTTTTCTCTGCGTCAAAAGACTCTTTATTGATTATTGATTAATTGATTTAAACCAAACTTCTAAGGAAAGTATCTTCTTAGTGCAGATAATTCTTTTAATACAAATCAGAAGATAAAATTTCTTATTCATGAGTAAAATGTAAGTCTCTTTTTTCTTAATTTTCTGAATCTAATCTCAAAAAATGGTTTTGTGATGGAAAAAAATGATCATCTAACTTATATTTTTTGCATAAGTATTTATACAAATTTCCTTCTTTAAGCATCAAAATGGATAAGTCATCAGTATTACTTCTAAATAGATTTTATTTCTAGTAAACTCTTATTAATTAGCAAGGATAATTTTAGGATAAATAAGATTATCTTCTTAGAGCTTCGTTCTTAGAAATAAAAACGATTTATTCTTGATAAGAATCAAATTTATTTGAAAAAAAAGTGTGCTGCTGCATTCCGAAATCAATCGCCATATAACAGTTATCTACAATGTCATTTTAATTTTTAAGAAGATTTAATTGACTTACTATGTATATGTTTGAGTGATCTTGCTATCTTAAAGAAGATTTATCAATTTCTTCGCAATAAATATTCATTTTTTAAATTAAAATTGAATTAACTTGTAATTATTTTCTAATCTTGTAGGAGTGGAAACTGTCTATAGAGAAAATTATAACATTAAATTTGTTGAACTTATTCATTTGCCTTATCTTTCTTTCCATTTAAATAATATCTTCTTCTATTTTTTAAAAGTCTAATTCATACTTGACAACTTATAAATTTATATAACTATTGAAATCATTCAAATAGTAAATATTGTTGTTAATTGTTGAAAATTAGAATGATTTTATCAAGTAATCCGCGTAGCAACTATACTTAAAGCAATAAATTATTACTTTGTTTAATTAAATCTAATTCTTTAACATTAAAGACAATAAGAATAATATCTTAGCTCCTACCTCCTCTGACTTCATGTCAATTATTAACTTTTTAAATAAATAAAAGTAAAATTCATTTTAAATCCAATTTATAAAATTAAAATAATTTATTTCAAATTAATTTTTATTCAATCAAAAAACAAAAAATATTGATGATAATTTATGCTTAAAATGCTGGAAATAAACAATTTAGAGTTAAAATGATTACATTCTAATTCTTAGAGTGAAGAATATTATCAATCTGCTCTAAAGATATATTTTTTTCATTTAAAACCTTAAAGCTGCTTAACTAACCTTTAAATAATTCTAGCTGAGATAATGGATAGACATCAAGAATTAAATAAAATTTAGAACTACATTAAATAAATTCTTAAAGGCTAATTTTTAACTGATCCTAAATTTTCTCGCTAGTTTTTTGTTAATGAATCTTGTAGTAGTAATCTTACAAGGTCTCCTGGGACTGTAGCAGTGTTTTTTAACTCATACTTGGTAATTTTGCTATTAGAATAAATTTATATTAGTTGTGTTTTTTATAATAATAAATAAAAAAGTAGATACTTTTAAGAATATCTTTTTTTGACCAAATAACAATCACAAAAGAATATATTATAAGCCACTTTACAAAAGAATTTTTTATTAAATAATTAGCAAAAAATAACAAAATATAAATAAGTGTTATTCATAAATTAAGTTAAAATAGTTTTTTTAGTAAAATATTAACCCAATAAATAAATCCCTACTTTTTTTTGGATAAAAATATTACTTATAAACAAAAAATATATTACTCTGTAAAAATGTAAAAAGATCATTTTATATTACATTTTTATTTTATTTTATCTAATATTAAATATATATTTAAGTGCATTCTCTTTTTGTATTTTTTGTAAGCATAATTCATTCTTCAAATTTTATAAAGAGAGTTTTCATTAGATAATATAATTAGATGTTATAAATAAGAGAAATTATTTTTATTTTTAAGATTTATATTTTTGTAATATAAAACTATACTTTTCTTTTATTAATTAATATTTTATAATCAATCAGTCAATATTTAAATTAATTATTTTTCATATCTTAGTCCTCAATTAATAATTAAAATTTAAAGAAATTCATTTTATATCAAATTTATTATATTAATTTAATTAATATTTAACAACATCTTATTTTTATTTAAAATATTAAATACAATAAACATCTTTTAAATAAATTTTAAATTTAATATAAAAAACAATTATGATAGATAAATAATTTATTTATTTATTAGAAAAATACTGTTTTCATTTGAATTATTATAAAGAAAGAAGTAGTATTATTTAGTTTTTTTTAAATAATACTTAGATTATAATAAATTATTTGTCACAATCAATCAAATAAGAATAGTAGAAATAACAGAGATGCATATAATAAATTAGAAGTGATTTAATTTCAATCAAAAAATTAATAAAAAAACTTGAAAGAAACAAAATGAATAAACTAATACTTATAGGTATTTATCTATATTTAAATATTTTTACAATAAGTGCTTAATTTGATGGAGCAAGGACAGTGCTTTCTTTAGATCTTTTAAATAAAGTAAAAGATGAAACATACGATGAATTATTTTCAAACTAAAAGTTATCATTTATCATATAACCTTATGAATTAAATGGATTAGCTCGGCTAACAGACACTATAGTAGATATTTCAATCAGAAAGGAAGACATTTAGGTTTAAGGTGATAAAAATTAGCTTGGATTGTTAGTTTAAAGGGCTGATATCTAACTTTCTGCTAATTTAAACGTAGCTTCCTTTAGCTAGAGTCTTAGAATATCTCCTAGCTGCTCTTTTTACCTCCTTTTTTCATTTTATAAAAATGAGGGTAACTAACTTTTACTAGAAAAAATTGATATAGAAGAATTTTATTTGAGTGAAGAAGGAATAAGCTTACCTTTTTACTTCAAGAGCAGTAAGTAATATATTACTAAGCTTTTGTAGTTAGAAATCAAAAACTACTTATAAAGCCATTATATAACTCGTATAGTTGATAATATCAATTAAAAATTAATAGAGATAAACTCTATTGTAGTTATCCCTAACACTCATGTTAAGACTTAAATGAATTTTTAAATTCCAGTAATAAATAAATCATTACTAGCTTTAGAAACAAATTTTTAGTTTTCAGGTGATTAAAATTTGATTAATAAAAGCTAACCCCAATAGCAATCAAAGCTTTTTGAATAGATTGCGTTATTTGAGAACTTTTAGTCAGATTTTACTCTTTAGATTAGTTAAATTTGCATTCAAAATTTAATGGAATCGTTATTTTATCACAAGGATCTTAACTAAGAAGTTAAGTTATCACTAAGTTATTAGAATTAAAAGATATTAAATTTAAATTTATTTTTCCTTGGAATATCAAATCATCTTTTTGAAGACCAATAAATAATTGTCAGCATTACATCAACATCTCCCCCAAAAATAAATCTGATTAAAAACTCTCACATCCAGTTATTTTCAGAACAACTAATAGATTTCAAAGTGAATTTAGAAGGACATGATATTAGTCTGTTCAAATTAAAAACAAATATCAACTTAAAAATATCCCTAAAGTTAGATAAAAAGAATAACATTTCTTTCGCACTTGAGGACTTTAAATTTGAAGACTTTTAATTTTTTGTAAATGAAAAAGAAAAATCATCAATAAAAATTATTTAACCAATAATTGAGTATGAGCTTGGAAATATTTTGAAAAATAAATTATCTAACTAATAAATTATAGTTTCTAACTAATTCTTTAACTTGTAAAATGCTTAATTACAAGTAAATGAAGATTAAATATAAGTATAAGGGAATATATCATTCCAAAAAATAGCATAAATGTGATAAATATAAGTAGAAATAAACTATAATTTATTCGATATTGCAAATAAATAAATAAATAAATAAATAAATAAATAAATAAATAATCTTATTTTTGCTTTTATGTTTTTTTAAAATGTATTCTTCCATTAAATTTATTAAATGAAGGAGTGAAGAAAAATTAAAATATTCAAATTTTTATTCTGTGTGCTTAAAAATATTTATTTTAAAAATAAAAATTAAATTATAAAAAATTTTGGTTGTTTGAAAGTATTAGAAAAAAAACCCAAAGAAATTTGCTATTAAATTTTTTATTTTGTTTTAATTATTTAAAGATTTTTTGATGAAAAAATTTGTTTTAACTTAAAATAAATATTATTTATTTATTTATGAAATTAACCTGCTTGATAATATATGATTAATTTTTTTATTGTTAGACAATAATTATTTTAATAGTTTTTGGTTTGGTTTAAATTGTTTTTTTATATATTTATTTTTCTCTTACATTTTTTTACTGTAGATAGATTTTACTGACTGATTTTAAACGAAAATAATGAAATTATAAAAGAAATTTTCATAGCATCTTGTTTAAATTTTATAGTAGATGAATAAATTTGATTTAATTCATCTAAAATAATAAAAAATTCTAAGTAAAAATATTGTTTAACATAGTTAAATTTTACTCAATTTTTAAATATTTATTGAGATAAAAATTCTTTTAAAATATTTTTTTTCAAATACTGCTGAATTTTCTGTATGCCTAATTATATTTATAATTATAAATATATTGATATCAGACTGGTCTGTATGATAATACTTGTTTGAAAGAGTAATGAAAAATCGATATTTATTTGTCTAATCTAACTAATTAATTTAAACTAGCTATATGTCAGGTTAAATACCACAGAAACCTAAATAATTACGGGGAGAGTCGATTTGATAAAAAGAAATAATCTATGTTACATATTAATTATTTCTTAAACGACTGTATGGTTTAAAATATAAGTTTACACTATCCCTTCTAATAAATAACAACTATCTCTAAATACAGATTGATAATTATTTGCAGATAATAAAAGAGAAAATATCAAGCTTTTAATTCACTTCTTTTGTATAAAAAAATAAAAGTGTAGTATTTTACTATGACTATTAAAAGTATTACCTAATATGTAATGTAAAATAGAATTTCTATCATCATTATATTTGAAAAACTAAAAATAAACCCTGCTTGAATGTTGTAATTAATAGATTTTTTTCTTCTTATTTTTTAAATTTATCCTAAGAAATTTTATTCTTTTTTTTTAAATTATAAAAATAATTATCCCATCATTTTAAACTTCCTAAAATTTTTTTTGATGAATTAATAATTGCGTAGAGCTATGTCTGAAAAAAAAATACTATCTTACGCTTTTGATTATTATTTGTACTATAAATTTTTTGTAAATTTCCTAAAAATTCTTTTGCTATTATGAATTTAATAAGGTTTTGTTCTATAAATTCTAAAAGCATTCAATTGGTTAGTTTTTTAGTAAAAGAAAAACAGAATTTTCATAGAATTTTTTAAAATTCAAAAAGACTAGTAATGATAATTTTAAATATATCATAATAATCCATTATTTAGAAGGTGAATCATTATAACCAGGCAAGAAAAATAAAGATAATATTTTTATAAGTAAATATAGTTGAAGAATTTTTAGATTTGATACATTCAATTTGTGTTTTTTAATTCTCTCTACAAATTATTAGTTTTGATCAAATAAAATCAAAGTTCTTTCTTTATCATCAAAAATAGTACAAACTTAATTATTTTGAGATTATCCTATTAATTTTTAATTTTTCTGAATTAGTTATTTTCTATTAGAATGAGGTACATTCAAATTGATTGCAATAACATTAAATTAAATTCTAAAAATAGAAAATTAAATTAAGTTCAGCTATTAAATAAACAAAAAATGCCTATCTAAAAAAAAGAAATAATCTCAAATATTAAGGTAAGCAAATTTATGTTAATCTGGAGAATCAGATTTTAAGTAAAAATATCGGTAGTAAACATTTATTGAATTAAAAAATATTAATAAAATCTTATTTAGACATGTTTAAGTTATTATGAAATTAAAACCTATACTTTTAATAAAATTTAAAATAAGTAATTTCGTTATGTGTTGATTTCTTTAATTTATTTTTTTATTCATTTAAATAGCCAAAAATGCTTTTCCTATCTAAAAATATTTAACTTAGAGGTAAATTTTTATAGTTAGAAACTTATATTTCTTTATCATAACCGCTTGCGTGGCTTTAAACCAAATGAAAAAAATATGAAATAAAATTCTTTTTTTTTTTGTTATTAGTAGGGAAAAATAACAGAATTTTTATTATATGTTATAAGGTAAATTTATAAATATAATTTATAATACATTCTTGTAATACATTAATTTATTTAATCCTTCTTACAATAATTATACAGTATTGTATATTTTTCTAAAAACTCTAGTCTGATTGATTATACACAGAGGTATAGTAAATCAATCACAAATATAATTTTAAAATTTATATAATTGTTTGTAACATTAAATTTAGGTGCTGAAAGTATATTTTTAGGTTTTTTAATCACAAAAATAGTATTATAGTTTTAAACAACTCAAACAAATAAATTATTTAAATTTTATTAACTCTCATTTACCATTGGAGTATAAATCTGTTTATAATTATAATATGCTTTTAGATTCCTAATTTACTTTCATAAAGTAGGTATTTACTTAATATATTTTTAAATTAATAATTTTTAATATATTTGAGTATTTTTGTATAAATATTTATAGATAAACCAAAAAAAACTATATTATTATACATTATTCAACAAGCGATATCAAAAATATTTCAAAATTTTTATATGAATATCTCAGTTCCTTATCGTTTTTAATGGCACAAAATCATATATGTTTTGCATAAATCTCTTAATTAATTTTATAAAATTAATTAGAGGGTAGGAGATTTTAAACTGAGTTAGAGTGAGTATTAACTAAAATAGCTATCCAGTTTAACTAATTTGGGTAGTATATATATTACTATTTATTTGATTAAAATTTATGTGAAAATTCATAATAAGAAAATATATCGTATTATTGAAAATTCAATTTTTATTATTTGGAAAATCTAAACTAAGTGTTTAGCATTTTTAAAAAATTTTATCTAAGTAAAATAAGAAATAGATTTGCTTTGATGAAAATTTTGATAAATATTATATTAAAAATACAGATTTTGAATAAAAAAAACTTTTCTTACAAAGAGTGAGTAAGTAACTTAGTAGTGTTTTTCTATACAGAATTTAATTAAAAAGATACTTCCCACAATAATTCCTGTACAAGTAAATTACTAGTAATAGGGATAATTTTAATTCAGATTTTTAGAAGAAAGATTAAATTAAAAATCCTAATATGAAAATTATATTTTTGTTTTACAGCTGTCATCCTTTTTTCAAAATAAAGAAATTACACAAGCACATTTTTTAAGGCCTTAGGTAAATTATTACAATGAAAGCTAATTAAAAAATAGTCATTAATTATCACTATATTAAACGCTAGTAGAATAAATTTACATAAAAAATATTGACTTTTAAATGTAAGAATGAAAAATTTAGATGGAGTTTTGTGATTTTTTATTTAATATTTCTGAAAATAAATGAAAAAAATATTTCTAAAGTTTGCCTATAAATCGTGCGAACACTTTTAATATCTCAAAATGTTGTTGACAGAATTTTTCTTATTGAATTAAGTTATTAGACAATATATATGACTTCATTTATATACAAGCAAAGGGGAAATTATATTAAAAAATTCAAGTGAAATTCTAGTAAGTATTATAAATTATTTCAATAATTTGAATGTCATTTTGAATAGATATTCCCCATATAAGTTTTAATTGCACTTAATTTAATTAATACAAGAAGATTTTTTTATTGATTCTAAACTTGCTACATACATTTTATTCAAATTATAGGTCATATTAATATCACCATTCTTTAAAATCTCAAAAATCTAAATTACTAGAAAATCATCAAAATATTAGAACTATGTTCAATTTTATAAAAGAAAATTGCACATGTTTTTTAGCAGCTTTTAAAAATGCAATATAGTCAAATCGCTTTCCACTTTTAGAAGCCTAAATCTTTTATTTATGTTTTTATGGATAACTTGAATTTTAATCGCTTTTTTTACATTTAATTGATTCATTTTGTTTTGCATTGAACTGGCTGTGTTTTCTGTTTATTTCTGAAATTTAGAATAATTAATCGAAGAAAAACTGAAGAATAATATTCCCCGAATAGATTTTAATTATCAAAAAATGAAATAATACCTTAGGAATTGTTATTTTTCAATTATTAACCTGAATGACTAGAAAAAGAACTAATTTAGATTTGTTCACTTTATTAAATCTTTAAATAGTATCAGAAATTTATTGTCCAAATTCATATATAATTTAAAAAAAATAAATATTTTTAAATATTAAAAAATAAAAACAACAAACTTACTTAAATGAGAGTTAGCTCAATTGAGGCTGAAATGGAAAACCCTATTGACGTAGATAAAACAGACGTAGAGGGTGAATTAAAAATTAAATAAGTCACTCTGCTCAGAGAAAATATAGTTAAAAAAATCGTCTTTTTCCTTGTTGCTATTTTTTGCTCCGACAGACCTAGCGTTCTAAAGAAAGTATTTTATGAAGAAGTATCTAAATAAGAAGAAGCCACCCATGTTTATGTTCTTGCTTCAGATTTGACAGATTACATAGAAGAAGCTAGCTTGAAAGAAAACCCCGAAGAAGGAGGAGAAAAGTCTATTTATTTTGTAAACAGGCTCTAAAAGTACATCTACCACAAAAAGCAAAATAAATTTAGAGCTATTGAATACTTTATCTAAGGCAAGTCATACTCTGAAATTGCTAATAATAAACCACTCGCTACAGGCAGAGTTGATCAATTGTAATAAAAATATTTCTATTTTTCTATTTCAATTACTCGTTATTATTTATAATAAAAAAAATACCTTCATTAAGCAAATATAGAACAGAACAGCTTCAACGCTTTTCTTTATTAAATTCGAAATGAACAAAAATTTAATTTTATTTTAAATAAATTAAAAGACTCGCTTACTATGGAAAGAGTGAAATAGAAATCAATGTACCATCTTTCTTAACTTTAATGTGGAGAGAGTTCAAAAAACCTATTAACTTTTTACTTTATTTTGGTATCATAGTTTGGGGTATTGAACAAATGTATGTTTCTACTGCTATTACTGTTGTTTTTACCACAACTATTAATTCTCTTATTTGCATTTATATTCGCGGTGTCATGTAAAAGCTAAAGGATGCCTGTCTTAATAACACTTCTGTCATAGTATAAAGACATAATGGCTAAGGATACTAAGAAATAACAGTAGCATCTAATATGATAGCTCCTGGTGATATAGTTCTCTTCAAAAGAGAAGTTACTCTCCCTTTTGACTGTGTAATTTTGGAAGGCTCTTGCTAAGTTACTGAAGCCAATATTACAGGTAATTAATATTCTTTTAATTTTCATATATCTTATGTTTATTAAATAATTAAATTATTATTTTACAAAATAGGTGAAAACGTTGCAATCGGAAAGTGTCAAATACCTACTGATCATCACAATGATATTTTTAAGTAAAATATTTAATAACTTTAATTCTCAACTAATTATTAAATTAATTTTTCATAATAAAAATAGATATGAATCAAGCAAATCTCACACTCTCTTCTAAGGTACTCAATTGATGAAGATTGAAGATGATATCTTAAAAGTAATTGTTGTAAGAACTGGTTTTGGAAGCTACAAGGGTCAAATTATTAGAGCTTTACTTTATCCCAAGCCTTTCAATAAAAAATTCTAACAATAAGCTGTCAAGTTAACTATTTTAATGGCTACCCTTTTGCTTATCGGTTTCCTTTCTACCCTTTCTAGACTCCTTGATATTGAACTTCCTCCTTTGTTCATAGCTTTTAGATTCTTAGATATTCTCATCTATAGTGCTCCTCCTGGTATGCCTATGCTTATCGCCATTACAAACTTCGTTGGCTTGAAAAGATTAAAAAATAATTAGATTTTAGGATAAGATCCTAACTCTGCAAGTTAAGCTGGTAGAATTTAAACTCTTTGCTTTGATAAGACTGGTACTCTTACTGAAGATAAGGTTGATTTAATTGGTTACCAATTGAAAGGATAGAATCAAACATTCGATAAGATTCAATGCTAAGATCCTAACAATATCTCAATTGAACACAAACTCTTTAGTATTTGCCATGAAGTAACAAAAATTAACAATAAGCTTTTAGGTGATTTAATGGATGTAAAAATGGCTGAATTCAGTACTCTCGATATAGATTACGACCATGAAGCCAAATAACACTACTCTAAATCAGGTAATAAAAGATTCTATTGTATCTAAGTTAACTAATTCCATTCTGAATACCAATCTATGAGTGTTGTTTGCAAGGAAGTTGATATGATCACCAAGGAATTCAAGCATTACTTCTTCATCAAGGGATCTCCTGAAAAGATTCAATCCTTGTCACACGTTTAATCTTCAGAAAAAGCTCAATTAAGTACCTTGATTAATGAAGGATACAGAATTCTTGGATTTGGTTACAAGGAAATTCCTTAAAGTGAAATAGATGCCTTTTTAGATTTAAGCAGAGAATAACAAGAAGCCAATGTTTAATCTCTTGGTTTCCTTATTTATAAGAATAATCTTAAACCTGACACTCAAGAAGTGATCAAAGAATTCAAAGAAGCATGTTACAATATTAAGGTTATCTCTGGTGATAATCCAATCACTACTTTAAAAATATCCTAAGAATTAGAAATCGTCAATAGAAAAAATCCAACAGTTATCATCAACTTTGAGGAAACTGAAAATGTCAAGAGTCATCTTATTATCACTGAAATCTAACCTGATAACTCAACTCAAGTAATTGATTTCAGTTCAGCTCAAAATGAATAAGACTACATTAATAAATAAATGAGTTATTGCTGTGATGCTTTCCTTAATAACAAATCTTTTTGTTTCAGCGGTAAAGCCCATTACTACTTCTAGCTTAAGGCCAAGACTGACCATATTTCATTCAAGCCTGAATGGGTTAAAATGCAAGATAAATCTGTCTAAAAAATAATTTCTTTCTATCAAATGTTGATAATTAACACCAATGTTTTCGCTAGAACTCAACCTGAATAAAAGCAAACTATTGTTAGACTCTTGAAAGAAAGTGACTAAATAGTATGTATGGTTGGTGATGGTGCAAATGACTGCTCCGCTATTCGTGAAGCAGATGTCGGTATTTCTTTTGCTGAAGCTGATGGTTAATTCTCTTCATCCTATGTATCTTTATCAACTTCTCTTTCCTGCGTTAAAAGAGTTTTGTTAGAAGGTAGAGTTAATTTATCTAATAGTGTAGAAATTTTCAAGGGTTACTTACAAGTTGCACTTTTGAGATATTTAGGTTTCTTGACTTTAGCTTACTTCTACTCATCCTACAGTAGTGGTTAAATGGATTGGTAAGCTTTAGCCTCAGGTTACTTCTTAGTTTATTTGATATTAGGTTGCAACACACCCTTAAAGAAGCTCGAAAAGAGTGTTTTCGATGATAACCTTTTCAGCATATATAATGTTACTTCTGTACTTTTTGGATTCACTTTGCATATTTTGTCTATTGTTGGGTGCGTTGAAAGTCTTCATGCTAGTCCCATTTACAAGGAAGTAAACAGCTTAGACGCTGAAAATAACTTCTAATTTGAGACTCAACACAATACTGTTTTGAATTTCAATATTTTGATCAATTTCTTCTATGTGATTATTTCTAACCACATCGGAAAACCTATGAAAGATAGATATTATAAGAACACTATTGCCTATCTTATGATTTGGGGTTAATTTATACATGCAAATGTTATGATTTTTACAAGTTCTGCTTATCCTGGAGCATACACATCATGGGTTGATCTTCCTGATACTACTCTTAGATTAAGAATTTTCTTCATCTCTAACGGTTTAGGTCTACTTCTCCTTGCCTATGAACTTATTTTTGCCAGAAGAATTTTCGTTAAACTTTACACAAGAAGTCAAGAAAGAAAAAGAGCTGCTCATATGTAATAGCTCATCGACCATATTAGAAGTTGATTATAATTTAAGATTAAATTATTTTCAATAAAATTTTTGATTTTTAACTAAAAATGATAGTCAATTAACTACTTTATATTTTACCAAATATTAAAATATATTCATTCTCTAAATATAAATAAATTATAAACTTAGTTACATTTTACATTTACTTTATATTTGTAACTTTTTACTAATTATTTTCATCAAAAAAAAAATTTTATCAATATTTTAAAGTTAATTTAATCTTTATATAAAATATCTTTATTTTTAAAAAAATGACTATCATTAATTACTAAATAGATAATTAATTTTATTTTTTAAAATTTATTTTCTCTATGTTTTATATGTGCTTACTTTATGTATTTACAATATTAGTTAAAAAAAGATATTATTTACAAACTATCCTTAATATTTTATGTTTAAAAATATAGATATTTAAAGATTAATTTATTTTTCATTTTTTAAATTTTTGATTTCATGAGTGCTTTCTATATTCAGCATAATCTCTTTAATTTATTAACTTAAATTTCAAAACACTCAAATCAAAAATAGTGTTTATGATATCAGCAAAATTTAACTTTTTAATGAAATAATATTTCAATTAGCTATATATCTAAAATCAGAAAAATGAATGTATTTATGTATTTTAATAATTTTTTTACTCATAAATTTTTAAACTAATAACTTTAAATTTATTGTCTTATCTTTAAAACTCAAATAAAAAATTGTACTGGAAAAGATTAGTTTAATAACAAAAATATAAATTTCTAATTTTTAAAAATATTTCTCATTCACAAAATTTAGATTTAAAAATTTTGATGTAAAAAAATTATTTATTTTTTGAAATTACAATAAATTAAATTATTAATTATAATTCTATTATAAAATATCAAAATCAGATTTTTTAATAAATAAGTAAAAAATCTATTTTTTAATAAGTCATTTTATTTTGAAAAATTATTTGATTAAATTAAAATTTAGTATTTAAAGTGAATAAAGGTATTTTCAAAGGGTATTTAATAAAATAAAATAATTTTTAAGTAGATACCTATTTTAATTATATGTATATGAGATGAATATCTTTTTCAAAAAATAAAAATAAATTTATGTATTATATTTTAATTAGAAAATATCTATTTTAACTACTTTAGAAAATATAATGAAGTAATAATTATAAATGATAAATGACTACTATATTTTTGTTCTATTTAGATTATTAAATTAATGATTAAATATTAGTTTTATTTATTTCATAGATCAATTTATTAACTCAGTAAGTTTTTTATTGATTAAATATTTATTAATAAGAAAACCATAAATCACAATTATAAAAAAAGAATAATTTTATAAAAATATTATATAAAATAATTAAGTCAGTAGAAAAAATTATATATTTATGTAAAAGTATCTTTACTATTATAATTTTTTTTATAAATTATTGTATTTATAGAATTTTTTATATTTATTTATGATATAATTCTACTAGATTATTATAATATTAATTATTTAAATTATACATATAAAATACAATCATTATCAAAATATATCTCCATTATTTTTGTTTTATTGTGAATATAGAGTTTTTTTATTTATTTATCTAATGTGTTCCTTCCGTTCTAATAATAATAATATTATTAATTTTTTCTTTAATTACAAATGTTTGTTGTTTGTCGAAATAATAATATATTTTTATGTTCAAAAATTTTCAACTAATGGTGCTAGAATAAAATAAAAAAAAAATTGGTGTATCTAATTCTGGAATTGAATCAGAGTTAGCTTTAAAGTAAGTTGTCTTATTAAGAATCTCTTTTGCTAAGGTCTCAATTATGATATTTTTTAGTATTTTTACTTTAGGCTTTTCCTTAATAATTTCTTAAATAAAACCTAAACTTTGGAAAAAAATGATATTCAATTATTGTAATTAAATTGAAGAAGCCTCTCATGTAGAAATAAGTTGCATGAGAAAGATCAAAAAAATAAAGAAATTAAAATTAATTAAAATTAAAGATGAAAGAAGAATCTTTTTTTAGTATCTTAATATAAAATATTTTTACGAGAAAGAGGTAGAAAAATTTAATCTCCTTTCTCTTAACATTGATAAAAAATCGTTGAGTGAAATCATAAATTTAAGTCCTTTAACTCTTCAACAAATTCAAATTAGGTAAATAACAATTTTGATTATTTTTTTTAATTAAATTTTATTTTTATTTTTAAAGTAAAATTTTATTTGGATTGAATTAAATAAAAATTGAAATACCAAATTATTTCTCTTACTTGCTCTAAGAATTAACTAAACCTCTAAGCTGGCTCCTTTATTTCGGAATATTAATTTGGTTTTTCTATGGATATTTTTTATTTGTAGGAATAACTCTAATATCTACTTTAATCACTTATAGTATCATTTATCTTTTTGAGAGAAATTCAAAAATTTAACTAAAAAACTCATGCAGCCATAATTTAAACTTAACTGTTTAAAGATAAAACAAAATTTAATTAACAAAATCATAAGATATTTATCCAGGTGATATTGTATTTCTTGATAAACCAATTACTTTGCCTTTTGATAGCATTATTTTGAAAGGGGTGATTTAAGTGAATCAATCTAATTTGACAGGTTAGAAATTTTACTATTTAATTATATTTTTTAATAAATAATTGAAATAAAAAAAGGAGAGTCCAATTCAGTTATTAAAGTTCCAATTTAAGCAAATAAAAATGAAAACTTTTGGTAAAGCTCCAAAATACTATTTTCTATATCCTTACTATTTTTTTTACTAGTTATAGTAAAAATATGACCAACCTTTTAATTGAAGGAACTACTATTGTTAAACTAGAAGATTAAGAAACAAAAGTTCTAGTTGTTAGAACTGGGTTTTATAGCTTTAAAGGTTAGTTAATAAGATCTATTTTATTTCCATCATCTTAAAACTTTCAATTTTTTGTAGATGGGTACAAGTTAAGTTTGTTTGTTGCTTTAGTAAGCCTTATTGCATATCTTTCAACGGTTCCAGCTTTTATTTTTACGAGTTTACCAGAAAAGATAATTATCTTCAGATTTTGTAAGTTTTTAAAGATACAAATTTGAAATTTTTATGTTGATTTTATTAAAAATAGTTGAAATAATTGTGAATTCTTTTCCACCAGGAATACCTTTATTGATTTTGTAGTCAATCTTTTTTAGTTTTGCAAAATTAAAAAAAAAATAAATTCTTGGAAGTGATATTTCTTAGGCTATTCAAGCTGGGAGAGTTACTGTAAAATTTTATAGAAATTTATTTTAATGTAATGTTTGTATAAAAATAGACTATTTGTTTTGATAAGACAGGGACGTTAACTGAAAATGAAGTTGATTTTATTGGATTTTAATAACCCTATTCGTAACATGTAGATAATGAAAATTATAATAGAGAATTATCTTGTATTTTATTTAAACTGCTTTCTATATGTCATTAGGCATATGAAATAAATGGTACTTTTATAGGTGATCCTATTGATGTAAAAATACTTTAATTTAGTGGTTGGAAGGTTTAATATGATGTGATCAGAAATTAAAGATTTTCACAATATAAAAATGAAAGAGTTTACTGCTTGTAAGTTAATGAATTTCATTCTGAATGCTAATCTATGAGTGTTATTGTGGAGGATTTAGCAGATTAAAATTCTAAATATGTTTTTGTGAAGGGATCACCAGAGAGTATTCTTCAAAAATTAGACCACTAAACAGATAAATAATAAATAGAATATTAACTTAATATACTAATAAGTTAAGGATTCAGGGTTTTGGCAGCTGGCTATAAAAAAGTACCAAATAGGGAATTCTAAAATATATTAAGCCTTAACAGAAGTGAGTAAGAATAGGGGATTTCTTTTCTGTGCTTTTTAATTTTCAAAAATAGGTTGAAGAAAAAAACTCAAGAAATTACTAATGAGCTTAATAATGCAGATTACAATCTTAAAGTTGTATCAGGTATAAAAAATTTTAAATTATAATAAAATTGAATTTTTTGATATTTTTAGGTGACAATCCTTTCACTATTTATAATGTTGCTCGTGATTGCAAACTTTTGAAATCACCAGATAAAAATCTACTCATAATTGATAAATGCAATAAAACTAAAGATTACTTTACAATAACTGAGGTTTAAAAAGAAGGATTACAAAATGTTAAGATTTTCAAAGCAGAAAACAGCTATGAAATAGTAAATAATCTATTTAAATTTAAATTAAATTAAATATTTTTTTAAGCTTATCTAGCAAATTAAATATTGTACAGAAGTATACTCAAAAGGCATTAACCTTTGCTTAACAGGAACAGCTCAACACTTTTTAGAAAATTATAAATCTTAATCGATGTATTCTTAAAAAACTACTATATCTTTCAAGCATATAGGAAGCTTATAAAATAATACTTTTGATTAAAGGCTTGATCTATTTTACAATTTCCTTATAAGATATTGCTAAATATTTGCCAGAACTTCTCCAATACAAAAAGCGAATATAATTAAATAATTGAAATTGAATGGAGAAATTGTTTGCATGGTAGGAGATGGAGCTAATGACTGCCAAGCTATAAAAGAAGCTGATTTAGGAATTTCTTTCACAAATTCAGATGGATAATTCTCTGCTTTATTCATTTCTAAAAATAAAGAAATAGGTAAATCATTAAAACTATTTACAAAAGATTTTTTTTTTTTGATACATACAAATAGTAAAACCTCTTACTAATATTAAATTAATATTATTTTTTTTTTATATGTTGAATTTTATTTTGAAATTTATAATTAGATTGTGTTAAAGAAATTCTCTTAGAAGGAAGAATTACTTTAAGTGTAGCATCAGAGTCAATTAAAGGCTACATTTAAATATTAGCATTGAGATATTTTTGTATTTTAGCTTTGTAATACTATTTCAGTAGTTTGAATGACTTTCAATTAGTCTTTAATATTTACTTTGGATTTCTTCCTATTTTTTGGTTTTCAGGTCTGGGTAAAGCGCCATTTAACATAAAAAAGTACATTCAAAGTGATACAATAGCTAGCTATAAGAACTTTATATCTCTGATACTTGGATTTATTATATAGATTATTGCTATAACATCTTGTCTAATGATATTATAAACTTATGAGTTTTATTAAGAACCCACAAACTATAATAATAATTCTTTTTTTTATTAGTGCTAGCAAAACACTGTCATCTACTTTTGTCTTAGTATTATGGTTTGTTACACAATCCTAAGTAACTATGTAAGTAAACCAATAAAATGTCCCATTTATAAGAACATTTATTCTTTTTTCTTTTTAGCCCTTTAATTGATATATGGAAATTTAATAATTCTTTTTCCTAAGTTAAATGTAAATTTTCTTCATCTTGTTGAGATTGAAGATTTTTCCATTCGAATTATTCTATTTTTAGTTTTAAATGGGCTAGGAATATTTTAATTGGTATTTGAAAAGATATTTGTTTAAAAATTGATTCAGAACAAATTTGAAGAAAAAAGCGATAATTAAAAGCTAAACGTGCTAAGGTAATACATAGATGATATAATGACTTGATACAGTAATAAAATGAATTTTTATGAATTTTAAAATCCAAAAACTTTTATAAAATTAATAATAATTGAGTATTTGTAGATACATATTATGATTTTGTAAGTGTGATTGAATATAATTAATTTATAAAAGAAATAAGTAATATTATGAATGATATCTTTGTGCATAAAAATAATATCTAAATTTAGACGGAATAATAATTTGATAATTTCATTTACTCCCCACACTAAATAAAATTAAATAAAAAAGATACAATAGATATCTTTTCTATTACTTCCTTTAATTATTATAAAAGATTTTTTCAATTGTAATTAACACTTAAGAGCTTATAAATTTAAAAGTAAATTTCAACTTACTTTTCCTAAAAACTAAGAATAATTTTAGTATTTTTTTATTCTGTTAATTTAATTTATAAGTTTGAGTAAGAAAGCATTAATTTCTTGCGTATTATTGAAAAAAGATTGCTTATAAGAAATTTTGTTGATAAATACTTTAGATATTTTGATTTTGAAATTTGTTACATTAAATTATTTACAAATAAATGTGTATCATATATATATGGCTAATATTTCTTAAATTACATAAATTAATATCAAAAAATAATTTGAAAAAAAGAGTAATCTAAAATAAGAAAACCCAAATTAATAGAACTATTTATCTCTACTACTTTAAGCTTTATCAAAAAATGCTAACCGAACAGCTTTGTTAGCCCAATTAAGACTACATAGAAGTAGTTCATTCTTCTGTAGAAGGTGAGCTATAGCTGAAAAAAGTAACACCTTTGAAAAGAAGCAACTTAGCTTATGTTTTCTATCTTATATTATGCTTCCTTTCATGTGGTATTATCTATGTTGTTTCAGTATTATGGCCTAAGATATTTAAAAAGTTAGTTTTTAAAGAGGTAAAAAGCCCGTATGAAGCAACTCATGTGTATGCTATTGGTGTCAATGGTGAAGAATTTTATGAAAAAATCGAATAGGACTACTTCTCATAATCAAAGGTACCCTCTTAGCCTTTTTTTATAAACAGATTTATGAAATATGTGTATAATGAAAACTAAAATACTTTTCAAGCTAATCAATATGAGCTTGATGGTAAATGCATAAGCGAGATATCTTAATCATAGCCATTAAACAGTGATGATATATCTGATATGTAAATTTATCAACATTTTATAATGAATTTTGCAATTTTATTTCATTATTACCATCTTAATAGGCTAAAGTATTATGGACATAGCTTTATTGATATCATCATTCCTAGGTATCACGAATTCTTAATCACTGAATTACTAAGACCTATCAATTTTCTTCTCTATTTTGGTTTAGCAGTTTGGATACTTGAGTTGAGATTTAGCTTTTTTGCTATTACTTTAGTGTCAACAATTATAATTATTAATATTGTTTGCTTCTTTGTTAGGAGAACAAAACAATAATTGCGTGAAGCTTGTCTTCATGATGAGCTCATATCAGTAGAAAGATCAAATGAAATGTAACAAGTATCCTCAAAAAATGTGGTTCCAGGGGATATCATTCACATTAACAAAAGCTTCAGAGTTCCCTTTGATTGTTTGATATTAGAAGGATAGCTTTAAGTCAATGAAGCAAATATAACAGGTAAGATTTACTTACTAATTATTTGATAGTTGTAGTAAAGAAAAATAGTTAACTAATAAATTATTCACTGCAATTTTTTTATGATAAAAAATCTGTTGATGAAAGATATTTTATGTTAATTTATTAAGTAAATTTTTAAAGTTAAGTCAAATTTAATTAAATAGGTGAGGCAATTCCTATTAGTAAGCTCCCATTATCTGGTAAATCAAGTGAAAGATTTTAGTAAAATTAAAATTTTATTTGAAACATTTACGATTAAAAACTATGAATTTAGGCTAAGTTCGTAATCAGCTCATATTTTATATGAAGGAACTACCATCATTTAATTAGAAGATAGCTCTGCAAAGTTGATGGTTATAAGAGCAGGATTTTAAAGTTATAAGGGATAAATTGTAAGATCACTACTTCATCCTAAGCCTGTTGATAAGATGATTTTTATCCAAGGAATTAAATTTGTTTTTGCAATATTATTCCTTGCTTATATTGCTTACTTTGCAACTCTTTACAAACTTATTCAAATTGAAATGCTCACAAAAGATATTATTTACCGCTTTTGTATTATTAAATAAATTATTAATACTGTTTATTAAAATTAATTTTATTAATTCAAGTTGATGTGCTAATTTATTGTGCACCTCCTGGCGCTCCATTATTGATAAATGGAGTCATTTTCTTTAGTTTAATTAGACTAAGATACAAAAAAATATTTGCTTCAGACCCATCTAAAGCTTTATAAGCTGGTCGCATTAAAGTAAATATAAATTATGAAAATAGTTAAATGTTTCTTAAAATTTATTTATATATAAGACTATTTGCTTTGATAAGACAGGCACATTAACGGAGAGCACTGTGAATATGTAGGGATATTAACTCCCATTATCAAAATCAAAAGAAGAGGTCATACAAAATGGAGACAAAAAAAGTATTTTGTATAAATTATTAAGCTCTTGTCACTAGGCAGTAATTACATCAGAAGGAAAGTTAGGAGGCGATCCTATTGATGTTGAAATATTTTAATACAGTTAATGGAAATTAGGACATGATAATGAAAGAAAATAAAATTACTCTGAATTAAATGATAGTGATATATTAAAGCTATATACTTTGTCAATAAACGAATTTCATTCTGAACACTAATCTATGAGTGTTGTTGTTTAGGAGGAGTTAAATGGTTCACCTCAAAATTTATATTTATTTATGAAAGGATCTCCTGAAGTAGTCTTACAAAAATGCAATGAAGCTACAAATGAGAAATCAAAGCTTAAAAGCTAGTTTGAAGCTTTAGCAAGCTAGGGATATAGAGTGCTAGGTTTAGCTTATAAATAAATTTCAAGTGACGAATTAGAAGGATTTTTAAATCAAAAAAGAGAAGATCAAGAGAAAAATTTAACATTACTAGCATTTGCTATTTTCAAAAACAACTTAAAATCTGATACAGCTCACGTTATTAAATAACTGCAAGACACAAAATACAACATTAAAATTATATCTGGTAAGATAAAAAGAATAAATAACATTTTTGTAAATGTAATTTTATTTTAACATAAAAGGCGATAACCCTTTAACTACTCTTAGGATTGCAGAAGAGGCAAATATAATCTCAAAGGAAAAAAGCACAATCCTTATTGACTGGGTTAATAGATCTTAAAAGAAATTGTAGTTGACTAGATATGGCACAAATGATAGCAACAGTTTTGATACTTAAACTCAGTCAATCGATTTGGTAAATTTATTAAAAATATATTTATAAAATTTTAATTATTTTTAATTAGACAATAAAGGAAGATTATTTTACTTTAGTTCAATATTGTGAGTAATCTATAAATGGTTCCATTAATATTTGTGTATCAGGTCATACCCATACTTTCTTTGAAGAACTTATCAGAAGATATGATGAGAAATTTATTTCAAATGAAAGTGATTCAGCTAAAAATAGTAGTTATCAAAATAATGAGTCAAATTTAATAAATTTATACAAAACAATTGTTTTATCATCTCAGTTGTTTGCTAGAACTTCCCCTTCCCAAAAAGCTAGTATAGTTAAATTAATAAAAGACAGTGGAGAAGTAGTTTGTATGGTTGGAGATGGCACCAATGATAGTCCTGCTATAAGAGAAGCAGATGTTGGTATTTCTTTTTCCGATGCTGACGGTTAATTTTCAGCTCCATATATTGCAAAAGACTCATCTTTAGGTAAACTTGACCCATAATTTAATTTAATTTAATTTGTCAATTTATTTATAAAATAATTTTAAAATTAAAAAAATTATATTAAATCTGATGAAAATTTAAGTTAAATTTTTTCATAGTTTTAATAAAGAATTTATAAATATAACTCTAAAATATAGAATGCGTAATAAGTATTATCCTTGAAGGAAGAGTTTCCCTTGGTGTTAGTTTGGAAATTTTTATTGGTTACATATAAGTCAGCATACTTAGATTTATTGGGTTCTAATCTTTATCATACTTTTATAGTGGATTCGGAGATTTTTAAATGTCTTTTTAAGCTTACATTTGTGGATTCGTTATAGTTTATTTCTTTTAAGGTTTGACAAAACCTGTGAAAAATATAAAAAATTGCTACATTAATGACAACTTCTTTTCAGCTTAGTATTTAATATCATCTATTTCTGGATTCATAATTTAGTCTTTGTCTATTATTGTTGGGCTTGCTACATTATAAGCTAGTAGTATTTATATTGAAGTAAACGGATTTGATACAGATAAAAAATTTGTTTTCGAGTGCTAACAAAATACTATAATATTTATGTTTTCTTTGATACACTATTTCTATATACACATTAGCAACAATATCGGATATCCAATTAAATAGCCTTGGTATAAAAATTATGTTGTATTGTTTTTAATGCTAATTTAATTTGGTTATGGATGCCTAATTATGTTTACTAGCAAGCTTTACATTAATCCATTAAAACTAGTAGAATTAGATGATAACACTTTAAGGTTGAGTCTCTTTTTTATTTTCAACGGGTTTGGCATACTTTAAGTTCTTATAGAAAAGGTTGTAATCTAAACATATATCTTAAGATATCATTAGAAGATAGCATAAAAGTAATTCTAATAAAAGTATATCAAATTAATTTAATAACTCAAAGAATAGAATCATTTTATCTATAATTCTTGATGCTAAATTTTCTAAAATATAACCTTAAAGTTTAAAATATTTTATCAAAACGTTTTTAATAATTTAACTAAGAGTTTTAAGAATAAAATCTGACTGTTTAATTATATTAAAAGTATTATCTATCAATTGCATACTATATAGTATATATGTTTTAATTTTTATTAAAATAGAATATAAAAATAACTTTTGTTTTGTTTGAAAATAATTAAAAAAAAAAATAAAGATAATCAATTATAATTTAATAAACTTGATTTTATGTGCGATCTAAAGGTATCAACAAGTTTACTTTACTATGTAAACAAAAAATAATAAAGATTATCATCCCATTAATTTAATATGTATTTGATATTTTACTTTATTTTACGTGATAGGAAACAACGTTATTTTAATTTATAAAAAACCATACATAATGTATACTTTTTAGTTAACTGAAGCTTACAAAAATAAATTAAATTTTAAATTAATAAATAATAAAAATTAAATTATCAAAATTGGATTTATAAGCTTCTTGTTGTAAATGATATTTTATTTTTAATGTTAATACACTTGAAAAAGTAATAAATTAGAAACAAAAATAATATATTTTTATTTGGCTTTTTATATAAATTATCATTCATAAATCATTTTTGTGTTATTAAAAAAAAAGTTTTAGTTTATTTGAAAATTATGATTTTGCTTAACTAGAAAAAAAATTAATGATTTTAAAAAAAAGAAAATTTAATTATTTAGTTTAGATTTCCAATAATTAATTATGAAATTTTTAGTATGATTACTATTTAATATAAAAAAATAAATTACAAACACATAATTAATTTTCATTCATAATTAGTTTGTAAAAGCTAAAAAAATTAAAGAATGTTGATTCAAGCATTTAATTGGTTTGGTATAATTAATAGGATTTGATCTAGTCTAGTTAGCAGTTTTACCATTTAGAAATAAAATTTAGAAAGTAAATAATGTAATAAGTAAGTATCCTTTATATATTTTGAATAATAAGATAAATTGGGAATATTTTGATATTTATGTAAACTCTAAAAGAATTTATAAATTAACAAAATTAATTGATAATTTTTCTTATTTCATTGTATAGCTAGTTAATATTTGATCAGGATCTATCTATCTATATATTTTTTATTAATATCTATCTTATCCACACATAAAACAGATAAAAAATTAATACAATTCAAAGTCTCTTTTACTAATAGTATGAAAGCGAGAGTTGAAAAAAAAAAGCATTGCTAAAGTTGTAATGCTAAATTTGGCCTTACTACTCATAAACATATGTGTAAGAGATGCCATGCAATTATATGTTCAGAATGCACTAAATAAAAAATATAGGTAAACATAAAAATATTTAAAAAGTTGAAATGTAGCATTAAAATTATTGTTTTTAATATTAGATAATTTAATATACAGATAAGAAGCCACATAAAATTTGTCTAAACTGTTCGGATGATTATTAGCACAATACAAATCTTAAAGTTACTGTATTTATATTATTTTGAAAAGCAGAGGCATTCTCTTATTGATCTATTTTCTTTTAAAGATACAAATGATTAAAATAATAATGAATATTTATTTATATTAGGGTAAACTTTAATGGGCAGTAGATAGCAATATTATGAAGTAATGGCTAAAAAACATTAATACAATAGAGTAATTTTTAGATAATTAAGCTTTGATAACAACTTATAAATTTGTAATTGCATTTTAAACAATTAATAGCAAGGACAAATTGTAAAAATAGTATGAAGATGTATTGCAAACAACAAGTCCATTAATTAAATCGGAGGAATTTTAGGAGTATGTGAAAAATATAGAATAGGTAATTGCATAAAAATATAAATAGATATGAAAAAATAATTAATTTTATTGATAATTAGTAAATTAATGCAGGAAATAGCATGAAGCACTTTAATTACTCGTTTTTAGAAATGGTACATAGTGTGTGGGGACAAGAACCTGATATTCATAAGATTAAATAGTAGATAATAAATGTTATTAAAGCTTTTTTTATAGATTTCCCTGATCAAGAGTCTCCATTAACATTTAAATAAGTAAAATGAGTTAATCATATCAATATCTTTGTACAAATTGCTTTATTTTATAATTTAGGAATATGTAGATTTTGCAGTATTTTTATTAATCTTTGGATAAGAAAGTAGTGTATGGCGTATGATGAAGGAAATATATGGAATTATAATACCTATTGAAAGTATTTCTCATATAACTAATAATGATTTTAATTATGGAGAGAAGTATTTGATGAACTTTTTACTCGATAAAATAAACTATGATTTCAACTCACAAGAATGCAACAATATTTACAGATTTATTTAAGATCGTGGAATAGAGTTGATAAATTCATTTTTTGCAAACTAAGCTAACTTTCAAACATCTTATTAGATATTCAACAATGTTATCAATATACCATATGTAAATAATTTAATAAAAATTTATATAAAATCATTTATACATCATAAACAAATAGCCTATAAAAATTTTTTAATTTTGAAATATATTTTTACTTAAAAGAAATTTTTCTTAAAAATGTTAACAAAATATAGCTGAGTATTGCTAAAATAAAAATTTATTATTAAAATCAATTTTAAATTTTTAAGAAAAAATAAATATTTAATAGAATAGAAGGTGGAGCGAACTGCTTAGGAGCTTAGGAGTTTTTATAATAGAAAATAAAGATGTAATAGGCTAGAATTATGAAAAAGTAGTTTGGGATGAGATGAAGACAGAGCTGAATATAAATACTAAATGGAAAAGAATGAAAGAAAAAATGGATGTTTATATTTACTTTTAGATTGCTGATAATAGACAGATGAACAGATTCAGCATGATAGAAGATTGCTAATAATCTGAAATGGATTCACTTTTACCTTCTACTGAAGATATAATAGAGGAAAATAAAATGCTTAAAAAGGAAGTATTCTAAATATTTAAAGTAAAGCAACTTATTACATAAAAAATGGATGAATTGGATGAGATGCGCATGGAACTGTAAAAGAGAGAACTTGTTCGATAAAAATATGAAGATAATTTAAAAAAATTTAATGAAATCTAACAAAAATACAATGAAATGAGGCTATCTTATCAGGAATTATAATAAGATAATCAATTTTTGCAAGAAAAATTAATGAGATTTTCAACTAATATTGGTCATTAAAATTATATAACATATGAAGACTCTAAAAGGGCAGCTTCTCTTATCAACCTTAGTTAGAGCCAGCAAAAAAATAAATAGAATATCATAGATGATGATTTCTTAACTAATATTTTATAAGATAAAGAAAGAATAGCTAACACTATTGTTATTGAGGAAAATAAAGCTTAAGATAAAATATAAAATGATAACGTTTTGCAATTTAAGAAAGCTTCAAGCATAGTTGAAGAACATACTGTAAAAAGTGGATAGGATAATTTATAGGTTAAAGAAAATAATAATATTTGCAACTAAAATCACATAAAAAAGGAAAGTGTTGAAATCGTAGAGAAAAAACATGAACTTGAATAAATAAATTCTCTTAAAAAAGATTTAGAGGATCTTGAAAATAAAAATAAATACTATTTAAGCTAATTTTAATCATAAGGAGATCAAATACTAAAATAAAAATTAGAAATATCTAAAAAAGATAATGAAATAGAGAAGCTAAAGTTAGATTTAAGTAAAGAAAAAGATGCACATACTTAAAGTAAACTGAATTACGAAAAATAGCTTTTAGATTAAAAAAACGAATATGAAAAGCAAATAAAATAACTTAAAGATGAAAACCAAATAAATTAAATAGAATAAAAATATAAATCAGAATTAGCCTAGCTCAAAGAAAAAATAGATTAACTAAACCTTTATAATTAAATACTTTAGTAAGAAAAAACAGAGTTATTTTTATAAAAGTAGAATTTATTTTAGTAAGTGAATTCTCTAAGTAGCTAAATAAATAATTCACAGGGTGGAAGCTAAGAAGTGAGTACAAATAAGCCAGAAATTGATATTTTACGAAATACAATTACAAAATTAGAGCTTGAAATTAATTCTCTTAAAGATGATAATTCCTAACTTGAAAAAAAGTTAACGAATAATTCAGAAAAAGAATAGATTATTAATTCACTCCAACTACAAGTGAAAAATTTGTAACAAGAAATAAAAGATTCCACATATCAAACCAAACAATAAAATAAGCTTAGTGATAGCATAAATCACTCAGAGTTATCAACTACCGAATCTGCAAATAAATCTCCTACATTAAATTTTGACAAGAATGAAGTCAAATAGGGTAAATAAGAATAATTCAAATACTTAAATATATTACCAAATTTCTTTGATTTAATTTACTTTAAAATCTATTAAAAAAATAAAAACAGAAAAATAAATTCTATTCTTATTTTATAATATACAAAATAAATATTTTTTTTTAAATAAAGGTGAAAATGATTGATGTCTAAATAATATTGAAGAATTAAGTTTTTCTATCTATTAATTTGTATAAATAAAAAGCAAATAGAGCATTTAATAATTTTATAAGTTAAGAAAAAAAAAATCCCTAATAAATAAATAATCTTACTTTATATATTAAATAAGCAAATAAAGTCAATCAGTCAGTCTGTCAGTTAGCCAGATAACTAACTATCATTTAAAAAATATCTATATTATTATTATTATTAGTGGTAAATTATTATAGTTTATTAAATAAAATATGAAAATGGTAAAGGTTAAATAGTTAAAAATATTTATGTATCTCGATTTATCTATCAAAGCTATTTATTTTACTATCCTATCTTTAAATTTATAATTTAATTAATTTAAATTTCAATCCATTCAAGCTACTTTCATTAAAAAATTATATTTTCAGATTATTTGTAAATTTGAAAATAAAACAATTTTGAAATATAATTTAAAAATATATTGTTGTGCTAATTTTTATACAAGTTTGTTTTACTTTCAATTTTAAAATGATCCTTGAGTCATAATTAAGGAAATACTTTTTAAATATATAAATGCAAGTTTACAGAATTTAAATAGTAATATTATTAAAACTGTAATTTATATTTGTTCTTTTATGTTTTGTATATTTCAGTTTAATTCTTGTAATTATTTTCCCTTATTTTCTAATTAATTTGTAGGGTAATTGCTTTATTTATATTTAAAATAAAAATGTAAGTACATTATGGTAACTTCAATAAATTATATTTATTATGTTAATTAAAAACTTATTTAAATATTATATTTAAATTTACTTTTTAATTTTTCATTTAAAGTATTAAATTATCTAAAAATGAGAAAGCTCAATTTAAATTGAATAAATTATTTAATGTCAATTTATTAAATTGAAAAACAACATATTTTTTAAATTAGCTCTTTTGTTTTGTTGGATCTATTCTAAATTACAAATGACTTACAAATAATTGATGTTTTGTTTTAATTAATTTTAAAAAGGTTATTAACCATCAGATATTTGAGAAAATTTAAAAATAAGTAGAGGCAAAAGAGTTTAAATAAGAATTTCAACAGCAATTAAAGGTTAGAAATATTATTGAATAAATATCAAGTATCAATAGATATTTATTGATTAACAAAATGACATCAAGCACAGAAAAAAAAGCAATTAAATATTAACAAAAAATTATTGGTTATTGATTTACTTCAAGAATTATATATTATTACTTAATTTACCATAAAAATTATTATAAAATTTAAAATCAAAAAATTTCTAATGGACAAGATTAGATAGCAATTAATATTTTACTACTTTCTTACCTTCTTTACTCAATATATTGAACTCTTTTAACAAAATCAACTTCATAACATAAAAACTGTAATTTATTTGTTAATTAATCTATTTTCTTAGTTCGATTCTATATTATTTAAAGGATATCGTAAAGATAAATTTAAACCTAGATTAAAGATTTTGCTTAGAAGATTTAAATTTACAATATTTTTGTTCAGTAATTAAAAAATGTAAGCTCATTTGTTTTAATAGAATTCGCATTCTAAATTTACCACTCATCTATGCATTTCAGTTATGACTTAATTATTTATAAATTTAACTTGATTATGGCGAAGGTATTTCTACTTAAAAATCACTTAAATTTTAAGATTAATTACAGCCACAAATCGAGATTAAAAAATTATTTGGGTAGGCCTTTTCTTCCCGTAATTTATGATAAATAGCGATAATATTTAATCATTTTATTATATCTGATTAGGATGCAGTCACTCAATTAAGTCAGTAAATTAACTTTCTATTATGCTAAATTTAATTTATTTTAGCATATAAAAATTGTGTTTCTAAAATGAGTAACAAACAACAAACTGATATTATTTAAAATTATTTATAAATATTTTTTTTCTAAGCGAAATTCAGAAATTTTAAAAAAACAGATTAGATGTAAAGAGGGAATATATTTGAGATTGTAAGTATTTCTTTCAATTTAAGGTAATTCACTAAATGTAAGAAGAATATTGAAAGAAGTATCTTTGAATGGTGCAAATAACTTTTTACAATAATATTAAACTGAATAAAGATTTTTATTTGAAAATGAATTAAGACTATAAGTCTCTTTGTGGTATTAACTAATTAAAATTTCAGAGATATAAATTGTAAACGCCAAATTCAGTACATTAAAAAAAGCAAGGAAATAGTTTACTAATTGTTATTTGATAAAAAGAAAAGAAATAATAAGGCAAAATCAAAATTAGCTAAATACTTCCATATTATTCACTATTTCACTACTAAAAAAAGCTAAATTTTACTAACTAAAAACTTACTAACTATTATAAATTAATTAAAATCAAATATAAAGATGGGAGAATATGCTAAAACCTCTTCGATTGAAGTAATTATTAACTTTTTAATATTATCATAATTTCAGATGATTTAAATATTTCTACTAATTCATCTTTTAAACATTGTTCTTTGTAGAAGTGGTGCTTTCATATATTCATTTTGTTTACTAAAAATATAGGACATAATTAGACCTATTAAGAAAGCCCCTCAAATTCGTAGCGATCATGATATATTTTTGATTTAAGAAGTCACTAAAGATATCCCTTTCTTTTAAAAGTATATCTTGGAAGGAAAAGAAGATGTCCACTAAAAGAGTTGTAAACATATGACATACGAGAGATTTAACAGTGGTGACATGGTTTTTTCTCAAGGTAAATAATATATTTTTATTAAATATTTACCTTAACTTTATGTGAATTTTAGTAATTATCAGCAGACATATTATTATCTTTAATCATTACAAATTATCTATTACTATATATTTTAATACTAATTAATAATTTACTAAAATTTAAATAGGCGATAGAGGATCAAAATTTTACATTATTCTTGAAGGCTTAGTTGGAATTTATATTAAGATTAAGAATGAGCAAAAAAAAGTAAAAGAGCTAAGTCGTGGTGAAAGTTTTGGTGAGTTGGCTCTTATAAATGATGCACCTAGAAGTGCTAGTATTAAATGCATTGTAGATTGCCACTTTGCTGTATTAGATAAGAAGAACTACATCACGCTATTTTAGTAGATACTTGATAATGAAATTAAAAAAGAAATATCTTTCTATCCAGAAATAGAATTGTTTTCTAATTGGAATTATAACAAGATGAAATCATTTTATAATCACTCTTTCAGAATCAAAGTAAAAAAAGGTGATACAATAATATCAGAATCCGACAATATAGATGCAATTTACATTATTGCTTCAGGTGAATTCGTGGTAAATTAAAAAATTTAATAACTCTTTGTAAATGCCAATAAAGTTTGATAACTCAATTGTTTGTAAGCTCATAATACATAAAAAAGTATTCATTACATATGCATTAACTTAAAAAAAGATGTAATCATATAACAGATTTGAATATATTCTTTCAAATTATTGATACTTTTTAATTAAATGGGCAGCTTGCAAAAATTATTAAACAAATTGGCTTCAAGATTATCAAAATTTACTAGCCTTTTTTTAAATATGAATTAAGGTTAAAAAGAAAATTAATAACGACACTGAAAAGTTTCAGTAAACAGAAGATCTCCATTAATTAAAGAGATAAAATTATCTTTCACCCAGCATGGCTAATAAAAGAGTAAATAGAATAAATATTAATTTTACTGACCTCACATTTATTTAAATATTTTCATTGTTTAATTAAATACTATTTCTATACTATTTAAATAAATTAGCTGTTTATTATGAGTAAATACGAAATATTTGGACAAGAAAACGCAGAAGATGAAGAGCCAAAATTTTATTATACAGTTGAGTGTCATTCTTTTGAAGGGAATTTGATTTACATAAAGAGCTAAGACTATATGAAGATTATTATGAAAGATGAATCATAAAAAGAATACATGCAAAGCTACAGCCAGCGTAGGATATAGAGAGTATAAAATAGAATGAAGGAAATTTCTCAAGCACTAAATTTATAATAAAGTGATGAGGCTACTGTTCCTTTTAAGAGAAACAAATCTCAACAAAGAACTTTAATTGTAATTCCTTCAGAAAATGTTGAAGGTGAAGTTAACGGCTTGTTGGATATAGACGTTAAAAGATCAGTGAAGAAAAGATTGACTTGTATTGATGCATTAGGTGATTAAAATAGAATCAGCAAAGAAAATAATAATGCGCTTGCTTTTCTTTCTACAGATGCTGAAGATTCCACCCCAGGCTCTAATCTACTGAATAATTTTAAAAGTAATAACAATAATAACGGAAGTTTATCTGTTTAGATAAACTAAAATATGAGAAGATCTGCATCTGAAATTGGAAAGGAAATAATCTCTTCAAGATTTTAAAAGATAAATATAGAAGGAGCTAATTCATAAACTTTTCTAAAATGCAAAACAAAAAATTTAGATTCCTAATCAATTTGCTTCAGTCCTCAAACTCATAATGACACCCCTAATCACAAATTAGATGATGAATCTTATTTAAAAGTTAACACTCCTTAATCTGTTAGCTCTGCCAACTAAAGTTTCTCTCCTTAAGTTAAAAAAAGCCATTCTATAGTGCATATTAAGAAAAATGGAAACTTATCAAATTTTGGCGAGATTTTCTCACCAGTCAAGACTACAGGAACAAAAGTGATAGTTTCTTAAATAAATACTCTAAACTCCATAAATATGATTGATGACGATGAAACTTAAAATATAACATCAACAAAGGATATCAAAGAAAGTTCTAATAATATTTAAAAGACTAACTTAAATTAACTAAAAAGTTAGTAAACTAATAATTTTAAACAGCAAATGCGATCTTCTTCATAAGTCTTAATAAGTTCTAGAAACTAAAATCATGGGGAATCTATGATAGATGATGATGATCAATGCTTTAACTAATAAAACCTGATTAAAAAAACTTTAAATAATATAGTAATTAACAGTTAAAAGTAAATCAATCATGATGAAACTATTTAAAAAAATTTTAAGAAACAAGCTTCTTGTATAGAATTATAAGATTAGGATTACGACTAGCTTCACCCGCTAGTCAAAGGATTCCACGAACAATTAAAAGTTAGGTTTTATAATAAATTTAAAAATGGTTCTATAGAAGACTTAAAATCTCACATGTCTTACGCTCCTATTCAGACACTTTAACCTGATAAGCTTAACCCTGAAATCATTAAGAATGGAGTTCGCCCAGCTATATTCCTCAATAAAAAAAGCAAAGAGATAAAATCAAAGGAAATTCGTGAATATGAATAAAAACTAAAATAACTAATAAAATCAGATTGCTAAATTGAATTAGAAAGTATATCCCCATTGAAAACGAAAGATGATAAGCTATAAAGACTAAAAATTGAAAATAACTCTCCTTTATCCGCAAAAGAAGCTAAAAAATCTATTGCCAAAAAGAGTTTAATTAATATTTTTTAAACAACTATATAAAATAATAACAGCAATAGTAATTAGACGCAGGTTGTTGGAGGGTAATTCTTAAAGAATCTCTTGAAGAGTGAAAATTATAGTCCTGAAAAAATTATAAATTATGGTCATACAAGAATAGCTAGCTTTGATGTTGGCATGAATAATTATTAGAAGCCTTTTTATTCACCATTTGCATCAACTCAAAATACTAACCATGCAGAAAAATCTATAAATTAAATTCATTTATTACCAAATATTGAGAAACCAAAGACTCTTAAAAATTCTAGTTTTCTTGTCAAAACATTTGATATTCATAACAACTCCTAAGGTAACTCATCATCAAAATAGTAACATAACGAGGGAATCTAAAACTAAATATAAACATTAAAAAACCCTAAATAAAATCATAATTTTTCATAAATTTAAATAAACAATACTCACAGATAATCATAGGCGTCACCAAAATAAATTAATAGCCTAAGCAGCCTTGATCTAAAGAATTATACATTCTTTATGAGCAACAAAGTTGGATTTAAAGGCTAAAAAGGATTCAACTGTTCTCAATTTAATCTTAGAAAAGACAAATCTTCATATTACAATTCTTGAAATATGAAAGTTAAATAGTTAAAATTTGCTAAATAAGAAAATTGTAGAAAATTAAGATAACTAACCTTTTAGATGAATGAAAAATAAATAAATAAATAAATTAAAATTACATTTAAATTTACTAACTAATAAAAATCTGAGAAATTAACACATTTCCGAATTACTAATTAAAATTATTATTAAGCACTTTAAAAAAACCAAATTATTAAAAAAAAACCAATTACAATATAAAAAATGTTTTGTTTCCATATCACTTATTTATTATTTTTTTAAAATCTATCTCTTTTGATTTATCAGAGTTTTTTAATGAAATTCATAAAGCAGTTTGTTTTATTTTCAGGTAAAATTAATAAATTAAATTATTCAAGAAATATCTATATTTAAATTAGAGTTCTAGATAAATATTAGTTTTTCCCTTTTTAAAAAGAAGGAGAAATTATTTTTGTTTATTTCAAAGAAATTAGTTCTAAAAATGAGAAAAGACAGATCGTTTGGTGAAAGAAAAATTTCACAAAAAGTTGTCAGTTAAAAGCTGCTTTAATCATTTGATAAAATGGAGTAAGATTATAATTTAGTTTAGTAGAAAATCTATAAACATTCATACTAATTAATTTAGATTGGATTGATTTTTAATTAGTAAGCTTGAATAGATAAAAAAATTTAAATTTAATGCTTTTAATTTGTAATAAAAGAGCCATAGAAATCAATGTAAAAATAAAGTATACATTTAAATTTCTTTATTAAATTACAGATAAATTGTTTCTATTGTATTGAATACCCCAGTAAATAATTTCTTTTTAATTTCCTAAAATTGATTCGCACAAGAAAATTCATGTGAAAGTGCCAAAAATTAAATTTAGTGTTTAATTAGCTTTGGGTGAAAATTGTCAAGTTAAATACATCATAAAATATAATAAAAAGTCATAACAATTTGGATAAAAGTGTATTTAGATTGAGTTTGATAAATAAGAGTTTTTGATCAAGCAATTTAATTCATTTATTTTATATATATTTTTTGAAAGCTTCTTGTTATTTTGTTTGTTATTTATTTTTTCCTTCATAGATTTGTTTAGTAAGTAAGTAGTTTTTAATTTTATTAAAATTAGTTTATATTTATTTATATAGTGAGTCAATCATTCAATCAGCTAATTGTTCATTTTGGTTAATAAATTTTTGTTAGTTGGTTTAAAGCTTAACACAGCATTCTTTCAAAAATTCAATTATTTCTTTATGTTCTTGTATGTTACTAATTTTTGAAGAAAAGAGCCAATCAGATATATCAAATGTTAAATAGTATTCAAAGATCTTGTTATATCCCTTGCTTTGAAGCAAACGAGCTAAATATTTATTATTGAATTTATATCTTTTAATATATTTTTTAATATCTCTTATCAAATCCTAATATTTTTTATTAGGAACAAAGTATATTACTGTTTCTTTGTTTTTTTAGTTGATGAGAAATTTAAAGTAAGACTTTATTATGTTTTTAGTTATGTTTGGATTGTTTATTTGTATTTAAAGAAATTCGCTAAGATCAGAGCTCTCTTTAAAATATTTCATGTTAGAAAGTTAGTGAACATCTTCATTTTCAGATTAAAAAGAGTCAACTCTATTATTATTTTTGATGTTACTTAGGTTTGGAAAAAGAATAAAGTAAAATCATACTTTTTTTATTGTTCAAATAATTCATTTTGATTGAGTTAGTCTATGTCATGGTTTTATAATGTCCTCTGATCTTACTTTAAATGAAAAGTATTTAAAAAATGATTTTATCATTAATTAATAAAAATTACGATGGTACTCGATGTCAGTTGACTTTCAAACCTCTCCAAAGACATTGACTGTTCTTCGTAAGAATTAAGAAAATTCATAATTTTTTTATTTTATTTCTTAATTTTACTGCGAGATAAAAAATAAAGTTTTTTTTTATTTTATTTTAGTTTATTACATAATAGTTAATATTCAATTCTTTAAGCACTAATTTATAAAAACACAAATTAATTAATTTACTAAACTAATAAAAAAAATAGAGGCTATTTGATTTTTTTAATAGTTAAAGCCTTCTTCTATAATAAAATAAATATAGCTTATTTATAATTCAAAGCTAATCTCAGCTTTTAATTATTGTTACACCCAATAAATTTTAATAAATAAACAATGATTTTTGATTTGTAAATAATAATTAATGATTAATTCTTTCCCAAATATAAATAAATTATTGAATTTAATTTAACAAATAAATAGTTGTAAAAATTTACTTGCAAGTAAATATATAAATAAATGAATAGGCATGCATATATATTTTTATAATTTAAATTACAGATGCTAAAGTAACCCTTTTCTTTAATAGAAAAAGTCATCATGTTTTTATAAAAAAACTATAATAATAGATATTAGATCAATCTTTTTTTACTAATGGGATGCTTACTTTTAAAGGATGCTAATCAGGTAAATATTATTTAAGCTCCTCTTTTGAATTCTGTTAAGCACTCACTGTCAGAGCTTTCATCTTTTATTGCTCAAGCTTATTACAATTATGAATAGTATGACCTAGTCCACCACAAAAACCACAACCTCCAGTTTAACTATCATGCGTGATTTATTTCAAGAAGTGTGGGATAGGTTATTTAGCTTCCATTAGAAGCATCTTTAAGTCACTTAATATATTTTCATCTTGTTATTTATTTACAAATGTTGTCGCTCTTCCAGTTTTACCCAATCTTCCTGTTCTTCCAATTCTATGAACGTAACTTTCTATCTATTAAATTTAAATGTTGAATTACAAAATTTACTTCTTTATCACTTTTAATAAAATTACTTCTTTTGGCATATCAAAGTTAATTACATGCTAAACGTTTGGAAAATCTAACCCTTTCGCCCCAATATCTGTAGCAACAAGAACATCTTTCTAGCTTTATTAAAACTCCTTCATTGCCTTTGTTCTTTCTTCCTATTCTATTTAAAATAACAAATTAAACTCTTTTTTTTATTCAGGTTTTAAATCTTTACTTTTTCCTCCATGTAAAGAAGTGACATCTATTCCTTTTAAAAGCAGATACTCGTGGATATCGTCTACATCATTAGACTTATCGCAAAATATTAAAACTGGAGGCTTTGTTTTTTAAAGACATGATATAAGGTATTATAACTTTTCTTCTTATTTCACATACTCAACTTCTTAAATGACATTCAAATTAACTTAGCCAGCTCTTCCGACATTAACTATTATTGGATCAATCAAAGCTTATTTAGCAAAATCTTAAACTTTCTTAGGCATTGTTGAAGAAAATAGTAAAGTTTATCTGGCACCCTATTTACCTTACAAAAGGTTACATTAAATATTTTAAATTACGATTATGATTTGTAATAAAAATTTAAAAAGCTTTATTTGTCTATTTAATGATTTATTGATTTAATTTTAATTTTTTAAATAATCTAAACTATTTAAATTAAATACGGGAACGTGATCTATTATATTTCTGATTTCCTTTTCGAATATCATGTCTAAGAGTCTATCAGCTTCGTCCAAAACAATGTATCTGCATAAATTCATATTAAATTTTTGTTTATCAACCATGTCTGATGTTCTACCAGGTGTTCCAACCATCTATTCAAAAATAAAAAAGTTATAATTCTGGTAATTAATAAAGTAAAAACTGTATTCTCAAATACATTTTTCAATTTTTCCGTGCTTGAATTTATTAAAAATTACATACATCTAACTATAATTCAACCACCTCATAAATTTCGAAAGTATTGTTCATTAATCCGTAATATTTTATCTTACTATAAGAATAAAAATTTAAAGAAGTATATTTTAATTACCAAATGTACTCCTTCTCTAACTTATGCAATCTGTTACATCATATCCATACCACCAATGCTCAAAGAGCATCTAATTTAAGGATAACCAGCTTCTTGGAGCTTCTAGCTATAATAACATGCTAGTTCATAGGTCTAAATTGCAAGTTCATGCTTTTAATTTTTTATTTCTTATTTTTAATATTAACACTCTTAAATTAACTTACTGATGGAACGATTATAATTGCTAATGGACCTTCACCCCTAAATAAAGGCATATTCATCTCATGCTCTATCGCCATAACTAAAGCAGGGAGTAAAAAAACTATTGTTTTACCCTGTCCAGTGGGAGCTATTCCTATCATATCCCTACCAAGCAATCTTTATAATATAATTTTTTTTTAAATTAAGCCAAAATTACAATAAATAAGGTACACTGTAGGAAGTCCAACCATTTGAATAGGAGTAGGTTTCTTTACTTTTTTTTCTTTTAAAATTGCAATAATTTTTTTGGGAAACTTCATTTCCTTTAAAACAATTAGGGAATATTAATGACTAAATTAAGCTATCAATAGATTTACTTCGAATGATTGAATGGGAGGAGGTGTATTTTATCCTTCCAAAAGAACGCTGTATTTTTTTAACACTTTTTAAATCTCCCTCTAAGTAACTGTCCTATAAGCCTTGGGTATTCTCCATCTAATTTAATTCAAGCTTCTTTAAAATGGCTAATTAATTTAATTTATGATTTTTACGTAGTTTTCACCCTTTCTTTAATTTATTCCTTCCTTTCAATCAGTCCTCCTAAAGCAGTATTTTTAACTACTGTCATAAAGTTCATATTATCTAGTTCTGGGTCTTCAACTTCTATTTCTTCCTCTGTTTAGATTAAAAATATATGAAGATTCTCTCTAAATCATTAACTAAAAGTATTAATATCTACTATAATTTGTTAATCACATACCTTCTACATATTGCTCTACATGTTTTGACTTCAATTCCTGCGCCTTTTCAAGGAGAGACTTTTAATTTGATTTTAAATCATCGAAAGTGACTTTCGATACATTTTAATTTGAATTCTACATTTTAAATTTATATGTTTCTACCTACTTTAAATGTTTCTTTAAAATATAAAATTTGAGATTATAAGATATTTACTGTTTCTAAAAGAAAATAAATTGAGAGACACAAATATTAAAGAATAATATAGTAGTGAAACAAAAAAAATAAAGATTTATATGATTTTATTAGTAAATGTGTATTAAATAAACAACTTAAGTATAAATAATTTATAATAACTGAAGAAAAGTAGAATGGCTAAAAATAGCTGAAATTTAATTATTATTTTATTTTATTATATAATTCAGCTAAAACAAAAGTATATTATCTTTAGAATCTATAATAACTGATTTATAAATTTGTTTATATATATTATTAAAGATAGATTTAGCATTTTAAAAGTTTTTTAAATTAAAAAAATCTTTTTATATTTAAAATTAGGATCGGTACAGCTCTAATAATATCTAATATAATATATAATTTAGAATAAATACAGAATATTTCTAATTTGAATGAGAGTATCATAATTTATTTATATATTCTAAATTTTAAATTCTATTTTTGAATAGAACATTTAAGAATATATTATGTGAGATGGATCAATGATAAACTTTAAAGATAAAAATTTTACATTTTAACAATATATATTAAATAGATATAATTTTGTTATACTTATAGTAATTAAATTTTAATAATAATTTTTAATATAATATAAAATTAATTAAATTCTTTTTAATGATTTTCTTGCCATACTCAAAATTGAATTGTCCTCTTCAAAATCATTTATTATATTTACCTGTTTTATTTGTTTTTTAAATTTCCATACTAGTGCTAGAACGCTTTATATTTTAAAAGTTTATATATTGATCGATAGGAGTGTTTGGAGTTTCTTAGAATACATTATAATCGCTCTCTCTGAATTATGAATCATTTTTACCTCTCAGTAAAACAGAATCTAAATTTTTCTTTTTCAAATTTTTATTTGTTATTTTCGAATTTTGCTGTGCTAGGTAGTCTGTTAATTTCTCTTATTAGCTATCTAATAGTCTTTCTTGTTTTGTAAGCTCGCTTTTTTCAAATAATCTTTTAATTATAAAAATATTTAAAAAATATATATAAAGAGACCCAAAAAATATAATTTTGTAAAGAAGGAAAATAAATTTAAATACTGAGCATTAATTTTATCAAGATATTCTGTCTATTTTTCTTCTAATTCTTTTATTTTCTAAAAAAGTTCTCTCCTATCTCCATTTATGTTATTTACTTAATTTAGATACTTATCTATTTTTTCTTAATTCCTATCTATTTTTACTTATAAATCATCTATTTTTTCATCCAAGTCTCTCTTGTTTATAGTGTACTATTTTATAAAAACAATTTATTTATTAGTTACATCTTTAAAGTGTTGATTGGCTGCTCATGTGTAATTTTAATTAGCTAAAATGTATAATAAGAATCAAGAAATATTATTTTTTTATCTCTATTACACCTTAAAATTAATAAATATTTAAAATAAATAGTGCATAGATAATTTAATAAGAGAAACTAACTAAATAGGTAATTTTAAATAAGTAAGTAATCATAAATTATTAAAATAGCAAGCCAATATTATTCTTTTAATAATATTTTAGAAATTAATGATTATTACCTCTTTTTAAACTTTAGATAATTCTGTTTATTTTTCAAGTAACTACTTTTTCTACTTCTAGAGTTCTTCCTCTTCATCTTGAATTTATTTTTTAACTAACTTTTATTAACTATTTTAATCCCCCACTAGAAGAATTCTCAAGTATAGCATATCACATCTATCGCAGATACGAACAAATTAGTCTTATCTTTAGGGGTTTGCTCTCTTTTTTGGTGAGCACTCTTCACATACATTTTTACCACAAAACTTGCTATCATAATATAGAATTAATTTAATATTTCTATTTTAACCAATGACTGCAATATAAATACCAGTGCTTATTTTAATCATCTTTTAGCTTTTTTGTGCATACATGACACTTGGTATCATTTTTATAAGCTTAAGGATCTGCTAAGCGCTTAAAGACCTTTTCACCTATAAATTAGTATTTTAAAAATGTAAACTCATCAATATAAATGATCAAATAATTCTTATAAATATAAAAAGAAATTACCCATATAATTGTCTCTATTCTTTCTTATTTAAATTTTAATGTCTTTCATCTCTGCTAAATGAATGTCTTTTTTTATTATAAAATGTTTTACTTATGATTTCTTTCTTGTGTTTATTTTCAGCGATCTTTGATTAAAATCATTAAATGTTTAAATTAGACCACTATTATTTATTCTATAAAAGAATTATAATGCATTTATTTTTACGCTCATATTCCTCTTCTCTCTCCATTTATAATAAGCTTGATAGTATAATCTTTAATCTTTATAATGGCTATCCGAACTTTATTACTGCTAATTCTAATTTTTTTGTTTACTTTTTATTTAATAATTTTAAACTTGATTTACTTACTAATTTCTAAAGATTAACTGGATTTATTGGCAAACTATTACGCGATATTTAATATGTAATTTTGATATGGTATCTTACCAGAAAGAAAGTAAACATAACAAATAAAAGATTGGTATTAAATGTATATAGATAGAACTACTTTCTTTTTAATTTATTTAATTTAGATTTTATTATTTTTTACAATACTCTTCATTGTATAATATTCTCATAGAATTTAAAAAAATCAGCAAAAATTATTTATTAAACATTAATTCTTTTTATTCATTCGATCTCTTTTAAGATTCGTTTTAGTTATTAAAGTTAAATGGCAAGTGCAATACAAAATTAAGATAGTTTACTTAGCAAAATAGATATTGTAGTTCCTTAGAGTAATTTAGATCAGTAGGAAGATGAGGGATTAGTTTACAATATCAAGCATGTTATTATTCACAATACAGTAAATAATTTTAATCATCCTCGCTAATAATTATTCAATAATAAATTAAATAATAAGGCAGATGATTACCTAGACGAGCTGTAAATTACTCAATAAACATAGGAAGAATAAATTAAAGTAATTTTGATAATAAAATTAAGAATCAAATGGAAAAATCTCTTTTTATCTATTTATGAAGGATATGTGCTTTAAGAAGGCAGATGAATTAGTTCGCAATTTTTCAAAATTCTATTCAATGAAATAATAAATATTAGGGTTACAAGAATAAATGAAACAATTTGAAAACGAATTAGATGTAAAAATTAATTTAAATGATTTAAATGAAAAGTAAATTTTATTAAAATATTTATTTAGATATGCAGAAAATAAAATTAATATGATAAACTAGAGATAAAGCAAAAGGAGACCTTATTGAAAAATATTGATAGTACTTTAAAACTACTTCACTCAACAAAAGAAGTAGTTGATTTAATATAAAAGTCGATTGATAACCTCAAGTTAAAGAAGTTTCAAGCATGTATGAGGAATCTAATTTAATTGAAAAAAATTTAAGATTCAAATTATTAAGAAAACTAAATTATTCCAACATTTAACTCTTTGGTTAACTAAATAATTCCTATGATTAACACTAAAATACATGTGTAATATTCTTTATTATAAGATATTTATTTACTGATGATATTTGAAAATGATTATCTTTACATTAAAATAATTTAGATCATTAGAAGAAATGATAAGAGATTGGATGAAATATTCTAAAGAAAAGTAAAAGGAATTTGGATAAAATCACTTTACTCAAATGGAAAACATTATAAAAGTGTAAATTTAAGAAAATTTTACTGGTCAAGATAGGTTTACAAACTAAAAATTCTCTGCTGCGAGAGATAATTAAAGTTTTTTTAAGAGGGAGAGCAATATAAATCGATAGAGTGTATATTAGCTTAATCGTACAAGTTATAATAATTATAGAGCTTCGAATTCCATTTATAACAATGATCCTAAAAGAACTACTAAACTAAGTATTATTGAAAGCCTTAATAATCTTCCAGGGGCAATCCCATTTTAAAAAGCTGATTTTTCTAGAGCTTCAAGAGCATCCAAATTGAACAATATGAGTTTAACAAAAAATCTAGGAAGGGAATGGAAAACAGACTCTCCTTTAGACTTTTTTTAGCTAAAGCAACCTCAAAGCATATATGAAATGATGAAAGAGAAAAAACTATTTGTTGAAACATTCAAGCAAAATAGAATAAGACTTCTTTTAGAAATTAGTGAAGGAGATAAAATTAAAAGTAAAATTAAAAACTTATTAAGTTTTTGTAACAATTTTTTTTTTTTAAAAGACTCAAGATAATTTAGGGAATTCTTAGAATAGTTTGTTGGATTTTTTGTAGTTGAGAAAGAAATTGAAGGGGTATTAAAAGAAGCAAGCAATCTGCAATAAATGTGGGTTGAAGGAATGAAGTACATTGAAAAGAAATTGAAAGTAAAAAATTTAAATTTAAATAATAAACATTAAATCAGTTACATTATGAATTAGTCCTACTTCTGCAACCTTAGCGAAGAAAGTGAGTACATACCTTCTAAAAACGAAATAGTATTATTTTCTAATATTTTATATAAAATTGGTTTAGAAAGTGCTTCAATATCACTCATGAAAAGTAAAAAGCTTTACTAAAAATATATCCTCTCATAATTATTTAAAATAATATTCTAGTTATTAAAGATGCCCTTTTATAATACACAAATACTATAATTTCTAATATTAAATAAAACCACACTGAGAGACTTGTTAATTGCAGTTTTGCTGAAATAGTAGTCTAAAACTAAGACGATTATGGTAAATTAATTAAAAAATACAATAAAAATAAAAATATTTTGAAATATCCTAGATATTTTTTGCAGAATATTCGATGTGCCTCAAAGTGCTCAGATTAATGAAAATAATAAATCTTCTATGCAACTTCCTTTCACATTAATTTTATAAGAAATAGCTCTTCTAATCAACAAAGTAAATAAATGATTTAATATAAAAAATAAATTCTAACTTTTAAATAAATAGTTTATAGAAGATAGTGTTATATTCTTAAAAGGTGTATGTGAGTATGATTCATTGATTTACTCGTAACTAGACGTCTTGTATAAAACTGTATGTAAATTATTTTTATTTAGATTGTTGAAAACTTATAGATTTTAAAAATAGTTTGCATCAATTTTCGAAGAGTACATCTTTCGTGAAGTTAAAACTGAAATTTAGTTTGGATAAATGTTCCTTAATTTAGACTACTTAAAAAAATCTCCTAAATTTTACATCAAACAAATAGAGTCTTAATTACATGTTTCTCCAAGCTAAAAATTTGATTGTTTTCTCTCAATAGATTAGATTAAAAATAGATGCATAGAAGAAATGATTGAAATTATGAGAATAAAAATATCAGATTGCATTATAAGGTACGCACGTGTAAATTGGTAGCCAACACAAAAAAATAAGAGCTGCTAAGATTTCATTCATGAGCTTGTCATGCAAATGATGATAACAATTTAGTCATTAAGGATGATTAATTTCAATTAAATTGATACTATTTTGTATTTATCTATGAAAGAAATAAATTCTATAATCTGGAAATTTTTAGTTGAAGATTTAAAGAATTATAACATAGTTGGATTGATAAATCTCAGAACAGATTTATTGGCTATATTTGACATGTGCAAAACAGAGTTTAGATAATATCCAAGTAAATTTTAAAGAGAATTTTAAAGGTTTATTAATCATATTATTTTAAAAGATTTAACTGACTGTTTGAGAGAACTTGACACATTTTTGTTTCTATTTCTAGACAGAAAGCCTGGTGATTATTTAGAAGGAAACAACAGAGAAGAAATATATATGCATTTAGAGCCAAAAAAATTAATTGTTTTGTTAGATAAATACGTCGTAAATAAAATTCATTATTATTTTTTAAATTTTATCATTTTATATTTTAGAAATACGAGCTTCCAGGGCTAAGAAATCCAGTACCTAGGAAGAGAGAATGTGCTGCTATTTCAAAAAAATTAAAAGAAGAATTAGGCATTTATAAATGAAAGCTATTAAATATTTATAATTATCTATAAACTATTATTATTAAAAAATATGTATTTAGTTTTTTTTTCAATCTACCTCTTTCTATAAGTATGCTATTTAATTTTTAATATTTTTACTCTCTTAAATCTTCTAAAATAAGTTAATAAAATTGATTATCATATTTTAAATTTTATCATTTTTTAAATTAGAAATACGTTCTTCCTTGATTTAGAAATCCGTTCCTAGAAAGAGGGAGTTTGTTGTAATTTCTAATAAATTAAATGAAGAATTTGGCATTTATAAATGGAAGCTGTTTAATATTTTCAAGTTTTATAATTAACTAAAAATTGTTGTTATTGTTACTAAAAAATATGCATTTATTTATTTTGAATTTGTTTATACATGTATAATATTTAAAAATAATTAATAAGACTTTCTTAAATCTTCTAAAATAATATAGAATGATTAAATATTCTTTTAACATAATTCTAAGATATCATCCTTTATTTTTTTATATGATTATTGAAAACTATTTATTAGAAATATATTTGATTAATATGATTATTAAATTTATTTAATTTCAAATTTAATTACAAATAGCTAATTAATTTATTATTGATTGATGATCATATTCTTATTAATTGCATAAAAATTAATCAATATTTATTTTACTATCAAAAATATCAAAAAATAAATCTTTAGGGTTAATATAGATTAAGAATAAAATGGCAGAATCTAATAGAAGTTAATATGAATAAAACTAGCTATCTTAATTAGCTTAAAGAATTTTACCAGAAACCTCTAAAATATTTTGGATATTATAAAGAATAGATTATGATAGATAAAAAAGCAATCATGATCATGATTTACAAACTTAGATAATCACTGTTGATACTGTTATTATTTTTGCTAGATCAGTTTACTAAAGTAATCGCTGATTTATTTTAAGGATTATAAAAATCAATATTTATATTTATATTTTAAAAAAAGCTACTCTAGATGGATAAAAAGCTTATAATATTTTATAAATGCTAGACGGACTAAAAATAGGAATGCTGAATAAAGAATCATTTAATCAAGCAATTGCAATTAAATTGCGTGAACTTTTTGGGGAAATTGTTTATAAAATGTCTTTCTAACTACAATCTGAAATTAAGGTTTTACATATTATCATAGCAAATATTTTTATGGCTAACTAGCATCCACTTAATAGCCAATTAACAGACTATATACAAAAAAAATAATCTTTAAATATTATAGCTGAGTTTATCCATAAATTACATCTCCAACCTTTAGAAAATAAAGTAAAATTAAAAGTTATGAGTTCAGTCAAATAAGTATTAATAACTTTTTATAATTTTAGAAAGAAATGTCTGATGAAATATTTGATTTTATGTAATAAATTAACTTAATTTTAGAGAATTTAGCTGTGAATTTGGCTATAGATACAAACGAAAATAATCTTTAGGCTATTTGTAAATTATTATCATACCAGCTTCTTAGTATAGACTAAAATGATATGAGCAGCATAGCTGATTTTATGAATATTGTTTATTAGAAAATGAGTGATTATAATTTTTTTAACTTGTTAATGAATAAAATTGGAGAATTTTAATATCAAAATACTATCGAATACACTTTTTTAATTTAAATACTTCGTCTTATACTGTGCAGTGGACGTGTTTACAATTAAAATTTTAATGGAGAGAAATTCGTAGTCTAATTTTTGGAAAACTATCCTTAAGTATTTACATTTAATTTTGTAACTAATTTGATAATAAATTGCTAATTTGATTAATTGGAAGTATAATTTATGCAGTAAACTACATAGTAAGATAGCGATGAAGAGTTTCTTCTGTAATTAGAAATGCAAGTTAAATAAAAACAAAATGTTAGATAAGAATCTTTGTAGATTCTGCTCTATCTTTGTAAATACCATTCTAGGTTTAGAAAATATCTTGTTGAAAGCACAGACTATTTTTCGTATTAAGTTTAGAATTTATCCCTCATTGATGAATTTTCATTGTGTTTGGTATCTTATATTATTTTAGAAATATCTCAATAAGAGCTTATAGAAAAATCTAAAACTGTTAATTATGCAGCTTCAAATCTTCTTGCTCAGCAACTCCTCTTCTTTGGATAGAATTTTTTATCTTTAAATGTATAAAATCACCCATATTTTTCAGAAATATTATTTAATGGAATCGATATCGTGAACAACTCTCTTTTTCTGTTACAATACCTCCCAGGTGATATAGATAAGATATTTGAGCTAATTGACAATTTATTCAAGTAAATTATTTTTATATGTACATAATGCAATATATATTTATAATAGATCAACTAATGAAGATATATAAAGCAGAGTGTTAAGAATTTTCAAAAATATTATTGATTCTAGTGAAGAAAAGCTCAAGTTGAAATTTATAACTCAATCTAGATTAGACATCATATATTTTGAATTGTAAAAATAAGAATCTCCTCTTAGAATGTAGTGTCTTAGCATTATAAAATCTCTCATAAACTCAGGAATGATCATTGTATAATTTTTAAATTTTATTATAATAATGATAATTTTCAAATATAATAAAGGAAACTCTTCATTCTCATTTGATAAATACACTAATTAAAAATAAATACAGTGATGAAGAGAATATTTTTATTATGCAAATATTTAGAACCATCACTGAGAAATAAAAGGAATTTGTATTGATGTAAGATATATTTTTAATTAAATAAATTATTCATATCTATATTAACATTTATTGAAAAGATTTTTTTGTTTTGAAATTTTTTAAAAAGCATTTGATATTTATTTTTTTTTAAATTAGAGGCATGCTGGAAAACGGTCTTTTAGAAAAAATAAGCAAAGTTGTTTTAGAAAGCTTTAGTTCATTTAAACTAGATTCACTAAATGAAATTTGTATTTATGAAAATCCTTACTTAAGCTTTGATTTCTTTATTGATTATATCTCAATCATTTAGCAGATAGCTTTGAATAACAAAAATAATAAATTTGAATCATTTTTAAAAGAGTCTTTCTTTAAGAATCTGCACAGTATTTTTTAGATGTACTTCGAAAATAAATAGTTTTGCTTGATGACAATAAATTAGAAGATTGAAATCACAATTAATTAAAAAAGCGTTTCTCATAGATTAGCTTATGTTATCCTTGACTTGATGAATCACTTTCAAACTACATGCAAAAATAATTTAATAATTGAATCTCTTATATCAAGACTGAGCAGTAAAGTTTCATTTTTATAATTAATAAATTTATTATTTTTTTAATAAAATAATTAGATTAGTTTAACTATGAGATTTACAAAATATATTAACTTTCTTAGATAGATAATATACCTATTAATGTTATGATAGAAGTTAAATTCATAGAAATAATCCCTATTGATTTAAATACAACTTTGGGGGATAAATTCAAAGTTTCCAAAGATATTACATACACTGATTTTATGAGATTTATTCAGCTGAATTTTTAATAGGGAAAGTATAGTTTTAAAATTAAGAACATAGATGATAACACAGATATAGAAGATGATCAATCATTATAAAAATCTATTAAAAAAGCTATGGAAGTTAAAATTTAAAGTGATGAAAAAATGTTTTCACTCAGAATCAGAATTATAGCAACTCCAGTTTAATAGTAATAGTAAATAGCAAATTAATAAATATATATAGATTATCTACAATAGTAATGGCCTCATGCAAATATGGTCTATGGAGGATAGCGAATTCCCTATCCTCCTTAATTGTAACAGCCACAATAAATACTATAAAATAGATACCTAGTTTTCTGTAAAATATGTAAAGGTACTTTTCAGAGCTATGGACAAATTGTTTCCCCATGCTTACTTTGTAATAATTTTATTCCTAATTAATTTTCGTATCAAGCTATACCCACAGCACCAAATATATATACTGCATTTCCTCCTCAAATATAGTAACCATAAATTGCTCCTTAATTATTACCTGTTCAAGCACTTCCCCAATAGTTATAATTAGCATATTCTCCAATAAATGCGTCTTCTAAGAGTAAAACATAGCTAAGTAGTCCTTATAAATTAGACTGAAGATAAAAAAAATAAATTATCAAAATTTAAAGGAAAATATTAAGATAATGTTTAAAAAAAATAATTCATTTGAAGTGTCCATAATCAGTTAATAAAAAAAAAAATTTTTAAGAAATATTTCAAATTTAATTTATTAATTAATGTTTGTTTCGATCAATTATTTTAAATCCAAAAATATATTAACTCAAATATTTTTTGTAAATTCGAATTATGTTTACTTAATTTATAACTTATTATTTATACTTTTTCTATTATATAAAATAGTAAACTTAAATATTTAAATATAAATTCTTATAAAAACATAGGTAGATTGACATAACTTATTTTTCAATAAAACTGAAATTACTTCATTTTTTTTTATTTTTGAAATTGATTCCAAAAAATTTAGTTTTTATTCAATTTGATTCATAAAAATAAAATATAATTTCATTTTTCTTAGAATAATGAATGCGTAGACTAAAATTAAAATATCCAAATAAGCTTTATTATCATATATTAAGCAAAATTAATCAATATTTATTTAAAAATAACTGAATTTATTGAATATTAGCTTTAATATTAAAAAAATCTGAAAGTTTTAATAACATTTATTAAATGATGTAGATATTATTATTAAATTAATGAACTTTATCTAGAAAAAATACTTTAATAAGTCTTGATTTATATTGAGGATATATATTTCAATGATTAAAATACATATAAATAAATGTGTTTTTTCAAAAACATATTTCTTTATTTTAGTTGTATTACTAGCTTTCTTAAAAATTAGTATTGTATTGTATTTGTTGATATTAGTTGATGAAATATTAAAATCAGATTTATATTTATAATTTAATTTCTTATCAATAATTGATTGCTTTTATTGTGGTTTATATTTTTAAGATATTTTTGTTTGTTTGTTTTTTTTTATTTTTAAATTTAATTTCAAATTATTTCAAATATTTTCTTCTTTTTTTCTAATTTTTTCTTATTTTATCTTTCTAATTTTTTAAATATCTTTTTATTTTTTATTTCTTTTTATTTATTAAATTTAAGTTGCTTGCTGCTACTCTACCATTCTCGATCATCTGTTCGTTCCTAGGATTTTAAACAATACTTTTATATATTCGAAGCAGGGTAATAGAAGATGCGGTATAAGAGGGAATTCCGGGAGATAAACATAAATTAGCTTTTTTAATAATACCAACTAAATTATTAAATCTATTGCTAAAGTTTATCTTGCGATTAGTTAAAAACTTATTCAAAGCCGCGAAAGAAATGAAACATATTCATAGATTTCTAGTTTGTAAATTCTTTAAAAACTTATGCGAGTGTCATATATTGTCAATACCACACGTAGTCGTATTAAAAATGGTTTAAGAATTACGAATATGTTTCATTTGTTAGTATATTTTTATTTATCATTTTTTATTTTATTTAGTTGGTGTTTTCTTTTTTAAGATATTAATAACTATTTTTTAATTAAATATTTATTATGAGAAAAATAAATACATCAAATATTATTTATTAAATACCGCCTTATCCAAATTTAAATTTTGAAAATCTAAAATTTTAATAAAAAATTCAATTAAGGTTTTAAGTATTTTTATCTAAATTACAATGAAATATACATCATGATAATATCGCATCAACATTTTTAAACAATTTTAATATCTTTTTAATAAAACTCTACTCAAACACAAAAAATAATTTCTTTTAATAAATGAAATATTTATATTAGTTTATAGCTTATTAAAATAAAAATAGATAAATTCAATACAAGTATAAATAAAAATACTAATATTCTTCTATACTAATCAGTTTGCAACATCAAAAAAAAATTAAAAGCTATAATAAATTAAAGGAAAATTAGACAAACAATATTTGCTATTAGTTAAGTATCTCATTCTATCTCTTTTATGGAAATATAAATATAATTAATATTAAAAATCATAACAAATAAATTAATATCGCCTTATTATTAAATACCATTTTATTAAATTATCTACTTTTAATTCATTAATAAATAAATAATTTTTTTGTTGTCATTTTACTCGATCTAAAAATGAAAATTTTTATTCTCAAAAGCATATCTTATTTGTTGATTAATAAAAAAATACTATTTAAAAATGCATATGAAAGTTTGGTTTGATAATATATTTAGATTTTATAATTATTGTTTAAATTATAAAAATTCTAATAAAAATAAACAATTCTAATTAGTAATTTATTTTAGTTTGATTTAAAATTGATAATTATCTCTTTTATTAATATCGTCTATCTGTTTAAAAATAGTATATTTATTTATTTATTTATTTATTTTTATCAATTATTATTATTTATTTGTATTTAAATTATTTATTTATTTTTAATTATCATTTTTTTGTCATGAATATTTTGTTTTTTAATTTATTTCTTTCCTTTTATTCTTATTTATTTATTTATTTATTTATTTATTTTTTATCTTATTTAATAATTTTATATTTTTTATTATTGCTTAGGTTATCACGATGAGGGAGCAGCATAGATAGATAGGTGATCTTTTATATTTATGCTTAAAAAATATTTTATAAATTATTAATAAAGTATTGTATTAGGAAAAAGATTAGTAGATATTCTTTTTTTCTATGCTTGTGCTATAAATCTTTCCACTGCTTCTCTAAGTTGAAAGTATATTTGTTCATAAATATTTATTTATTTAAAACAACTTTCAATATTTTCGATGATTATATTATTTATTGGTTAAAAAATTTAAATTGTAATAGCATTAATAATCATCTGTGGAATTAAAAACTTTAAGTGGTAGATTTATCTAAAGCATAGAATTATAAATGACATCATTTTATTAATAATAATAAAATAGAATTTTCATATTTTAAAAAATACAGTGAAATCACTATATATTTATAAACATTAAAATTCTTTAGTTGTTTAAGAATATCTAACTTTATTTTTTAGTGTTTATTTTTAATTAATTTTTCTTATTTTTTTCAAATTTTTCTTCTAATTAATTATTATATTTTCTTTTATTTTTTCTCAATAAGTTAAGCTTTTCTTATTTATTTTGAAAGCACCAAATGAATCTTAATTTATTAAGATCAGATAATCTTAAAATCAATACATACGCTTATTTTCTTCCTTTTTTTCTTTACAATTAAATAATTTGAATATTCATTTTTATTTTGATATCATTTAGAATAAAGATATTATAAAATAAATTTCAATTTTTTAAAAATTTAATCAGGCATGCAAATATTTTATTTTAAAAAATGATATTTGATATAAAAAATAATAATACCAGTAAAATAGAATTAATATACATTTAATTTTATTTTTTTTAAATATTTTAATAATTCCAAGACAAAAGTATTTTAATTGCAAAAATAATAAAATCTAAACATTGATAAAAGCTATTACAAAAGATTATTATAAATAACTATTAAAAAAATGAAAATTTTTCTTTGTATTGTTTTGATTAGAAAATTTCTTATATTTTAAGAAATTTTTATGTTGAATGGGAAATAAATATATATATTATATATCGATGAGAGAGATGAAAATTAATAATTTATAATGTTAGAAGTATTGCGTATTAATTTTTTTCTTAATTTAATGAAATTTTATTTATTTTGGGGAATGCATTTATTTAATTAATAAAGTTATTTATTTGTTTGTATTTCTTAATTGTTATTTGTCTGATAATTTTCAGAATTAATTTTTAACGGATTTTTTTTTTTAATATATTTTGTGTTAAGGTTATTTATTTTGTTCAATTACTTTTTTATTATTTTATTGATAATTTTTATTTATTTATTTTATTTTTAAAAATTCTTTTTTTTTTGTTTACTTTTTAAAAATCTCTCTATTTATTTTATTAATTTATTTTATTTTATTCTTTCTTTTTTAAATATTTTATCTCTCATTTTTCTTTTTTTATTTATATCTCTCATTTATCTCTTTCTCTTTCAAATCGCATCATTCATTAAAGCTCTCAATCTCAATTTTTTGTTGTAATTTTGACAAATGGTTAAGGTTTTTATAAATTAAAGAAAAGAAGTCATAATAATTTAATTTAACATATATCGCCACGTAGAAAGGTACCTAAGGGAATAAAACATTTTTTTAATAATAATTTTTATTTTTATTTTATTTTGATAGTAGACTAAGCTTTCAGTATCGTTAAATAAACTGAAATCGTTTACTGAAAGTATATGCGTCTGATTGTTTTAAATTTAACAATCTTTAGTTTACCTAGAGCCCGACCTTGAAGGTTCACTTCAAGATGCGGAACCCCTGTTAATGAAGGCATGATAGATAAAGTATTCTATGCGTTCTGGCGAACTGTCTCTGTATAAAAGCTGAAGTTATTTAAATATCATTTAGTTTTTAAGCATTATAGATTAGAAGTTTAAGATCTCAAGTTCAAAGCTATAGTGTTCAGAGCTGAAACTTAGAATTCATTTTAAATGACGAGACTTCCTTCATTCTTCTTTTTGGCATTTATTCTTAAACAAGTTTTCATATTATTTTCATCTAAGCTTTCTGATTCTTAAATTTTATGATTTCAGTTATCTCTTATCAAATTTTAATGCAATTAGATTTAGAGTGGTTGGCGAGAATTCCGAAAGTTTTCATTTTGTTTAGTAGATGACTGTAACCATTAAGATTTTTGTGCTTGGCTAAAAAAATTATTCTTTCTTAATGGGATAAGATCAATTTAAAAACTTAAGATCTTATGCTTTTTTAAGTATTTTATTTAATTTGACCGTTTAAAGCCTCATGACATTTTTTAAAGCTCGTTTGAGCATATATTTAGATTAGATATTATTTAAATTGATAAAAAACTTGAAAGATGCTTTAAAAACTGTTAAAACTTTCATTAGGAATTCTTCTCTACTTAATTGCAAAAAAATCATCAATTTGATAGCTTTATACATAATTATTTACAAATCATTAAACTTTTGATTTCAATAACACTACACTTATTGACAGAATATAAGTCTAATAGGTTGTATGGATAGGGATTAGCTCATAAGAATAGGCTGTATCATTTTAGTAGATCTTCTTTAGGAATATAATCAAGTATTTCTGCAATATTTAAAGAAGATATCTTAAAAGCAAAAGATATATAGATGCTGCGATCCATCTCAACTTATCTATAAGCTAATATATCTAGTATGAACTTTAAATAACTCTGCTTTATATTTCTCCTTATTTAAAAACTTGAGACTAGAACACTCGGATACCTATCATGGTTTAGCTTCTTCTAGTTTATTTTTTCGGTAAACTGATTTATATGTTGTGTTTTATCAACTAATATAAATAATTAACAAATAAAAATTATGATCAACGAATATATTTTTAACGAATAATTAATTTTTACTTCTATTCCACAATACTTTAATAAATTAGATAATTTTCTTTATTTTTCTTAATACGCTAACCTTATATAACAAATAAGAAAATCATAAGACCATTAGCCAAAATACTAAAAATAACATCGTAAATATAAAACATCATTTTTTTAATTTAATTTTCTTTGTATTTTTATTACAAAATATTATTTGAAGTATTCTTAATAAAATTTATGATTTTTACTCTAAAATTATGTATGTATGTTTTAATAAATTATTAAATAAATCAAATATAATTTTTTATAATTTGAAAAAATAAATTATAATAGAAAAAATTTTAAATATTATTTTTATATAAATGAATATAATATATTATCCAACTTAAATTAATTAATTTTATTTATTTTGTAGAAATTATTTGTTATTTTTCCCATAAAAGAAACAATTATGTAGATAACATATAGGCAAAACCAATAAAAATTTATAATATTATTATGATATTATTTTATTTTGTCCTTAATTTTGTTAGTTCTCACACACTATTTGGAATAATCTACCTATAATTCATTTAATTATTTGAGGAGTCTCAAATTGTTTGCTTTCTGTTGATAAATCTGCTATGGTCTTGCTTTGGCTCCTATAATATTAAATTGGGAGAATTAAAAGAAATAAAATTATTTTTGGTAAAATTTAAAAATTGTTTTAATAAATAATAAAAGATAAAAAAGTTTATTATGAATTATAAAATTAAATTTTTTGTCAAAAATTATGAGCTTAAAGAAATACTTTTAAATGAAAGATTATAATCGAATGCTATCATTTAGGGCCTAAAAGAAATTATTGAAGGTACTTTTTTTATTCTTCACTGAATTTTTAATATAAAATATCATATTCCTCATCATTCATTTAAATGATAATTTTCATAACTTTATCTGATAGTTTTAAATTAGATTAAATTTTTTTTAGGAATTCTGCAAAGAAGTCAAGTTTTTCATAATAAGATTTTATTTAACTTTAATCTAATTTGTCAGAATATTCGATTACATCTTATATGAACTCGTCCAATTCGTAACTACTCTAGTTATTTTTATATTTTTCCTTTATTTCTACTGCTTTTATCAGGTAATCGATTGCTTCATTGCTTTTTAGTATTTCAAGTATTTTTCCATAGCTATTTAATGCAACAGAATAAATTTCACAATTAAGCATATCGTTTTATTATAAAATATTAATTGCTTATAAACAATATTTCTTTGCATTTTCATATTACTATATCTAGAGGTACATATCAGCTAAATTAAAAGAAATTAAAGCAGTTTAGTAAGGATCTTATATTAATTCGTTCATTTAAAGCACCTCATTCATTTAATTTAATGCTTATTCATATTCTCCTTTTGCCATATATAGTGTTGCTAAGCTATTCTAAAATTTAGAAAGAAGGTAGTAACTCTTTTTAATATAAATTTATTTCATTATGTCAATAGATTGTTATATATTTACATGTGCTAAATTGTAAAAATATAATTACAATTAGCTTAAATTTTCTATTTTTATTGGTTATTATGGAAACCCATTATTCTATTCTGAAGCTTATTTTAGAAATTTATTTAATTCTTCCTCATCAATATTTTCATTTTAAGATAGTGAAAATAATTCTGTATAAAATGTTCCAATATTATGGAGAGTTATTGCAATGCTAGGATGAATATCATTCTTTAATAAATTTCTTTTTACTTATAAACATTATGTATAGTTTTATAGTGCATCTTGATATTTTTTTTAATCATTTTAATAAGTTGCAATGTTATTTAAGATTTGACTGTAATAATAGCTTGATGTATCATTTAATTCTTTAAATATTTTTATACTCTAATTGTATAATTTTTCAGCTTCATCAAGCTTACCTGCTGTAAGTAAACACTCTGCAAAGTTACTGCAAATTTAGCATACTACAGGAAGTAATAGCTTATCATTAATTTTGTCCAGCTACTTGATTGAAGCTTTATACAAATCATAAGCCTCTTTATATAACCCAAGGTTTATGTAGCATGCTCCGATAGCATTAGCCAAATCTATTAAAAAATTAAAATCTTCCTAAAGCTATATACCAATTTAAAAGCAAGTATTTAAAATCTTTGCAGATTAATAATATTTTGATTGGATATAATAAGCAAAACCGATACAGTACAAGCCAAATAAGAAGACTTTATTTGGATTCTAAGACAAAATATTTATTAAACTGTCTTCATTATCTAGATCTATATCTTATGAGAAATTTATATCATAAAAGAATAAATTCAATTTTAACTAAACAAATGAGTATGAGTAAAGTACATCTTTAATAAACTCTTGATCTTTATCAATTATTTGAACTTAGTCTTATATATATTATAAAATTAGCTTTACTTTTTAAGCCTCCTTAGAGAATGTATTTTATTAAACGTTAAAATCTCTAAGAAAGCCAGTAAATCTTAACAATAATTCATCACATTTAATTCTATCTTAAGGTTCTTTTTTTGTCATCAGCACAATTAGATTTTTAAAATTATCAAAAAATTTCTACTGTTAATTATATAAATTGATGTTTTATTTAGAAAATGCTTTCATTACTACTTCAAACGTTTTTCCTAATGAAAATATATCGCTCTGATAATTATCAATTTATTAATAATCTTATTATTCTTAAGGGCTAAAAGCACTTGTATGTCCTAATGGAACAAAGGATTCTCCATATTTTAATTTATTAGATAGACCAAAATCATTAAAATATAATTTCAAGTTTGTATCTAAAAGTATATTTGCTGGTTTAATATCAAAGTGCTATATGTTGTAATAACGAAGTTCTATTAATCCAAAAATCATATCATATATAAATGAAACAAAAGTATCCTGATCAAATTTATTTAATGAGTTAGTTAAATATTCATGGAGAGATTATTAGTAAAAATCGGTTAATATTATTATTAAATTACTATCTGGAATATCTATTTTATCTTTTTAACTTGTTAAGTTAAATTATTTTTTAATAGATGATATAATTTTATATTCTTTTTCTATTTCTTCTTTATTTTTCTCATTTTTATAAAAAAGGAATCTTAATACAAATATGCCATCTTTACTTCTGCATTCTAAAATATCAGCTTCACCTCCTGAATTTATAAATTTGGTTATTTCCAAGCCTTTCTCTTCAAGTTTTATTCTAATCATCTCAACAAAAGCAGCTTTTTAATTTTCTTTGACATTCATATTTATATGATGACCTTAAAATAAAATTTATGATAGAGCACACTCTCCTTCATAATTTTAAAAGCCCTAAATTGATTCACATTTTTTATCTGAACATTGGCTGATATCCATTTTTTCCAAAGAATTTTCAATATTTAATTATTTTTAATCAAATTAATCAAAATTTTAATAATCTTTTTGTCCTTAAGAATTGTCATAGTTTAAAATTTCTTGCTTTTATTCTGAATTTAATTTATTAGAATCATTTTATTTATCATTTTGGTTAATTTATTAATCTTTCATTGAACTTAAAGGATTAAAGATTACAAAATCTCTAGATTCTTAATGTTTTTATTGTGAAAGATTTTCTTTTTTTTTACTGTATTCCAATAATACTTTATTATCTAAAAACTTTTTTATTATCTCTAACGATTATTATTTTAACTCCAAAATTTTTGTGTTTTAATATAAATCATTTTATTCTTGCAATTTTTTTTCACAATTATCATTAGACTTAAGCTCTTAAATATTTATTTAGTTTTCTTTTGATTATTATTTTATTAATATCTGTTTCTCAATATTTTCTTAGTTTTTAGAATCATCCATCATTTAATTCTTAGGTTCTTATTTATTGGTTTATTATATTTTCTTTTCTTTTATTTGATTCAATTCATTGTTTCTACTTGGTATCATTTTTTCTTTATTTAATTTTTTTTAATTTTTATTAATTGTATATTCGTCATCGAAACATAATTTTAAATAATTTTCTTTCTTTTCCTCTTCATTAATTATCTAATAATTAAAACTCGATTCATTTGATTCTAATGTCTAACAAAGCTTTGATTATTTTTTACATTTTTAAATAGTATTTTAACTATCCTCTTTTTATTTTCTTTGTTATTTATTATTTTCTTTAACCTCAAATTATTTGTAATCTTAATTTTATTGCATTGTTTTTATATCTTTTTTATTTAGAATTTTTTCAAATTTAATAAATTATTATCTGGTTTTGCTTAATTTATTTTTTTTTAAAGAATTTTTATAATGACTAAGTATTCTAATCTAATCAATAAAAATTTATTTTCAGATCAGGCAGTTCAAAATACGAAATAATTAAATTGATTACAATTAATTCTTTACAAACAATAGGATAGTATTATAAATATTGATAAATTTAAAATTAGTTTATACATACTTATATGTAATATATTAATTTACACTTGAATAAATTTGAATTGTAAATTTATTAAAGGTATTATATTCAATTATTAAAAAATTTAAAGGCCAGAATATTTTTAAACCAACAAGCTTGTTTATTACAATAAAAACTAATATTTGATTAATAATTAAATTTAGTGGTATTTTAAAATAGAACTAATATATAAAATAATAAACATTAGGTTTCGGTTGTATGGACGTTTTTGAAATTAGGTTGAATAATTGTATTATACTATTAATCTAAAAAGAGTATGAAATAAACTAAAAAACTTTAATTTTTAGAACTCGTATTTATATTACACAATATATAAATTTATAGATTGATTCTTTTTATGAACACATTTATGATAACAATAAATTAATTATATATTTTTTATTAGATAATAGTAAGAATATATTTATTTACTTATTTTAGGAAAATTGTTTTTAAATTAGTTTTTGGTTTTATTTCTTCATATGTTTTAAAACTCTTTATTTTAGTTTAATAAGTATTCATAGTACTTAAGAGATTTAGATGTTATGTTTTTTACTTCTTATGGAAAGTCTTTTGAATTTTTTTCAAGAGAAATTTCATAAATGTTATTGTCAGGAGCTTTAATTTTCATTGAAGCATTTTTATTTTTGTAATATATTTTGTATCCTGTTTTAAATTAGGCCTCGAAACAGTTATTTTCTAACAGGATAAAAATTCCTTCTTTATTTTCAAGCTTGGATATAACTTTTTTAGTTTTGAGTGCATTAATTACCTGCTTGGCATATCCGTACAAGGCATAGTATTTTGCGGGAAGGTTATTGAGAGTGTAATGCTTCTCCATAGGTTTATCAATTAGTTTATTTATTTAAATCTTTATTTATTAAAACAAATAAATAGTTTATAAAAAATAGTTTTAAATATTAATCTTACCTTTTATCCATCTTTAGATATTTTAAAGAGTAAACGACCATTGCAAGATTCTACTAAGAGGGAATGATCTGAAGTTATCTCAATATAACCGTTTTTCGTTTTAATTTTAGAAACATCTAAGTCATCTCCTACTTTTACAGGAGAAATTTAGCTAGTTATGATATTAGAATTTTATTAATTCAGTTGTATGTTATTAGAATATTTATCTATTTCATTTGTTTAGTCAGCTATAAAACTGCTAAATGATTTAGAAGTGTTTAATCCTTTGTTAAAGCTTCTATTTGTAGTATTCATTGAATACTTTGAGCATGCTGCTGTAGAAGTATTTTCATTGTTCTCAGTTTCCAAACACTCTAATCTAGGAGTTTAATTAACATCAATATCACATGGCTCAGTCTTTATATACTCTTTAGATGATCCTTTAGCTCTCTAATAAATATTAAATTATTAATTATAAATAAATTATGATAAAATAACTTATTAAAAAAAATAACTTCCTTATAAATCTAAAAAATACAAAATATTTTATTCAAAAAATTTTAAAAAGTTTGATAATTTTACCATTAGAGAAGTAGGTTGCTAACTGGGTGCAAACGATGGAGGATTTATATCTCTATATGTATATGAATTTTTATTGCTAGGAGGCTTTTAACTGATTGAAACATTAGTGGGTGTATGTATTACATTCGATTTAGAAGAAAATTAAGCTGTAGATTAAAAATCTCTTTCTACAGAAAAGCTATTCATTTAGGAGCTGTCTAATTTAAGATATGATATATCAAAAGAAGTGTGATTATTATCATTATTATGTGTTGATTTAGAGGGTTTTTATCTTTAAATATTTTAATTTATTATTATTTGATTATTATTATTTTATGCTAAAAACTATTAAGACGAAGGAGAAGGAAAGGTCATGGTTGTTGTTATGTTATTCCTGCATGTTGTGTTTGTGCTTATTATATCTTGGCTAATATTTGTTTATTCAGTTGGAAAATGGAGACTCATTTTCTTTTTAACATTTTATATTTTAGAATTGTTGTTCTCTTTCATAAAAATCATGTTGTTTGATGATTGAGAAAACATTTTATTATTTCCACTTGGAGTAGTTACAAACTCGTTTTAGTTAGATTAATCAATAGATATTTGCTTTTTTTAAATATTTTCTTAATCTATAGTTTTAAAACTAAGCTGATTTTTTTATTCATCCCGAGGACGAGGAGGTTGAGGTGGTATTATACCACTTATATCAAGACTTTTATTTTTTTAATGATTAATTGCTTGATTTTATTAAATCTTTGAGTCATTAGGAAATCCATTTAAAATTTATACTATAGGGTTTTTATAAGATTTTTATGATTAAAAAAAATTATTTGTATTGATATTTTGCTAGTTGCTTGAGGGAGTAGTAGATGACGATTGATGAAGAGAATTCGATTTAGTGGCTTTATTCAAGAATGTATTCAATATAGTTTTGCTTTATGGTTTTTACTAAATAGTATCTATTTATTGCTATTACTATTTGTTTGATTAGGATATTTATGGATTATAATAAGAATTTTATGATATATTTTAAATTTCTTATATTATTTATTTGTTTCTATTATTATCTATGCTTTATTCACTTACTTCCTTCTTTAAGCCTTAAGCTAAAGTTTAGTGCAATATCTAATCTTGCTTTTACTCGTTCTTCTGATTATAGCTGTAAGATTTTTAAAGTGGTATAGGGTTTAACTTTTGTTATTGCTAAAATAATTTTTGTTAATTATTAATTGAATTTAGAATATTTGAATGGATATTTTCCTTATTTTCATTTACTAATAATTATTCTTTGCTTTAAAATCTATTTTCTTTAGTTTGTTTATTTTGTAAAACGTTATTTTCTTAGATTTGATTGGAGCGATTTATATTGTTAATTTAATATAAATTATCATTCATTATTTTATTTTATTAAAAATGTTTAGAATTGTTAGACGAATCCATTGAAAAATTAGATCTTTGCCTAGTATGCCCTTGTTAAATATTTTTATTATTTTAATTGACAGATTATTCCATTTAAAATGGTTGAGGAGGAGCAAAAGTCATAGGATTTTATAATTTATATTCATTTTCATGAGTATTTTATTTGGATTTATTATAAAAAGGATGACTTTTTATTTAACTGATATTGTATCTTGTGTCTTAATTCTATTCAAATTTTAAAAGCAAAGTTAAAAATTAATTTTGTTAAATTAAAATTTTGAAAAAAAGTCAGTTAAATTTTTGTAAAATTTATTTATCTGTAAAAATATATGATGATTATTGTATATTATTATTGTGATTAGAATTCAATTTATTTATTTACCCAATCAAGTATATGATCAATTAGATCAACTAAAGATTTAGATAAGTGAGAAGGATACTCTACTTTATTCTTTTTTTATAGCATTTTTAGTGTTTGTTATATACTCACTGTTTCAAAAGGAGGTCTACCAGTAGCAATAGTGTATAGAATGCACCCAAAAGACCAGCAATCTGATTATATTCCATACTTTTCCCTGCTACAAATTTCTCTTTAATTAATATGTAATGAATTATAATTATTTTTTTTTAATTTATATTTTACGGAGCTATGTAATTAGGAGTTCCGCAAAATGTGTCTCTCTCCGATTCGTAGTTAGTTACTCTTACAGCTAACCCGAAATCACAAATTTTAACGCTGTTATTCCCAGTAAGCAAAATATTACCAGGCTTTAAATCTCTATGAATAATTTTGTTTTTGTGTAAGTATTCAAGACCTTATACAATTTAATATGAAATGTCTCTTGCTTCATCTTCATTGAGCCTAGTTTTTTCAAATAATTAAAAGTTGATATAAACTATCTAAAGCATCGTTATATTTATTGATAAAAGCTTTTTTACCTTCCTTTACTTTTTACATAATCAAAAAGACTGCCTCCTGGGCAATACTCAAGCATCATATATACATATTCATTGTCTTCGAATCTTTTTAAAATTTTTACTATGTTTGGATGGTCTAGTTATGAGTGTAGCTTATTTTTAAAATTAAATTATAATCCTTTGAAAAATAGTTGTAAAATAAAAGGTACATTATATTCATTTTTGATTCTATTAATATTGTTAGTGTAATATTATGACTATTTTGTGATTGTTTTTAAAGCCTAATTTGTTTTATAAATATTCTATTATAAAGATGTCATACTTAATTAAATATTCTATTTACATAAAGCGATCCAGATTTGTATTCTTCAATTAGAAAAACGCAACTTCCTGCGCCTCTACCAAGAGTTAAAGTAATCTTAAAATTCTATTAATTATGGAAAAAATGAGTCTAATTATATTTTTCTTCTTTGTATTGTTTTTACATGTAAACTAGTTGAAATACTATTCATTAAATGATTTTCCTCTTCTTCAACTTACTAAGAGCTACTTTTTGGCTTTTAATCTTTTTTCTATTGAATCATTTAAGTTATCATATGTCTATCAAAAAAAGACCTTGTAAAACAAAATTGATTTCTCTATCTATCTATTTATTTATTTGCTTATTTTGATTTATTAATTTGGTGATGGAAAGATTTCTATAAAATCAAATAAAAACGCGATATTTTAATTAAATTAACAATTAAATGGATTAATGATAAACTGAATAGATCATTTAAATTCAAATTTAAAGGACTTTGATCGCATAATTTCTTCTAATATTATGGTTATAATATTGATTCCATTCAAATTTGTAAAATTAATTGAAAGCAATTATTAATAACAAATAAATAAATACATTTATTAAATATCGATTTAAATAAAAGATCTAGATATAAAATAATGCATATATGCAGTATTTACAGATCGAAGAAAACTTTCAAAGGCTATTAACCTTAAAAGAATTTTTGAATCATAATCTTAATATAATCATTAATAAATTTATTTGAATATTTTAATGTAAAATATGTTAAGTAAAATTAAAAATTTAAAAACAATAAATATTTCTATGTTCATTTTGCTAAATATAAAAATTATTTGAGAAATTGATAAATTTTAATTATTATTTTAATAAATTAAATTCTGTTTAAAATTATTTAATTTTATTTTGTGAACTTTAATACTGAAAATAAATTATTCATTTGATATTATCAAGAATTAAAAATATTCAGAAAAAAACTTAGTAATTAAACATTTTATACTATTTTTTTAGAATCAAAATGTGCTTTAAAAATATTTTTAGAAAATTTTATTAACATTTTTAAAATCTTAAAATACCAAAAAAAACTCATAGTGTTTTAACGATGTAATTTTTTATCGTACCAAGTTTATAATTATTGATAATGAACATGATTAATAAAATAAATTTATCAATATTTGCAATTATAAAGACCTAATTTAACAATAATGTTTAAAAAGGGAATAAAAATTATATTTAAGCTTATTATTTTATTCAAACAAGTTAAATTATTAATGTCTTCAGTTATAATACAATTATTGAATTCAAAATAAATAACTAATATATTTATCAATTAAGTATTTCATTATATTTTGCTTTATTAGAAAATATTTATTATCATAAATTTAATATACAAATAAAGATATATTCTATCAATAGTTAGTTATTTTAATTAAAATAAATACGATTTTTGATTTAATTGTCAATACAAAAAGATATATATATAAACGAATTTTTAAATCTATGGCAGATTTATAGGGAGGAAACTTTTATGCAAAGCAAACTGAATAGATTGCTAATTAACTGACTGGATAAGCTAACAATTTTTATCAATCGAATTTGTTAACAAATGATAATATGGCTGTTTTGAGAAACTCATAAAAGTATGTACCAAAAGAGAATGTAGATGCTTTTGCTTAGTTTTTATAGATGCAACACTAGTAAGGAAATGTTGATCCTTAATCGATGCTTAAATCAGCAGTCTAATTATAAAAGCAATAATAAGACTAAAATAATATGTAATTAGCTAATTTCGCAGAAAAAGGGGAATAGGCTTTAATGAAAAGACTAGATTTTAGTAAGAGCAATCACCCAACAGCATGTTTTTTTCATTTGTTGTTTAAGGCATTAGCACTTATATGCCATTTAATTTTAAGCATCTTTATGGATACTTTGAAAGTGCATTACTTTATAATTATTTTCAGTTCACTCGACTTTTGGGTTGTTAAAAACATAACTGGAAGGTAAATTTTCAGCTAAAATAAATAAATTTGAATTGATATTTTTACAATTTTAATAGTTTTTAATAATTCGTGTTTAAAATATTAGATTGCTAATAGGTTTAAGATGGTGGAGTGAATAGTAAAGTGACAACACAACTAAGTGGGTTTTTGAATGCAAAATTAACTAAAATGAGATAAATAGTTTTAATTTTAATGTATTTTGGAGTTTATAAATTATAGCTGTTCTTTCATGGGCTACTTTGCTTGTTATTAATGTGATTGGTTTTGACATTGGTGATGTAAATTATTTAATTATATTTATATAAAATATAAATGGTAATTATTATCTTAAAATTAAAAAAATAACTAGTCTGCTGTTTGCGCTTTTTCTTTATTCACTACTTTTTGGAATGCTTATTACTTCTATAAATGCAACACAAGTAATTTTATAAAAAAAATAAAAATATTTCAATCTGATTTCAATTTTTAAATTATTCGTTTTTTAACTATTTTCAAACTAATTAAATCAATAAATAAATAAAGAATAAAAGTAAGGTCTCAAGAAGCTAGCTTCTGAGCTTTAATCAGATATCCCTCTCAACTTCATGTCGGGCTCTCTTAGGTTCCCATTATGAGTTGCTATTTATTATGTCTAAAAATATTTGCCATCTGATATAAATTTAACAAAAAATAAATTTCTTAAATAAATAATGAAATATTTCTTTGAAATTTTTGTCAATATATTTTGATATACTTTTTGTAAATTTAAATAAAAACAAATGTAATTTTTAAAATAATATTAAAATCTTTTAAACAAAATATTTAATTTTTCTACTAGAATGCTCATTTAATTCTTAAACCAAATCTTTATATATTAATCAGTTGGAAAGTGTTTAAATGTATTGCTTAGATTATAAATTTTAGTAACAAATAAATTAATTTTCATAAAACCAACTGATGAAATAAAAAATATATTTTTAAAATACTAATTAAAATGCAATTATCATTAAATTATTTGATCATTAATAATCAGGGTATTTAATGTAGTCACTTTTTTAAAGAATTTTAACACTTTGATGAAAGAAAATAACCAATAACTAATTTTTTTCTATCCATTTTTTTCACTTTTAATACTTTTAATGAGCTTATCATCAGTTTTAAAATTCAATATTAATCCCTGCTAATGACCTTTTGGACTTCATAGTTATTTTTCAGACTTTTAATTAGAATATTTCATCGTTGGGTTAAATTATTTTGTGAGATATTTTCATTTCTAGCATTTTAGCTAATAACTTATCATAGTTTCCAGGACTTGCTAGCTCGATTCCCACTAACGCTGGTCCTTTCTCACGATTATTCTTTTTGGTATACTCGATTTAAAGAATTTCATCTTCAGGAGATAGACAGTAAACCATGAACTCCTTGATAGCATCTGGCTTACGGAAAAAATCTACAAGCATATATACATTTTTTTTCTAGTACACATTTGCAAGTATTTTGATATCGTTCATACGAGATATACTTGTATTTTTACCAGTCAAAATGCAAACAATATTTTTACCTTTAAGTGACCCACACTTTTCCTATAAAAGCTTCAAGCTTGCAGGAGCAAGAGCACCATGAGGTTCTAAGATAATTCCATCGTTATTATATAATTGTAAAACTTAATCGTAAGCTTCTCCTTCAGGTATTTCTAATTCTTGGTAATTTGACAAATCATCCATAACTTTAAATGTATTTTTGGCATCAAGTTACATTGTCTTTTACATATCTTCATAAACCATTTCATTTTCAGAAAATATAGGTTTGATACCAATAATATTTGTTTCGGGAGAAAGCTAATGGAAATAACTTGAAATACCAGCTCCTAAAGTACCTGATGAAATAGGAAATATTACATAATCTATTTTTCCCTTTAAAGGAAAATCTTCTAAAATTTCTATTCCTACTCCACTACAGCCTTCAATGACATCTTTTTCATCAAGTCTTACTGAAATTAATTTGTTATCTTCTCCATATTTCGTAGCAATCTAATCACAATCTTACAATGATAAACCAGCCAATTTAACTTCAATAAACTCCTTGCCAAATTCCTTTATTCTTTGGATTTTATCGTTTGGTGTAGTTTAAGGTACGAAAATAATGCCTTTTACTTTCAAATGATTACAAGCGAAAGCTACTGCAACACCTTAAATTTTTTTATATTAAAAAATTTTTAACAAATACTTAAAATATTTAGATTTGAAGAGTTTTTCTTTAGTTCTTATTGAATTTTTAACCATTTTGACATAAAGTATCATGACTTTTTATAATGATTATGTCTAATATAATTATGATATTTTCTATTCTCATCTTTATAAATAAATCTATCTTTACCTTAGTTACCAGCGGAGCAGCAGTAAACTCCTTTCTATTTTTCTTCAGGTGTTAGAGATAAAATTTTATTAACAGCTCCTCTCACTTTATATGTCCTAGTGATTTATCCATCTTCTCTTTTAAAGAAGATATTTGCTTGATATAAATCTGATAATCTAGAGGATCTTTAAATAATTGTTCTACGAACTATCTAGCGAATATTCTTATAAGCTTTAAAAATGCTAGCTGCTTGATATAAGTAAGAATTTTATTTAGTTTCTTATTTTTGTATTTCAGGGTTTGGATTTTCCTTCATTTCTTCTTTAAGTTGCTATTTTTATTGCTATTATAGATGTTCTTAAATTTAGATCTTTTCTCCGTTTTTAGTGCTCATAGTATTACAAATAATTTCAATAAAAAAAAATCTAATTGCTATTTTTCTGATAATTATTATTATAATAATTTATTTTTTACTTAATTATTATTGGTAATATATATAATTTATATATTTGTTAAAAGATAAAAACCAATCTACACACAAACACACACACATATATATTTTTTGATAAACAAATCCCAATACAATATAAATATTGATTAATATTCATTTAATTTTTTATATATTGGGGACAACACCTCAACAAAATCTCTTTAAAAAATTTAGTTCATCATTTTTATACAAAATAAAATGCTATCTGAGGTGGTAAGATATATAAAAAATAGTTTAAGTATTATTTCATTTTTGATTTATAATGTATTAAATACTAGAAAAGTATATCAAAGAATCTTACAAAAATTATGTATATAAATTCTCAATATTCTTTAAACATCAAAATTTATTATTGATTTATTAGTTAATTAGAATAAAAATGCTAATCAATATATAAATATTTATTCATTTAATTTTTATATAAAGCTTCATAGGATATCTTTTATAATTTAGTTCATCATATTTATACAAAATAAAATACTATCTTATTAATAAAATTAAGAAATATATATTAGTTTAAGTATTATTTAATTTTTTGTTATTAAATTAATATTCTTAAAAAGTACAAAAACAAAAATTTTTAAATCAATTAGAATATTTGCAATTTGATAATTTTATAAAATTAATTTTTCAATATAAAATAAATAATTTTTAGCTTACAAATTCTTTCTTTTAATAATTTATTAATTAATTAATTCAGTTTTATTTTTAAATTTATATTCGATTTTATATAATTTTTTATTTTCTTAATTATTTTTTTTGTTATAATTTCATTTTTTAACTTCTTTTACATGGTTACATGGGAAGTATCCAATATTTTTATTAAGCAATCCAATCCACCAACCATCTTTAGTCCTTTTTACTATTTAAATTTTATCGCCTTTCTTAAATGACAGGTCTTTATCCTTTTAAATTAATCAAATAAAAATAATTAAATAAATATGTTAAATATTATTAGAATTATGTATACTGTTTGAGCCACAAAATCTGAAATAGCAATTACATAATTCTCCTTTTATTCTAACTCATTAGCAATACTTTTCTCTTTTTAGCTTTTTTTCTCATCAGTTTTTTACTCACTTTCAAAATTTAGCTGTCTTTTTACATTAACTTCATTTGACTGGGCATTTATATCCTTTTTAATACAATTTTTCAAAGTTTATTCTGACTCATTTATTACTTTTAAATCATTTAATATTTATGAATGTTGACTCTCTTCAGCTATGTGTTCAATTTCTTTTTCATTTATCTAAAGTATATTGTTTTATAATTCATATCCGTTAAAAGCCCTTTCAAAAGAATAAAAAGGAAGCAAAGTGTCATCTGTATTAGAGTCAGTTTTTTGATGCTAAGTGTTATGACTCTTATTTACCCCTTATAAGTTTCTTTTTAAAGTTTTCTCTACTAATGATTCGTCTGGTTCAGTAGCAAAGTAGGGCAAACGAGAGTTAGCTTCATCGCTCTACTTATGATCTCTTTAACTTTACTTGCAGTCTTTTTAGAGAGCTGTGTTATTATTTTTAGAGTTATTGCTACTTAAATTGCTATTATTTTACTTATTATTATTACTTCCATTTTAAATTACCCTGCTACTATTTGATAGCATATAATCATTGTGAGCAGTGTTATTACAGCAATTTTAAGTTTCTTTGACCAATTTCAAAGGTTATTTTAGCAGCTGCTTTAAACTATTTTCTAACTAAAGCTCTATGATATCATCACTTAAAATTCTTATTATATGAGTCATTTAGCTCCAAATATACTCTAAATCATCTATTTCATTAATAAAATTTTTAAAATTAATTTGATTTAATTTGGAGTAATTATAATTAATACCTTATTCAAAATTAGGAGATGTTTTGGTTACAACCAAACAAGAGTATGTTTTAAATATCCAATCTACCATTTAATGAAGTTTGCTTTATTAATTTGCTATTAAATTTTATTTTTCGTTTAACTTCTGTTCAATTTTTTCACTATTTGATTTTTCTTCCATATATAATGTCTAAATATTCTTCAGTCTCTATATTTTTTCAGAGAATTTTATTAACTCTTGTTAGTATCTCTCCTTTTCAATTGATAAATTATTGCTTAATTCTTAGTTCTAAACTTAAAAGACCTTTAGCTATTATTCTAATCTCGCAATTTAATTACTTTATTCCTTGATATTCTCTATAATTTGTTTGTATTTAAGTTAAAATTTATTTTAAGCTAAAATTAAAAATAAATAATTTACCCTTAAATGTTTTATTTTCTAGTCTTGTTTTTTCATAAATATCATCTTTGTCTAAGATATTTTCAATGATATTATTAGCCATTTTTGCAGAGTATTTGTTAAAATTAACTAACTCACTGTTTTCTTCCTCATCATCATCTTCTCCACCTAAATTATTGCAAAATTCTCCTTTATCCATTTTTAGAATAGGACTATATCCAAGATTGAACTAACTTTATTATTATTGTTTTTTAGTCAACTTAGGAGTTTCAGAGCCAACTTGAGTAGAAGATTTATTAGAACTTTTATTATTTTAATTATTTTGTTTCTCAGTAATTTATTAAGATATATATTTGTTAGACTTAGTATTTGTAGAGTAATTTTGTGAAGATTTTTCAGCTAATTACTAACGTTTTGTGTTTATTGGAGAGGGAGATCTAGAGCGACTGGTTTGTTACTTGTTTATTTATATTTTAGAATAGCTGGGCGAACGTGATTTTTATTAATTTTCATTTTAAGTCTATCTAACATATTTAGGATTCTATTCGCTTTTAAACTTATCTTTTACTATTTAGCTTTGATAATTTGATTATACAGGTTGGTGGGATGCATTAGAATAGAATTATTTTTATTTAGACTTTAGTCCTAAGCATCCAGCAGAATTATTCTTTTTCATTTGGCTCTCTGATGTGTTATAATTACAAATATTTTCTTTATTAATATTTAATTCTGCATTGTCTTATTAAGTTTTGCTAATCTATTAGTGTGATTATCTAACAGTTGAATGCTAACTTGACTACTTCTTTGATAAATATTAATCACTTTGATTACTAATTTGATTATTAGTACGAAATGTCTCTTAATACATAAAATTGACTGGTTCTTTTTTAGTTACAACATAATCTGGGTCATTCATAAACTAAAATTCATCTTCTTCTTCTTATTTAAGAAGTGTAGCATAATTATTTGTCTAACTTTAATCTTAAATTGGTCTTTAACTTGTATTTTGATCATTAATATTTCTATTTGAGGAGGATTATCTTACTGATATTAAATTTGAGTTTTTGCGAGCTAAAGCTGTCTTTTATTACTAATTTTACTAGATAGGAGAGTAGGCCGCGATATTTGAAAAGGAACCGGGTACTAAATTAACATTTTTATGTTGCCTCATTAATAGATAATAATTAAATTTTTGAATAATTAATTAGAATTGTTAGTAAATTAATTTATAGCTTTTTTCAAAAATTAATTAATTGCTAACTATTAAATCAATTTATCATCATGCAAACAGCTAGCTGTTAATTATTTTATGATAATTACAAATTTAAATTAACAAAGGATATTTGTAAAAGTTTTATTCACAATCCTTTTTTGTATCTTTCAATTTCATAAAGCTTATTTATTTACTTTGAATAATTTTCACATATTTTATTAATAGTGGAAAAAAAAATTTAATAAATGCATTCTGATATTATTTTTTTTAATTTAATAAAATAATTTTTTAAATTAACAAAAACCAAAAATGAAATAAATTTTAAGTAAATTAGTAAATAGTTTGTTTTTGAATTTAAAAAAAATTCTTCCTATTATTTGAAGTTTTAAAAATTAAAATAAACAAATGAATAATCGTTTACTTTTAATAAACATAATCCTTATACTCGACATATTATCTTAAATATTCAAAAAAGGTGAGTTTTTTATTTAGTATTAAATTTGTTTTACAAAACTAAAAAACTTTTTAAGTTAAATTCACTTTTAATTTTATATTAACAATTTGATTTTTTATAAATAAATTTAATTAATTAATTATAAAAATTATATTTTAGATTAGATTACTTAAAAAAATTCTAAAATGAAATAAATTATTACCATTTGCTTAGGCTAATGTGGAATAAGAATTGGTAATTAAGTATGGAAATTATTTTGTGAAGAGCATAAAATTGAATTATCTGGGATAAAAAAATAGTCTGAAAACACCTTAGAATAAGAAAACTTATTATCATTTTTTTAAGAAAGTGTATCAGAAAAAATAACACCTATTTCAGTTTTTATCGATTTAGATACAGAATAAATTGATGAAATAAAAAATGGTTAGTGTAGGACACTTTACAAACCTGATTGTCTTATATCATCTAAAGAAGATACTGGAGGCCTTTTTTCAAGAGGTTATTATACAGCTGGTAGGTCTATTTTAGATCATTCTATTGATTAAATACGTAAAATTGCTGAAAGCTGTAGCTACTTGCATGGTTTTATAATTTATTCAACTTCAAGTGGAGGAGCTTCTTCAGGATTAGGAAATTTAATTTTATAACGCCTTAGAGTTGATTATGGTTAAAAAATACCTATCATATTTTTTTAATAAATTCCATGCAATTTAAACTAATCTTCAGTATTTTCGTTTTATAACTCAACTTTAAATTTAGGCAGCTTACTTGAGGAATCAAGCTTAAATATTTTATTCTAAAATGAATCTTTGTATAAAATATATGAAAATTAGTTTGATTTTGAATATCCATCATTTAATGATGTCAATCGCTTAGTTTCATAAGTAGCATCGGCAACTACAAGTTCTATCAGATTTAAAGGCGATCTAAATTTTGATCTTAATTAATTGATTATGAATTTGGTACCATACCGTAAAATAAATTTAGTTATTCCTTCATATTCTCCTTCGACTGATAAAAATAATTAACAAAACTAGTAAATGAGTGTAAATAGTATGACTAATTAGCTTTTTAAAAATGATTTTAGTTTTATCAATTGTAAAATTAATGCAAATATATACATGGCTTGTTCATATATGATCAGAGGAGATATAGTGCCAAGAGAAGCACTAGAGTCGATATATAATTTAAAAAAAAAGAAAAATATTAAATTTGTTGATTGGTGTTCTAATAGCTTTTTGCTAGGAGTTAACTCATTTAAACCTATTCCTATCATAATCGAAGAAAAATCTTTCTCTTCTTCAGTAGATGGTTGCATTTTAGCTAATAGCTGTGGTGTATAAGATGCTATAGATTTTATTGGTACCAAATTTGATTTAATGTATTCTAAAAGAGCTTTTGTTCATTGGCATTACGGTGAAGGCCAAAGTGAAGGCGATCTACAAGAAGCAAGAGAAATTTTAGCTTCAATAGAAAAAGACTATGAAGAAATTTCAAAAGATTCTTATACATTATAGTTAGAGGAAGATTATGAATGAATGATTACTTGATATTTGCTTTCTTGTTAATTTTTTTATTTTATTTTAAGCAATGAAGAAATTTGTTTAGATAAAGTAGAATAATATATTTTATATCTATCAACTGATCAATCATATATTTATATATTTTATTTATCTATTTACTTGCTTACTCCTTAATCTCTTTAAATAGCACAACTTTTAAAATTTTAAGAATTAAAAAAAATTAAAACAAAAATTTTTATTATAATTTTGATTGATTACTAAAAATATATTTTTTTAATTACTACAGTAAATAAATATTAACATTTTAATTTTAAATATTTAATTTTATATATTGATACTAATAATTTATTACTAATTTTAGCTTGATAGCGGAAATTTTTGAGAAAACTTTTTTAAAATATACGAAAATATCAGAACATTTTAAGTTTTACAATTCTAAAATTTTTAATTTAACAAATATTCTAAAAAACATAAAAATCACAGTTGTTTACTGAAAGCATTTAAAAAAATTAATAAAATCTATTTTATTTACTGTAAAAATTATAAATTATAAAAAAAATAATATCCTATATTTTATTATTCCAATTTTTTGAAGATCATTGGTTTATTTTTTATTTTATTTCATCAAATATTAAATTTTGAAATACGATAATTTATAAATAATTTTCATTTGAAAATAAATAAGGCACAAAAAAAAGTTTAATGTTTTAAATTGAATAATTGCTAAACGAATTACATTTAGACTAGATTTATAAGCATGATGTACAATATATTATTAGTTTAATAAATCAAAATAAATATAGTCTAGACTAAATGCCTTCAAAAAGTTTTTAGAGAAAATTAAAAAGCCTATTCTTGAAAAAAAAAATTTGCATTAACTTTAAAAGCAGTGCTCCTTTAAGATCTTCTGGATGTAAGAATATAGAAATAGTGCTATAGCTGTTTAAAAATTTAGAATTTTTAAAATTATCTTTAAAAAGAGATAACTTAATAGAGAATTAAGGTTTCATTTTTATATCTTAAAGCTTGTAAAATCTTTAGTAATTAAAGTAACTTAAATTGTTAATTAGTAAAAACAATTAGATTAACTATATTGGAATATCAGCATTTTCTAAATGTTTAATTTAGTTGATAAATTTGAATGTACTATCAATTCAAATTTATAGCAACCCTATTTAAGATGAAGGTTTTATAGATTTAGCTTGTAGTATTTCTAATTTAATTCAACTAAGTTCTTTTAAAATAAAACTAATTAACAATGATATCAAGGAAAAATATCCCTTCATCTTATTAGGTAAAAATTTAACACTGTTATCTTAGCTTCAAAAATTAAGGCTTTCTTTTTATGAATAAAAACACTAAATAACGGATGGTATTTATGAACTATTCTAAAGCTTACACAAAATGAAAAATCTAAATTTCCTTTCATTTAAAGCTAATTCTTAATATAATAAGGAGTAAGATTTTCATATTAATTTTAGTTAAAGTGTTAAACAACTAAAAAACATTAAAGTTTTAAAATTAAACATTCCATTTTTTGAATAATAAGAATTAATTATCTAAGTTTAAGAGTAACAAAATTTTTTACAACTTATAGTATTAAATATATAATTCAACCATATTTTATCAAATGAAGAACTCTCAATTTTTAGTTTTAACCTTACATTAATGTTAAATTTGTAAGATCTAGCCATAAATGTTTAGAAAAATATTCAAAGAAATAAATAACAGTAAATAAATATTTCAGGAATTATTGTGCTTTTAGAAAACCTAGGATAATGTTTAAAACTAAAATATTTGAGCATAAATACTGAAACAGAGTACGATTACATATTTTTAAGGTTATTGCTATTATAAAAAAGAATTATTAGTCTTTCTCTTTTTAGAAATTAAGTAGTAAGATTCAAAAGAGATTAAATTAATAATGAAATAACAGAATTAACTATACTATTTAAATAATCAATGGGAAGCTACAATTAAATGGATTATTTTCAATATATGGTTGAATCTCTACATTATTTTGAAAAATTAACAAGTTTGATAATATCCTTTGAATTTGAAAATTAGGAAGTTTTAAGTTTTATTTAATAAAAATTGAAGATGAATTAACAAGTACCTATTATAGAACTAAAGCAATCAGTAAAGGATTAAATATTAGGATTAACAAAAGTAATTCAAAATAATAATAATATCATTTACTTTGAAACTATGCTGAAGAAAGATAATCTTATCTTAGGAAAAATAATCAAAAGTTAAGATAAATTTTCTATAAACAGTAATTTTAATTTTGGTTATTAGTCTCATAAGGAACCTTTATTTTTATTCTTAATTCAATTAATGATAAATCTAAGTTAAATTATTACTTAAATTCATGTAGTCATAAACGTAAATACAAGGTTTAACTAAAACTGTATTTAAATATTAGGTAGTGCAATCAAATAAATTAAAAATTTAATTATTGCAAAGATCACTTTCAATACTTATATTATATAATGGCCTTCTGATGACATACTTTATGATGAATACTTTATAGGATTATAAAACCTAAAATATTATAGATTTTATCCAAGGTAAAATTAAGAAATGCAGAAAAACAAAATCAATCAATTAAAAAGGAAAAACCTAAGACTTGTCTATTACAAATGACTTTCGAAATTAATTTCTATTTTTTGATAAACTTTTAAATTAGACAATTTTATTCAATTAGATTATCAAAACAACAAAATACCATCTATCTTTTTATAATATAATGTATGGAATACAATCATAAAATTTATTTAAAATGATATAAATTTAATTCAAATCATAGTCAAATTCTACCTATTTTATTTTTTTAAATAAATTGTAATGCAAATATTCACACCATAAGGAAATAGTTTTATTTAAGTTTATGCCTGTATAATTTATATAAAAATATCATATAATTTAAAAGTAAAAAAATTCATATTTATGCACCAAAGTTAAATGAGTTAAAAATAAATAAATTACTCATTTAAAATTTTAATTAAGATTTTTCTATCAATAAATTGATTAATTTATACTCACAATTCAAAAAAAAAAAAAACAGCCATAAGATTAAATATAATTATATTAACCACATATCAAAATATAAAGAAATACCATTAAAATATACTATATTTTTAACAAATTTAAGGAAATCTTCTTTATGAAGTTTTAAACTATTATTTCATACCAATTTAAAAATAATAATAATTTATTTTAATATCTTTTACTCATTTATATAAATTTAGTTTTATAATTTAAATATTTCAAATAGTAAATAATATGTTTATGGCTTAAATATTTTATAAAGGCAAAATTAAACTTATCTTTTACCTATGTAATTTTAAATTAAATCACCTGATTTATATTTTAAATTTTTATTCTAAATTAAAATAAAGCAAAATCTTTTATGATCGACTTAAAAGTTTAAAATGACTGTAATATACAACTGTACTTAAACATATCTTTTTTATAACATTAAAGTATAATTTGATTTTATTTAGATTAGGTTGTCTGATGATATTCAAAAAATATTATTTATCAGAAATTTGTAATTATGAAATTTCTTTTATTATTTATCTTATCTTTTAGCCATAATAAAAAACTATCAACCTTAAAGTTTATATTTCTTCAGTATATATTCTACATTAAAATAAATAAAATAATTTTTTTTAATCTGATTTCCTAAGAAATTTGTAAAATTCTTTCAGTTTATCTTTTATTTAATCTAAAAAAATAAAAAATTTATTTATATTTTTGGAAATCAAAATGCTAATTAAAATTCCAAATTCATTAATAATTCGAAATAAACAATATTAAGTCTCTATTTAACCCTTTAAAAGCTACTACTTAACTGAATTATAAAATAATAATAATTATAATAATCAATTTAAAATCCAAAAACTAAAAAAAAATGAACAGCAGAGTATTACTTTTACTTGCCACGCTTCTCTTAGCTTCTTAAGCTAGCCTTTTAAGAACATTTTAGTCTGAAAAAAATGAAACTAACTAAATTGCAGATAGCGATAATTACACAATTTATGGTTATTGGGATATTTCTGACTAATTTGATAATTTTACTTTAGAAGATAAAGGTGACTTCGTAGCAAAAGTTAAGAATAACACTAGCGCCAATTAAATTACTATTAATGTCAACTACAATCAAACCTTATTCGTTATAGATGAGCAAAGCAATTTCATTGGTAAAAATTCAGGATACTTTAATGAAATATTCTATTACAATTTGTCTCTTGATGAGTTGAAGCCTCTTATTTAAAAGAGAGTGACAAAATTAAATAAGTAATAAAAATGATTAAAATTTATAAATATATATATATAAATAAATTGTTTAAGCATAAAATATAAATGTTTGATTTAAGGAAGATATAAAAATAAATCTATTTTTTTAATTTATTTTAGATTATTTAATGCTTGTCAATTAATGTTTTTATATGAATTAAATTGATATTTAAAACTTAAAAATATTTTATTTATTTATTTACCAAACAATTATTTTTTTCCAAGTTTCTCAAAAATTGAAAAATAATTGATTTAAAATAATTATTTATTTTTGATGCAAAAATATTTTTTTATTGTTATTTATAAATTAAATACATATGATAGCATAAATAGATTGTAACAATATCTTAATTATTAATATAACTTTGAGAATCCTCTTGATTTACAAATATTTAGATATATTCTGACTAATTAATACATAACTACTAGAATCAATACTCTTAAATTTATAATAAATAATGAGTGTTTAAAGCAATAACTAAGGTTATTTATAGTAAAATGAAGGGTTATCTGCAAGAACAATAACTCCTGTTAGGCCAATTTATACTTCTTAATCAAAGCGGTCTAATAATACTCGTACTGTGTTTGATAAATCTTTTTTATGCTTAAGTTATTCTTAATACAACAAGAAATACTATTGATTAAAAAATTATTCCATATTTTTAAAGTTAATTTTACTTTAAAACAAACAGATTCAATTCCTAGATCTTTACAATTGGAATTTAAAAAACATAAAGATACTTTTTTGACAGAAATAAGCTACAATGGTGAGACGAATAACTTTAGCAATAGTAGCTAGTTTTTTAATTAGAATAATTATTCAACACGAAATATTTCTACTGCAGCAAGTGGTAGCTTTAGATAAAAAATATTGAATACAAGAAAGCCTATAGATTTTGCAATTAAAACAGTAAATAAATTTTATTTTCTGAATATTTTGTAATTAAAAATGGTTTATAAATAGTATCAAAATGCTTCTCTAAGACTTGAAAAGTTATTTAAAAGTTCAATTTTTAAATCTGATTAAAAGGATAAAGATGATGATTTATCTGATTTAGAGAATTTTAAAATAAAATAGACACCTAAAGAATAAAAAAGAAATGTTGAACATGGTATATTAAGAAAAGGAACAATAAAAAGATCAGAAACTTCGTAAAATATAGCCGTAACTCTGTAGCATATTCCTATTTTATTAGAAAGTTTAGACCAGTAAGAAAAGCAAGAGTAACAAAAAACTGTTTAAAATAAAATCAAAGTATTTATGTTTAATTTTAATCTAAATAATAATTAATAATAAGATCTCTACCAGAAGAAGTGAAACTATTGAGTGATTAAAATCGTTTAAGAAATATAGTGAAAAAGATAGACTACAGCAAGTAAATGAATGTCTTAGCTCCTATTTTGTAGTCAAAAGTTTATGAAAGTAGAAAATTAGATAATTAGTTGAATTTTGTGCTTAAAAAAAGTAGTTCAAAACTGCATAATTTAAAAATGTAAGAAAATAGGATTAAAAATCCTTTGATTGCTTAAGAAGTAGCTGATTTGAAAAACCAAATAGCTGATTTATAAAAAACAATAGATGAATTTGAAAATAAAATAGAAGACTAAGAAACATATCTCTAATCTAAGCATTACATGAAGTAAGTAAGATACAAGGATATGATGCTAAAAAGAGAAGAAAATATCAATTTACTAAAGATGAATACTCATTTAAGCAGATATTTAAGCAAAGAAACTGAGTAATTGGTTGTGGATTCTAAATAGCTTGATAATTTATTTGTAAATTACTTAAATTATTTTTGTAAAATCTTAAGTTTGATAAATGGATTGATTCCTTGAAAATTTTGTTAAATATAAATTAAAAAAATTACTAAATAAATCTAATAGAACAAAATAGTTGAAGAACATAGAAACAATCAATTCGAACTTAAAAGATAAAGCATAATGACCAGGGATATGGAGAATAAAAAGTATAATGAAGATTAAGTTGAAAGATTGATTGATTTAGAATCTAAAATGAGAGAATACGAGAAAAAAGAACAATAAAATATAAAGAGAGAAGAGTATTTAGAAAAAAAGAGAATATAAAACTGTGAAATTGATTAAATTATAGATTAACAAAAAGAATTTGGCTCCATGATAAACTAATTAGAAGGTTAGTTTCTTGAATTCCACCAATAAAATAAAAGCAAAGTTGCTACAAGCTATGGAGATCTTCTTTCGTTTTGTGTTCATGTTAAGTAATATCAATTCTAATTAAATTATAAGAATAATAGTTATCTTTCTTAATTAATTAATAAGAATAATAAAATTTTCTTTTAAACTTAAACAAATTAAATTACTTTTTTGTTAAAAATTTATTTAGATAGAGCACTGAAAATTTAAAATATGAAAAAGAAATATTTTAAAATAACTTGGATAAGCTAAAGTCTGAAGTTAATGAATTAGAGAAAGAGCTAAAGGAATTAAAATTATAAAATAAGTTTGACTTTGAAATTGAAGAAGATAAATAATAAACTTTTAGCAAAAAGTAAGATATAGTCAATGAAACTGATATATTTTACACAAAAAGTTTGAAAAAAAATGATGAGGTTTATCAAATTGATAATTTAGAGTTAGACAACTTTGAAATTTAAAAAATATAAAACATGAATAAAATAAAAGTAAGTTGATTATCAGATAAAATTTCTTTTTAAAATATCAAATTTTGCAATAAAAGGAGTAAATGTCTGAACATAATATATTTAAATGTATTAATGGATTAAAAGATCTTCACTAAAACTTCTTTACAAAGCTAAATCACATTTAATTTGATGTAAAATATTTATCTTTATATTTAATATTAATTGTTTTATTAAAATATTTAAGGATTTAATAAAGCTTAAAAAGAAGTAATTTAGTGCTTAGAATTTAGAACATTCAATTAAGTCTTTTTGTATTTCAATTTCATCTTTAATCAATATAATTGAACAGAAGAAAAAAGGTGACTAAAAAAAAGAGGATTCATTAGATATTGAGGAAATTAGCGATAGATTAGAGACCAGTACAAACTAACCCAATTAAAAATATTATTACACTTATGTCGATCTTTGATTAAAAAATACCTTAATTTTAATAAAACAACACTGTAATTTGTCTTTTATTGCTTAGCTAGTAATCATATCCTTAAATCTTCACATAAAAAAAAACTTCTAAAATAATTTTAAATAAAAAATTAAATGTAACAAACATATGCAATCATATAACCTTATAGATAATATTTTTGATTGATATTAATTTCTCTACTTGCTAATTTAAGATATTTTTTTTGTTAAACTCTACAAGAAAAAGAAAACATTACAATATTATTAAAGAAAAATATGATAACACGATTATTAAGGCGAATAACAAATTTTGCTAAACATTGGCAAAATATTGAATTGAATTTGTTGGTATTTAAAAATACTACAGTTTTACAAATTTTAAATATTTACATATAAACATTCAAATATACATTATCATTAATTAAATATTTTTTACTGTTGTTTTAAAGCATGGAGAATAAAAATTGATAAAAAAAAAGAGTAAATAAAATAGTTTTTATATTTTATATTGATTTACTTGTAAAATTTAGTAAATTATTCGTTGTATAATAACCTTAACTAGTACATTTTTTATATTTATTCAATAAGAAATAGATTAAAACTAATTTTTTGAGAATAAGCATGGTAAAAAACAACGATAGTATTTGCGAAAATTCTAAATAGAACTTAAATAATATATTTATTTATTTTTGGTTGATTAAAAAGTCAAAAGTATTGCATAAGAAATCAAATAATAATAAAAAATATTAATTTATTTAAAAAGCTTTAAATAGTAACATAACAAACAAAGAAACAAAATGGATCCTTTATAGTAATATAGCGATAATTATGCTTTCTCTGATTCAGTTAAATAAGAAAGAATGAGAGAAATATAGCAAACTATTTAATTTTATAAAACAGCTCCTGTCCGCTCTCTTTTGAATGATATTAAAAATTATAGTAAACATGATCACTCATAAATAGAATTAACAGCATACAAAAAAGTAGTTTTATTTAATTAGCTCGAAGATGATGAAAAAAAGCTTTTAAAGAGTAAACTTAAAAAGCAAGTATTTTTCAATTTAGGCTTATTAGGAGTGTACAAAGTGTTGGCTAACCATTAGATTTTTGGCATAAACATGAAATATTTTAGAAGAATTGTATAAATGTTAACATTTAAAAAAGGCATTTTACTTTGGCCATTAAGTCCTCTCGTTTTCCATTATGATTATTAGGAAGTAGCTCTTCGTTTAGGCATGAAATATTACTTATTAGAATAAAATAAAGATCTATTTACAAATACTTAAATTTCTAAATAAAATCAAGTTAATACAAATTCTATTGACCACTGAAACTAAATAAAAATGAATGAATGAATATCTTACTCTAAAAAATGAATTTAAAAACAAATAAAAAATTAGAATATGCATCAAAACAACAAACTATCTAAAAAATATTTTCTACTATACTTTATTACAAAATATATCAACTATTTTATGTTGAATCTAATAATAATAATAATAATTTTATAACAGCAGAAAAAATATATAACTCACTCTTTTTGTGTTAGTTGTAATGCTTATTTAATTTATATTTGTATTAATTTTTGAGCTTTTTTGATCGTTGAAATTAGAAAATTAGTGAATATTCTATCTAAATTTATATCTTATTTTATTCCACAAATGAAATTTAAAATTATTAATTGATAGCTTAAAATTTTAGCTATTATAAACAATTTATTATAGTAAACTTGCTATTAATTAAAATATAATAGTCTAAAATATATTTTAAGGTATTTAAACAATATTAATCACTCAAATGAACTTAATTTCTACCTATAAAGGCTAAGTAATTTATTAATTAGTGCTCTTGAAGTAAAAAAGTTAAATCTTTCTTCACACAAATAAATTTTTATCTTAAACAAACAAAATACATTTATAAAATGTAGATCTGAAAATAGAAGAAATAAAAAACCTTATTGATTTTTTGTGAATTTATGAATAAACAATAAATGTAAATCAAAAATAGATTTAAAAGTGATAAAATAAAACTGAATTAATGAATAATTGAATTATTTGAAACTAAATATTCCAATAAACTGCAATAAAATATTTTTAGAGTTTTAATTGTCGCTCATCATTTGTTTGAAAAAAGCATATTAGTTAATTACTAGATTTCCTTGTGCATTTTTAGTTTTTTATTTTTTTCCTCCATAATTTCATCTGTGTACTAGTTATAAAATGATTTCTATACAGATATTTCATCAAGATCGTAGTCTGTATAGTAAAAATCAGGAACAGTTTTAGGATTTATATTCTTAGTTTTTTGTACATAATTTATTTTTTATTTTTGGTGTTGGTAAACCATATAGGGAATAATGAAAAGACCAGTGATACCAAATATGATAAAGTACAAATCAACTCCAAGTTTTCCTGTTTTAGCCATGTATGAAACTAAATTACCTCCCTTTGCAATTTATTGTTCATATTAAATACGAGAGATAGTAGATTGCTAAATAATTTAACCCCACCTTTCACCAATATTTATTTAAGGTCTGAATTCCCTAAATTCATCCATGTATCTCATAATTTTAGGATTTTCATCGCTCTTTATATCGAGAGGAGATCCTTACATCATTGGATCTATTTCATGGCTATAACGTGAATTATATTCAGTAATATTCTTTCTTTTCATAGGTTAGTAGCTGTGTTAAGTAATAAACTTTTCACGTGCTTCTTTTTCAGATTATGGTAAATTTGATTTATTGAAAAGACTTTCAGGATTTATTTTAGTATCTTTATCCAAAAGATCTTTCATAAAAGCCTTTTCTTCATCAGTTTCATCAATCTTGTCTAAACCCCATTTCTTTGATAATTTTTTATAGAGCATTTCATCTGCTTTCTTAGTAGATTCGCTTTCTACTCCTTATTCTTATTAATTTGTTGATAGGCTCTAAGAAGAGGTATTAGGTATTTTCTTCTTATGAAGCCCCAATTAAATTGTTTCTTTCATGAGCTTATCTTGAAGTTGTTATATGTCCTCCTTTTCTTTTTTTTGCATATTTAAAATATCTTTAATCTTGAATTCAGACTTATCAGGATTTAACTAATTATTTGAATCAAAATCTAGTATATCATTCATTTTAAGGTTGCTAAAACCACTACTTTTTTCAGAGATTTTAGTTGATGCATTTTATGAGGATTACTAATCATTGTCAATCTAAGTAATAGATTATTATAAATCCTACTCTTTTTATTATTTATCTTCTTCAGTCATACTATCTAAGCTATTTTAAAAGAGCTGAATGCTTTCTTAAAAGTTAAATGTGAATTTATTGATTTTTTTATAAAATTTAATTAATTTTAAAATAAAGAGTTGATATAATTAAGTATTAATTTATTATCATATAAAGGCATTTTTGATGGAAGAAAGATTTTTCTGTTTTTTTCTATTTAGATTATTATGTTTTATGTTTAAATCAAATATCTTGTATTTGCTGACTTATATTTCTAGATTTTTGTAATTTAAAATCTGTAATTAAAAATACATTTTTAAATCCTCATATTTATTGCTTTTAATAAAATATTTAAAAACCCTTACTTAAAATATCTTGAAATAATTTGCTAGCTAAAAACAAATCTTTTGGGATAAAGGTATATTAAAAAATTGAAAAACTGTGAATTGAAATCATTTTAATCAATGAATAAGTGTAAATAACTTAAGTTTTTTCAATACTGTGATGGATTAAATAATATGTGTTATTCATTTTAAAAATTAAATCATTTTATAAATTTTGTTTCAACAAGAAAAGAAAACGATTAATTATTTTAAAATAAATTTAAATAAAAGCCTTCAAATGCTAGAAATACTTTTTTAATAAAATAAATATATATGAATAAAATGAATAATATTACACAAAAGCTAATAAATAAAGAAAATTCTTTAAATATTATGGCTAATTAAAAAATTTACTTCATAGAATTAAGTATTATTTAGAAATTCTTTTAAATAATTTAATAAATAATTAATATTGATTGTATATTAAATAAAGAATATATTAAAAATATTTATTTTAATTGTCTTTAAAAAATTCTAAGTAAAAATGAATTAAAATAATATGAATAGCTTTCTTGAATTTAAATTATTTTAAATATTAAACATGTAAAATAAATAAATTTGTGAAATATGATCACATATTAAATAATATCTATAATAAATATTAAAATATAAAATAATTATATAAATTATTATTTAAAGAGAAAAAAAAATAGATTTTAATTGGATATTAAATAAAAATATTTTATTTTAATTTATTGAAATATTTTTGCTATTAAAAACAAATTAACAGAAACAAATTATATGAAAAGGTTATTTTTAAGTCAGATTGAATATTTTTATCACTCATTTTACAATATAAAATGATTAATAAATATTTTGACCTAGAAAAGAAAATAATAAATTAATTTGATTTAATAATAAACAAAATATGAAATATTTCTTTCATATATTAATTATTAATTAGCAAGTCAATTTTTTATTGAAAATAAATAAATATATAATTTTATAAATCTTCATTTTTTAGAGAAAGTAGGATGAGAGTCACCTTAATGATCTTAAAATTCATTTTAATTGAAATTAACTGTATTTCTCATATCATTAACCTCTTTTATGATATTGCTCATCATAAAATCCTATTCTTTTTCTTATTAATTTTAAGGATTTATAATATTTTAGACATTTTTATCTTATATCTCAATGTTCATTTCTTTTAGAATTTAGTTTACATCCATAATTTTTATTCTGTCAGATTCGAAATCACTGACAGGAGCATAATTGTTTTCTTACTTATTTTCTGCTTAATTTAGATTATTCTTATTTATTTGATTTTCTTCTTATTTTTGCTAATTATTTATTTAATTTGACATATAGCTTTGATACACTACTTACTAAATTTTTGAATTTTAGTTATTATTATTTAGTGTTTAGGCTTTATGAAAACCTCCTTAGTTCATATTTATATTAGCGAATTAAGCCTATTAAGCCTGCTTATTTTCTACATAATTTTATTATTGTATCAAACCAATAGGAGGAGGTGGGGGAATGTTGGGAATCTGATTCTAAATGCTTTATTCTTAGTTGTTGTTCTAATTTTATTATTGTAAGTTTATAAAATCTGGAGGAACAACAGCATAAGTTTGATTTTATTATTAATCAATCAATAAATTATTTGGAGGTGGAGGAGGGACAAAATTCTGAGTAATTTACTAATCATTCTTGTTTTTGTCTTACTGTTAAATAATGTAGTAATCACTTGAATCACTTTAGCTTTAATTGTTTTATAACTAGTTATTTTGCATCTAATTTTATTGTTATTATAGATTTGAATTACCATTTTGGTAAGGAATATTATTTTGTTGATTAAATTATTATTGCTAAAGATTAGAATTTCCTGGGTGATAGGGACTAGAGTTTTATTATTAAACTTAGGAGTTCGAGTTGATTTCTTTTGCTTATTACTCAAGTTCCAATTAAAGCATTTAGAGCTTGCTTTGTAAATCATTTGCCATTTATTCTTCTTATTATTTTAATGTTAAAATCTAATTCTACTTTTAGATGTTATTTTAGATATTATTTAGATGTTAGTTATGAACATTCTCTAGACTTGACTGTTATTTGTTTAAGGATGGATATTTTATTAAATTTTTTTTCGGGGATTCTTATGGTTAATCTTACTATGGCATAGACGGATTCTAGTTTTACTGTTTAAATTCATAGCTAGGAATTACATTTAATTATGGTAAAATAACACCAACATTCATTCCTTACTATTCTATTTATTGTTTAATAGGATTTAAATCAACTCCATTAGGATTTATATTATTTAGGTTGTTATTAATTTAGTTTGCAAACGGAATATCTTTTGATTCAATCATATTTTATACTTTGAAATTTTATGGAAGCTATCCATTATTTATCAGATTATTAGAAACAAATTTATTAGCTGGGACAATTCCACTTGGTAATGAGTTATTTCCATTATAATTAAATTATTAATTATTGTTTCCCAAATTCATTTGATTCTATTATTAAGGCTAAACGTAAATATGCTAATCATCTTAATTAGGTTATGGAACATTTTATGAATTTTATAATTTTGAGAATGTAGGATAAGAATAATCATCCTCATTTATGTTATTAGATTTATAAACATCATTGTAAGAGTTTATAAAATTTTAACCAAACACATTCACAGAGTTTACCACAGGGAAAAGTAAGGGATTTCCGTTTTAATCAACTTTTGGTTATTGATAATTTTATTAATTTTAAGGAGCTTGGACATTTACTTAGTAATTATTTTAAGGATTAAACTAACTTGGGGCTAAGGGATTTAAGGGTGCTTAATTTTATGCAAAATTATTATTGAATTACTAATTTTAATATTATTGCTATTAATTGAAATTAGCTGGGTTCTATTAGAAATTACTTGGATTCAGTTGTTGATTTACTGGATTTTATTAGAAATAATTTTAAGCTTGGTTTTGTTAGAAATTGTTTTAAGGTTAGTTTTGTTAGAAATTGCTTTTAGGTTGCTAGAAATTATTTTAAGCAGGCTATTAAAATTATTAGTTTGGAAATTATTAATTTTGCTAAGGGATTCCATTTTACTGAATATTCTAATAAGATGGTGAAGGATTATTGTTGTTCATTTAATTCTGTTATTATTAAAAGTTAGGGTAAAAATTAGGATATTGCTAATTTTAGTATTATTGAGGAAACTGAGGATATTATTAGTACTATTATTAGTTAGGTTATACTTATTGTTGTTGGTTTTATTGGCTAGGGTTTTAACCAATGTTTTAGTAAAACTACTGAGTGTTTTATGAAAAGGGATGCCCAGGCTTATTAATCTCTTCAATAGTTAAACCTTACTAGCAGATCAAAATTGCTAAAATGTTGATATCAACTGTATAACTATTTTATGGTAACATTTCGAAGCATTTTTTTAACTCTGGATCAACAAAAGTAGAATTTTATACTTAAGTGTAGTAGTCTTCTGTACCAAAGAAATTTTTCATAACTGTTGTGAATTCTCCAAGTGATTTTAAGTTAACATGTTAAGTTGACCAAACAAGTCCATCGATCATAGGAAAAAGTTCCTTAATTTATTAAGGATTTGATTAGCTTTAGCAGATATGCTAAGAGCGTGAAAGAATGATATCACAATAACGGTTAAGCATTTCTAAACCCTTTATGTAATTTCTATCTTAAGCTATGGAAATCATTTTATGTAATTCCTATTCCCTATTTCGCTAAGGTGATCTGATCATATTCAATAGATCTTTACATTTAGCATTAACTTCTGCCTGCTTTCTAGATATGTTAATGTCAAAATAGCCCTTAAGTTTCATGCACATGCATTCAAACTATATTTTTGTTATAGGAACTTTTGCTGGCGCCTTCTTGCCTTTCTATTGAGATTACTCATTGCCCATGTTGTTATAAAAATTTGAATTACTTATATAAATATTTTTAACTTTGTGGAACAAACAAATTATGATTTTGCGAATAAATTATTAATTATATGATAGATATCTGATGAATTAATCAATTTCAAGAAATTTATTTTCTCAAAAAATTAATATTCAATATAAAAAATAAATAAATAGTTGATAAGTTTATTAATCAAAATAAATATCCATCTATCTCTCTATTTTTCTTATTATTTGGAATAGCTAAAACCAAAAAAGATTTTATAAATTTTTGATGAGCAAAGAAAATAAATTGTTGCTCATTAGATTTTGAATGCAAAAATTTTCTGCTCAGCAAAGTTGGAGACTAATGAATATCTAATCAATTTATCCTATTAAATATACATTTGACCTATTTTTTCAAATTAATTTATCTATTTTTCTATTCTATTCTTTTTCTTCAAATTTTAAATTTAAATAAAATTTGACTATTTCAATTAAGCAGATTACATTTCAATTTAATGTATGTTCTATAAATAACTCACCATGAAATAAATCTAATTTTTTACTAAATAAATGTTGAAGAATAAATAAATGCAATAAAAATTAATTTGTTATTTGTGATAATTTTATCATAAATTGTAGAGAATCTATATTATCTTAATTTCAAAATTTACTATTTTTATTTATTTATATTATTGCATTAGTTAGGCTATTATCATCTGTTTTACAAACTAAATTAAATTTAGTATTTAATCTAGTCTTTTTTTATAAATTATTAAATTCTTTATTTTATCAAAATACCTATCTCATTTAGAATATTATTTAAATTCATTTTAATAAAATGAATAAAAATAAGGTAAAATTTTTCTATTTTTATCTTTTTAAAAGGATCATATTATATCATTTTTATTCAAAGTTTTATCTTCAATTTAAAGAATACATTCAATAAAAAATTTATTTTATTTATGAAAGCACTTTTGCATAATAGAGTGAGTTAATTCAATTTAATTTTAATGGAATAAAAATATTTTTTTATTTTGAATAATTTTATTAATTAGACATATTTTAATTAAATAGCTTTTAAAAGTATGAAATATAATTTTTATATTTACAAAGAGGAATCTTGCTTGTGTTTAATATTTAAACAACTAATTAACAATCTTATTTGGCAATAATTTCAAAATCAAACAATAAATAAATATAAGATGGAAGAAAAAATAGAAGATTTAGAATAGCTTGCTATTTTAGGTTATAAAGATTTTTATAATAAAACAAATAAGAGGAGAATAATTTTTTATCTTTCATATTTTAGGGTGTAAAGTTTAAGTTAAGATTGAGAATTTTGAATTATTTATAGGAGAGATTTATCATTACAATCATCAAGCTGGAATTTTAATACTCAGTAAATAACGTTTTGTTATCATTATGGATAAATTAGAATAAAGTTAACTTACAAAAAAGCTAATTATTTATTATTTTCTTTCGATATTTCAAATAGAGGAGCAGAATCATAAGACAAATAAATTTAACTATAGATTGATCAATGTAAATCATATTGAAGAATTATCAATATTTGGTAGGAAAAGAGATATCTAAGTAAGCAAATTTTAAAAACACAACCTGATTTACAACAAAAAAATAATTTTAATTTATGATAAATAGGACATTATAGAGAATATTATTGAAACTAGAAAATTAGATGTTGATCAAGTCTTAAAAAGGGAAGAGTAAGTTTATGAGTAATTGCAGCAAAAACCAAACATAAGTGAATAAGAGTGGAAAATAAAATTCTTCAATATTATATAAAAAACTTACTCAACTGCCTAAATATAAAATGATGATATTTACATATCAGACATATAAGTAACAATAAAGCCTCCATATTCAGCTAGTAAGAATACTTTTAATTAACCAAGAAATAATTTTAATTAATTAATTAATAAATAAATAACCAGATGATGTTAGTGGAGATAATCCAAAAGCTGTAGAAAGAGTCCAGAAAATTGTAAAAAAATTGTATTTAATTTAATTTAAAATAATAGCATAATTTCTGTAAAATAAATAGGTCCAAAGAGCTCAAGAAAAGTATAACTAAAAATGAGAAATAAATTTAAGGAACATTAAATTTATTTTGCAATTAATATGTATTTAAAATAATATTTGCTTGAAAAGAGTATAATTTTAAATTCAAAATTAATCATGATTAAATTATTATTATTTTTGTAATGTTAAAGTGATAGAGCTATGAAATGAAATTAGGAATCAATTATAATCTGATAAGATCTTAAATTTCTATTTATAAGCAACTAATTTTAATTTAAAGTAGTTATAGTGTTTATATATTTATTGTAGACAACATATAAATTAAAATCAGTTATTGCATAATAAATAAAAGATAAAATGATAAATAAAATTTTTAAATTTGTAAAAATAAGATTCATTTTTATTGATTTATTTTGAAGGTTTCCACTTATTTGAATGAAGAGAGTAGATAAATATTGTTTAATTTAATATTAAAATAAAGCAAATATAATTGATAATTAGGTTTAAAAGATATTTTTGATTAAAAAATATATATTTATAATATCTTTCCTTTACCTATATTGAAATTGATGGTAGATTCAATCTATCGATCAATCTAATTTATTTATTTAATTTTTTGTATTTATTTTTTACTTTGTTTGCAGAAAAATAAATATCTTAAATTTAAAAATTTTTAAAAAATAATTAATTAAGTATTTGTAAATAATTCATAAAATAAATCAAATATTATTTGGCATATTAAAAATAATAAGATAGAATCTTAATAATTGATTAACTTTTCAAATTAAAAACAAGTGATAAAAAAATATTAATAATTTTAGTAAGTAAGTAAATAAATAAAATGGCTGACTATCCTCAATTAACTACTACTGATAACTCTCAAAACCCTCGTAAAATCCCTCAAGCTATTTTCATCGTAAGCAAATAATATATATTCAATAGTATCATTTTTATTAATTCTTCAAGCAAGACTTTCAGGTTTAACAATTTCTAAGCGCTTAAATTTATTAATAATAGGAAAATGTTGAATAATTATGTTCCAAATATTAAGTTGAAAAAGTTATGGAAGCCCTCCAAGAAACTTACAAGTAATTCTAATATGGCAAAAAGCAAAATGTTATTAAATACATCTTTTATATAAATAGCAAGTTCAAAATGATGGAAATGTAAATCCTCAAGCAAAAGGAAAGTATGTAATAAAAGATTCCTGAAATCGAAAAGGCTTTAGAAATTGTTTCAACTCTTGAAAAAAGAGGTAAACTTTTTTATAATTTGGCTCAATAAATAACTCTTTTTTTAAAATTTTTAGAAGATGATATGACTGTTGATTTCCTTTTGACTGATACCATTTGGACAAAAGCTGAAGTCAAGAAAGAAGTTTAAAAGGTAGCTTTATGGTTAGGAGCTAACGTTATGGTTGAATTCTCTTATCAAGAAGCTAAGGAACTCCTTAAGAAAAATCTTGAAAATGCAACTGGAAATTATAATACTTTCGTAAAATTAAATTCATTTTATTTCAAAGATTTTGATAACATGCAATAAATTAATAACTTTAACTCTAAATCAACTAATTTTTATTAAATTAGGATGAAGACTGGAACTTCTTAAAAGATTAAATCACTACTTGCGAAGTTAATATAGCAAGAATCTATAACTTCAATGTTAAAAAATAATAAGAAACTGCTTCTAAGAAAAAGGTTTGAAAATCAAAAAGAAAGAAGATAATTATTTACTATGTATCTACATACCTACCTAGCTAAGAGATAAATTTCAAAAATTAAGCAATTATATAGGCAGACATTTAAATTTATTTATAAGTTAGCTTAATATAAGCTTTAATTAATATTAATTTAATAGTTAATTTAGTCAATATTAGTTTATATGTTGCATATCATGTATATTCATAATCCTAATATTGTCAATTGTATTCCATCCAATTAAATATGATCAAACCTGATTAATGTATTTATATTTTTTGTTTATTTATTGTCCATTCAGATAGATACATAAATAAAAGTATGCATTCTGCAGTAAAATATGAAATTGTTTTAAAGCCATTTACAATAACCAATAAAAAAAACTTAGATCCACATTAAATAATTAAAATCATTTTGTAGCTGTTTCAATAAAATAGCTTTTTATAAAAAGTCTTGTTGATTTGAAAGGGTGAGGTATATCTTATAATTCTTTAGATAGTTATTAGTACTTATACTCTTGTGTGTCTAATTCTTTTTCAGAGCTATTAGAATGAATTTAAAATAATAAAATAAACTTTTACATTTTTAATTTTTTTTTTATTTACATTCCTTCTCTTATATCTTTAAACTCTTCTAAATTTTGAAATAGATGTTGAAGGACAGGTTTAATAACTTTATTTGCATAATCTTCCAAATTTGGGTTTTATCCAATTTCATATTTACTAGGAGTATACTCTATCTATTTATTATTAAAAGGTTTTTGTAAATAAACGAACTTAATTCTTGATAAATTATATATTGGTTATTGATTTCTTTGCTTACTTATATCTTAACTTTCTTTTGTCTTGCTATTCTTCCTATTCTAATGATATAATCACCAAATTCATAGGTGCTTCCTTCTATTGTTTGTAATCCTAAAGGGCTCTTTAATAATTAAGATAGATGAAACAGTGTATACAAATGTAAAAAGATTTTACGCTTTTTATAGATTTATTGAACACAAGCATATCTTTAAATTCCTATGTTGTTCTAAGGTACTAAAATTTTTCTATTATTTGTTTCTTTTTTTAAAAATTTAATTTTGCTTTCAGTTGATCCAAAATAAAGTATATATAATTTACTCCATCTTCTTGCTTAGAATTAATTTCTTGCTTGCTATTGATTTCTATGATGATGTTTGAGTCATTATTTTCTTTAATAACTTTCAAATTATCTATTTTATTCTATTCTTTTGATCTGTTTTACTTTTCGACAAGGAATTTTTCAATTTGCAAAGACCAGCTTTCTTTTTTAATTAAGAAAATATTCTCAAAAACTTTTTCTACTTATTCATATTTGATTTCCTGGTTATCACTCTAGCTCATTAGCTTACTATCTTAGGTACTTTAAGACTAATCATCTTTTAAATTACCCTACTGTTTTGCTTTCTTGTTTTCAATTGTTTTTATCCATATAAATCCTCTTTCAGTAAAGGCCATCATTTTTTAGACTATCTGATTCTAACTAAAATTTTTCTAAAATGAAGCGCAAAAATTAAGATTAATAACAAACTTGTGAGTTAAAAGATATATCAAATTTTGATTAATTTATTTAGATTAAATTTTGCTATCTAAAATCTATTAAAATAGTAGCTAGGTAGGTACATACTTACATAATAAATATAAATGATAAATCATATTTGAAAGAGGTTATTTACAAATATATAAATTTTAAGATAAAAAAAAACAAATATTTCTGCAAGATAAAATTATATTTTAAATTTGAAAAATAAATAAATAAATTAAATTATTTTAATCAGTTTTTATCAAAAACGCTCTTTATTGTAAATTTTTGATTATCTTTTTATAAATTACTACTTTATTATTGTTCTTCTTCTTCATTCTCAGATAAGCTGTCCTGCTCTGACACAGAAACTGATTCATCTGAGCTTGTTTAGCTTTTATCTTATTATTATAATAACCAGCTTGATTATTATTTTGGTTCTAATTCTAAAGGTATATCAGTTTATTCTTAATTAGATATATTTTGAATATTATTGTTAACGAGAATATGAGCGTATCTTCTATAAATATCATCAATTTTAATGCCATTATCATAGCAAGCCAAAATGAGTTATCTTTAAAAATAATAATAAAAAAAAACATTAAAAATCTGAAAAATAATAAATAAAATAGAATGAATACCTTCTATGATCTTCTGAATATGCAAAGTTTGTTATAAGCTTGAAATGCTTATATATAAATACATTTTTTTCTTCTTCTGTGCTGAATTTTTCATCATTCAATTTAGGGATAGATTTTAGTCCAATAGATACTATTTATCTGCAAATAGCTCTCTTTTTCACCTAAGGTTTGCTTGCACTAGAAAAAATTACTTGAAGTTGTTTGCAGTTGTACTTATCAAGATTCAATTCTACAAATGGAAGAACAATTTCATAGAAGTAATGATTATATTTTCTGTTAATTTTAAAATAAGGTTAAAATATTATTCTTATTATTGATATATTGCTTCTTACTTTATGTTATTTAACGATCTTTTTAAATATCTCTTTTTAGATTCATGGAACTAACTTAATAGCTCGTTGCATAGCATAGAATGGGCATAACTATATGTTGCCACATCTTTAGGAGTAGCTTAGTCAAGCTTATTTGAAAAATTAGCTTCTAGTACCTCAAATAATTCAGGTTTTACTACTTTCATTTTACAGTAAGCTAAGAGAATCATAGTAGCATTTTTTGGATCTAACTCATCTTTAAAAGTATAAAATATGAATATATCACAACAATATTTAATAAAAAATAAATTCATTAATCAATAAAGTTAATTTATAGGAAATTCAATAGCTTTTTATATTTATTTTACCTACTTTATCATATTTGTGCTATTTAATTCGGTAATTTTCAATTATTTCAGAATTTTCTTTCTTTTTTACTTCTAAATAAGATTTTTACTCTTCGAATTCTTTTTAAAACTGTTAAATAGCTTTTTAATCAGTTGAAATTTCTAAAACTTCAAATCCATCTTCTTGCTCATCGATATTATCTTCGTCCTCAAAATCTTTATCTAATTTTTCAGAAGCTTCATTTTCTTCTTTATGATTTTTTTATTATTCGTTTACTAAACTTTCTTATTCATTACCTTCAATTGGTTTGTTTAGTTTTATTATACTGTTAAATAATTCCATCTCTTCATGAGAGTAGGTATTTGACTATTATGCATACTTATCTAAAATAGAAGATCCTGTATCTTCAAAAGCATCAGAATTTTCTTCAACAATACTAGCCTTAATTCTTCTCAAGAGCTATTTCTCAATGTATTCTAACAAAATGCTGTTAATATAGTTCATGTTACTGCAACTTACAAGTAAGTTTGATAAATTTCTATATGTTAAATGCTTTCCTAAGTCCATATATCTACCTGATAAAGCATCTAAAACTTCAAGATTTTTTCTATAAAATTTCTCATAACTTGTGAAGACAATGTTAATGCACTAAATAATAAAAATAGAAAAAACTTAATTTAATCTAAATTAAAAAATAATTTTAAAAAGATATTTCAAATTCTACTGAGAGATATTATTTATTGTAAATAAATAAATTTCTCAAATTTTTACGTTAATTGGAAACTTTTGTGAATTTCTGTAAATTTAAGCTTCAAGGTATATAGTTAAATCTTCATTCATATATTTTAGCTTTCCTAAACTCCAAAAAATATTTGCTAAATCTTCAGGATCAATTGTACTTTTCTATTATATTACATAAATAAGAATTATGAATACCTTAAAAATGATGCTTTAATTCCTTCCATAATCAATAATAAATAATTTAATATACTGAGAATTCAATGTTTAAGTTTAGAATTAATAAAAATAAATTGAAAAATATTACAATAGCCATTAAATTTGTTGCTGCATATTTAAGATATCTATCGTTTTTTATGTTTGAGTGAGCCATAGACCAGAGTATAAATGAAGTCTATTTTGTACTAAATTACCATTTATTTTCTACAATTAAATTAGAAATACTTTCTACAATATGAGGAGTGCATAATTTTAACTTAACTAAGTTTGACAAATAATTTGATGCAGTGAATCCTTTCATATTTTATAAATTAGTTTCCAATTAATTACATATTTCTTTAATTTATGGTCCATACTTATCTAAGAGATTGCTATAATCTTTACTTTCTTGTAACTTAATCGCTTAATGGAGACAAGTTGAGTAATTTATAATATTCATCTAATCTTTAAAATGCTCATATACTTCAAATAATCTATCATGATTTTTTGAATTCAAAATATAATTTTAAGCTATATTGTTTTCAGCAGAAAACTCATTCTTTTCTTCGATATAATTCTCTCTAGCTTCCTTCTATTTCTCAATAACAATTTTATCTGCCAATTTTTCTTTCTAAATCTTTATTTTTCCTTAAGTAGCTCTAGCAAACCTATAAATCTATTTTTAAGTGCCAATTGCTTTAAGCAGATTACCTATTTTAAATTGGAGTGAACTAAACATTTTCTAGTTTCTACTTATTTAATTCTTAAAATTTGATCTATATTTATTAATTTTAGGATACAATTAAAATTTAATCTAATATTTTAAAACTTTGTGATTTGCATAGACCCTATCAAAGAATGATTATAAATAAATAGCCTTTAAAATTACCTTTGGAATGTTCTACGTAAAATCTGAATTCTACGAGGACTAAGATATTTTTATTATTTAAATTCAATTAAACTATTATATTATTTTAAAATATTTAAATTTCTCTTAATTGAATCATAAAAATTAAAATAAATCTAATAGCAAAGTTTAATTTTTAAATTTTGCAAACTTTTTATCAAAGTAAAAAAAATTGGTTATCAAATAAACTATGCACTGTTTACAATTTTTATAAGATCTACAATAAAATAATTAAATTGATCTAAATCTAATAATGAATACCTTTTATGATGAAAAATTATCACATAAAAATTATGTTTTGCTTTGCTCTGTTAATTCTAATACTTTTTTGATAGGGAGATAGCAATTTTTATTATAATTGATTATTAGAAATAAACAAACACATTTAAATAATTTATATAAACTAAAAAAAAAATATATTTAAACTTATAAATTTGCTTTGTGCCATAGGCAAAAATTGGATTAAAAATAATATAATAATAATAATTGCTTTGTAAATTCTAATACTTTTTTGATAGGGAGATAGCACTTTTATTAATTGATTATTAAAAATAATTAAATAATTTATTTTAACTAAAAAAATATGTTTAAACTCATAAATTTGCTTTGTGAGTGCCATTTGGCAAAAATTGGATTAAAAAATAATATTATAATAATAATTGCTTTGTAAATTAAATTGTAAAAAAGACTCATCAAATATTAAATTCGATAAATATTTGAAATAATAAAATACTTGAAAGCTAAAATTCAATTTGGTTGCTTATAAAATTATAAAATAATATCGAAAAAAGTATTACTTAAAGGTTATTTATTTTTTAGGTTTTATAAAATTCAAAGATATTTGATAGCATAAATATTGTTTCGATATTAAGCAAGTTAGTTATCAAATACAATAACTAACAAATAAATCATACTAAATATTTCTAAATAAACAATACTCAAAATTAGATTATTAAAAAGGTTAATGAAGATAGCTTTTTAAATAAATTATCAAAATATTAAATGGGTATTCCTCATTGCGTTCATATTCTTCATAAGACAGACAAAAGGGTTTTTAGATTATACATAAGATAACCTCTCAAACTGTTCGATTGAGTATAATGATGAAGAAAGATAACAAAAATTTAAATTGCACATAATCGATTAATATGCATTTATAATATTATCTCCTATTTCAATTATTTCTAATCTAATTATTATCATATTGTTCCTCAAATATAAAGAGAGTCGCAAGCAGCCAAGCGATATCATATTTTTTATTAGCATTTCAGATTTAATCCTATCGATACACTGGTTTAGTTCTGCTATTTATGCGATATCCAAAAGTTAGGTACCTGATAATGATGATATTTTTTGCTAAATTAATTCCTTTTTCAGTATTACATCAGGATCAATTGAATATTTGTATAACCTCTTTTTCTGTATTTTTTTGATAACTCGCATTAGGAATACTATTAAAGGTTTTAGGATTAAGAAGTCTTTTATTCATTTTTTTACTATAGTTGGCTCTATTGGGTTTTATCTCTTGTAAAAATTCTAAGGCAGAGCATAGTTGAATTTATACGGAGTTTGTTCCTATAAAGTAGATAGTACTAGTTGGATTATTGGAGTATCTATATTTGTTGTTTATCTATTTATAAGCTGGTTGACAATATACTATTTCAAGAAATATGTTCCTAATATCACTGCCTTTGTAAAGCATCGTACAGAGTTTCTCTAATTCTATTATTTCAACGTATTGTTCATAAGTATAAGTTGGTCTATATTAGTAGCTTCAAACATTATTGTAGGAATTAATTGTACTTATGAGCTGTCTCCTTTTTTAAATATCTTTATAACAGTTGGTAATATCATAAAGCTAGTTACTCCTATAGTTCTTTCTATTGTTAGATACTTTGATCCCACTCTCTAAGGCTGCATCCAAAATCATAAGCTAGCCAGATAAAGTACTTCTAGCGAGCTGATAAACCTTTCTTTCAATAAACCAATTTTAAACGCATAAGTAGGATTAGATTGGAACTAATCAACTAGCAAAGACAGTTTATCATCAAGGCATGTAATAGATTTATTTTAAATCATTCATTTTCCATAAAAAGCTAAATTTAATCATACATTTTTAAATTACAAATATTTTTCTTTTACCTAACTTTCTATCTTAATTTACTTGCTTACATTAGATTTTTTTGAGAATGAAAATATTTTTCTCTCTTTAATTATTGAAATAAATTAATTAATTAAAGTAAAAAAGTATACAAACAAAAATTTCTGATCGTATTTTGTTTTACCTCAAACTCAATCTCAAAAAAAAAAAAACTAAAATTATCAAATACAATAATTAGAAAATAAATAGTAATATCTTAATTTTAATATTTTGCTTAAAAAAAGAGAAGAGTGTCCAATTGGAGTCATGTAATTTCAGCTAATTTAAAGATCTTGAGAATTTAAAGCATAATATTAGGTCTTTTTATGTAAGACGAACTCATATCTTAATAAGCTCCTTAAAAAGACTAAATATAAAATTTAAGTTTTGTATATGACTAATAAATTTTAAAAACCTTACCAGAGGTCTATCTTAAAAAACTTCATATGAAATATGAAACACATAAAATGAGAATCAAGTTTTTTTTTCCATTAGAATTTAAATAGCTAAGAGAAAAAGACTCTAAATTTATTAACATTAAAAAAGATTTTGATCTTATAGAAAACTTTAAGTCTCTTTAAAATATGGCTGAAACTGGAGATGGAGGTAAAAGTGGCGAACTTCTCTTTTTTAATCATGATAAAACCTTACTTATGAAGACTATTTCACGTTAAGATGTTTAATCTTTCTAAAAGTTTGGAAAGTAATACTTTTAGTATGTTATGAATGAAAATCCTGATACATTTATTATTAAAATTTATGGTATGTACTCTTTTACAAGAGCAGATACGAGAGACTTAAAGACATATGTTATTTTTATGAGAAATATTGCTAATGTCCCATCTTAGAATATTTTAAGAAGATATGACCTCAAGGGATCTAGATTTGATAGAGAAGTTCTAACTAAATATAAAATACAAGCTGAAGATTTACCAAATTATTCAAATATAGAAGAATTTTAGAATTAGCTAGATATGATAAAAGAATTTAATGTGATCAAAGACGCTAATTTAAACAATTTAAATTCTTGTGAATCAAGAAACTCTGATTTTGATATTAAAAATGTAGTCTGCTAAAACTAAATCAAATAACAAGATAATACAAATCAAAATGAAACTTTAAATGATAACTAAAATATTAGAAACATAAACAAATTTGGAAAAATTTAAGGAATAGATTTTTAACGATAATAAACTATCTAAAACTGGATAGAACTCTATAACTAACCAATATTTAAAAGAGAACTTTCATGTAACATGTAAAAGTCCATTAATTAAAACATTAACATCTCAAAAATAACAATGAAAGATTTAGATTTTTTAAAACTAGAAAAACAAATTTATGTTGACGAGAATTACATTAAATTTATTAAGTAAAGCTTAGAAAAGGATTGTTTGTTTTTCAAGGAAAATGGGATAATTGACTACTCTTTACTTGTATTCAAAGTGGCTAGCTAAGTCAGTCATAATTAGGAAAGTAGTACAGAAAAAGAAAATCTAATCTTTTAGTCTAAAAGAGAAAAATACATTGATTATCATATAGGTATTATAGATTATTTACAGGAATGGAACATAGATAAAATGCTAGAATAAAAAGCTAAGTAGGCTATTCATGCAAATTTAAATTTAAATGTTTCATCTTAAAATCCAGAAACATATTAATCAAGATTTAAATAGAATATAATTGATTCACTTTTTTGATTAACTGAATATTAAATAAATTTTCTCTCAAAAATATTTATTAACTAAAAATAAATAAATAACTCTAATATAAAACTAATTCAAATTAACTCTATCAAAAATAAATTACTATACAAATATATATATTTTACAATAAAGTGTTCATAAATTTATCAAATAAATTAGTTTAATTTTTACAATTTTAATCAAATCTAGTTTTTAATTAATCTTTTTATAATAGATTATTTCCTAGAAAAATTGTTTTTAAATAGCATTAATTAAACATCTTTAGCATACTAAGATAAAAAATAATATTATAGATTCACTTTTTTGATATTCTTATTTTATTTTTGAATTATTCATAATAATTTCTAATAAATATTAAAATAATTCAATAATTAAATATTTTTTCAATAAAAATAAACTAATTACAAAGAAAAAAATATTTTATGTTACTATTTTGAATATTTTAAGCTTGATTAAAAACTATAAAAAAATGATTTATTCAAATTCATCAACCAATACAAATAATAGATATTTTAAATTATTTTATTTGCTAGAAAGTTGAATCTGATATTTTCCTTTAATCAATAACAAAATATAAAAATATTTAATTTGTTATTTAAAAACTTATTATTAATAACCTCATTTATAAAAATAAGTTTTTGTTTAGTTTGATTATTATTATGATTAATTAGCTTTTATTTTATAATTTAATTGAAAAACTTGATCTATTTTTATTTTTTAGAAAAGAAAAATAGGTTATGTTAAATACTTTATCTTTAATAAAAAATTTTAAAAACGTAAATTTTTTAAATTAGTAAAATCTAGATTAATTTTATAATTTATGTAAATATCTGACAAGGAATGATTCAACTTAACATTAATTGTATATTTATGATATAAAATAAAGGACTTCTTTCCACCAAAAAATATATAATTTACCAAATTTTTAAAGTATTGAAAATTTATTAAATTTTTGCAAATAAAAAGAAGTAGAGCTTTTATAAATGAAATTCTTTACAAAAAGTAATACAGCAGACAGTCAAAGTTCAAATAATAGTTTAAATGGGTTTTACAATAAATCCTAAACTACAAAAGGTAGTTCTGGCTTGAGTTTGTTTACAAACAATGCTTTAAAAAATACATAAACAGATATTGATGAAGAAAATAATGGTTTACTAAGTAGGGCATTTAGGAAGTTCAAAGACAATTTTAAAAATACTGTATCAAGCTCATAAAATAATTTAAAGGGTTTGACAAATAAGATGCAAGAAGTCTAAGAAGCAGCTGAAAACTGGAAGAATTTCTCAATATTATTTGGCTTTGGTGCATTTTTTATTTTAGTATCATTAGCATTCTTGCCCGTTTTTGTTTTAGTCCCTGCTAAATTTGCAAGTCTCTTTACTCTAGGAAGTGTTTGTATTCTTTTAAGTATAGCAGTTATGAAAGGTTTTAAGGAATTCGTAAAGATCCTTATTTAAAAAGAAAAAATATAGTATTCAATTGCATATATTATTACGATTTTTGGCACTTTGTACTTCTCGATCATTTAGAAATCTTATTTATTGGCAATTATCTTTTCAGTGGCTCAGGTAAATATACTAACTAACAAAGCAGTTTATTTATTCATTAAAGCAATTAATAAAATGAGTTTATAAAACATTTTTAACTGAAATATTTCTTTTTATTTAGTTTTGAATAAGTTCTTTATTTCTTTTTTTAATATTAGATGTTTTCTTTAGGATTTTTCGTTGCTTCAAGCTTTCCAGGAGGAGCAAATGGCATGAAATTTGTGACCAAAAAGCTATTTGGCTTTTTAAAAGGAATATGTTGCATGTGTTTTAAGCCAAAGGAAAGTTCTTTTTTACCAATATGAGAATTTCTATAAAATATCTTTAATTTATATCAAATTAGTTAAATTCTTTATTCTTATAAATATATAATGACTTACAAAATAAATTCTCAATTTATTTATCTAAAATTATACTCTTTATTTCCATAAAGTAAAAAGCATTCTTTGAATAAATTTAAAAATAAGCTATTATATAATTTATCATGTTTATCTATTTTAGGAATAAAAGTTTGCATTTTTGTTCTTTTCAAAACACTTACTTAATAAATAATATTCAAATTACGACAATTATTTTTTTTAAAAATTGTAAGTGAGTTATTATTTATGAAACTAAAAATTTACTTAATATTTTAATATTTATTAAACTACAAATAATAAATTTTATACTCAATTAATTTATTTGAAAGTTTCTAATTCAGCATTTTTTTATACTTTTTTAATTAAATAAAAGCATAAAAACTAAAAAAACAAAAAATATAAAATAATTAATTTGAATTAATTAATATAGATTAAACCAAATATTATTTTAATAAAAATTTATGAATTACTTAATAATTTTTAAAGAAAGGTGTTTATGTTTCTTTTAGATATGAGTAAATTTTTGCTCAAATTGATATATTTAAATATAATATCATTCTTCAATTTAAAATTTTTATTGATAAAAAAAAATATACGGTATTTTTAATTCAATTTTTTCAAATTTTAAAACATAACATTTTTGTTTACGTTAAATTATCTAGAGTTAATTTATAGAAGATATATTTATTTTAATCTTTTTTTATTTTAGTTTATTTTCATTTATTTTAGATTATTTTCACAATTTAATCCACACTTCGTTCAAAAACTTAATGAGGCTGTTCTTATAGGAATATCAGTTCATTATTTTTTAAACTTACATTACTTGTTTATATTTCCAATGATATACAAACTTTAATTTAATTTCAAATTATTTATTTCATTCAAATAAAAATTTGATGATAGTTAAAAAATAATTTTTTAAATAATTTCATTTTATTAAACTATTCATAGTAATATTTATCTTTTAAGTGAACTATTTGATTAAAAATTAATTCCAAATTTATAGATTTTGGTAATTAAATTTTTTAATTATAAGGTGGTAAATTCTTAAAAGCTTAAATATTAATTTAAAAAGAGCTACCCCTTTTTTTGTTATTGCTTATACAAACAAGAATATTTAATGTTATGAAAAATATATTAAAGTATATTTTTTATTTTAAAGATTTTATTTTAATAATATTTAAAAAAGAAATTTATTTAAAACGAAATTAAATTTCTTTAAAAAATAACAAATTAATTTATAAAATAATTAAAAGAATGAATATAACTGGTATTAATTATTAGTTAAGAAAATTTAATACATATAAGAATAATATTATTATTCTATTAAAAAATGTAATTAAAATTGTTTATTTTTTAGAAAAAGAGGTAGGTTTTTAGATAAAATGCTTGTTCAATTTTAAATGTCTGCCTTAAATCTCAGCATGTCAATAATTACATCTCTCCTAAAAAGTGTTTTTAAATTATAAAGATAATCTTTTTTATTGATTAAGTTAATAATTTAGATTAACTATCTTCTTTAAAACATTAAATTTTGTAACGATGGAGAGGTGCACATTTATTTAAGTCTAATTAAAAACTATTTTTCTCTTATAATGCTAAAGAATCTCATAAAGTTTTAAGAATCTAAAAAGCCTTTTATTTTTATTTCAAAATTTACAATGTTACTTAACATTTACAACATCTCTTAGGCAACAGCTAAGCAGTTATATTCTCTGTTTGAAATATTTGAAGGCTAGGATATGAATATTCTAAGGTGGACAAGATTTCTAAGTGTAGCTATTAGTTTTAGAGAATTAAAATCATCAGCATTAAATTAGTGTGAAACACTGGTTATACTAAAAGAAAAAGTTTTAATATATGGATTGATTTCTGAAATATTTAAAGAACTTAGAGATTCAATAGAATTGATTAGTCGCAAAGAGTTTATTCTTTTATAACATATTAAATATAATTATTAGGAGAAATCAAGTCTAGATGATTCATAATTTTGAAATTCTAAGTTAAGCTCGTTTAAGTTTTGTAGATGTAGAAGTTATTAATTTAATAAGCACTAGGGTAGAGGCAAATATTAGTTAGGTTGCACATTAGTCTGAAAAGTGAAGGAAGTTAATTTAGGGCACTCTACAATTGTGCTAAGTAGAGAGTAGTCCATTTCATATACTTCTTCATATTGAACAAAAGCTAGCGTTAAATTGAAACTTTTCAAATGGTTTTAGTTTTTTTAAACTAAAACTTAAATATTTTGCATTAACTTTATAAAATAATTTTCTTAACCTTTTGTTGCACTTAGTATTTTCAATGATAGTTAAATATTTTCAAGCTAGAATCTTGAATTCAAAGCTAGGTGCTTAGTAAAATACTCAATTTTTGTAAGATAATCGCAACTATGCTGAAATGAGAATACTTTGATTGGAAGGTTTTGAATTTGGTTCAAAATAAAATCTACATTTTATAGAATTGGTAAATTTGGATTAAAGTCTATCCTAAAATAAAATTGGTGTATCTTTTTGAAGCTTTTAAGTAGCTTGATGATCTGTGGACTAATAAGCATTAATTAACTAAGTTCATTTGTAAAGGATAAGTTAATGTTGAAGTATAAAATTTCTATTTGCTCTAGATTTTCATAGGTGGGAAGACAGCTTTAAACTTATTCTAAAGCAAATATATTTCCGTCTTAGATCATATTAATGGAAGTTCCATCCAGTTTGATTTGAAGGGATTTGTTATTTGGATTTAAATACATTATTTATTTCTTTTGAAGATGTTTAAATTTACTTAAAACCTTATTTTTTGTTACTTGTTAGATTAATTATCAAAATCAATTAGTGTATTTTTGATGCACTAATAGCTAATCAAAAAGCTTTATAAAGGGGCAATAAAGGAGAATTTGTAAAATATTACATAATCATTAAATTAATACGGATTTATCTGAATTTCTTCTAAAAATAGTGACAGATATTTGGGGAAAGGTTTTTTTATATTAAATAACAAATGCAATTGACCCCTTTAATTATTCTATTTTTCAAATCTGTTAAAAATTATTTTATTTTTTTTGTTAAGAGTTCAATTTAAGTTGTTAATAAGCTTGTTAAGTTTCAATATTTAAATTTACATCTTTCTTGTTATTTTTTTAAATTATTTAAATAGGTTTTGAATTAACAAAAGTCTACAAAATCATTTAATTAGTTATTGAATTAATTAGAATTAATTTTATAATTTTTAAAAAATTAAATTTTGCATTTAGAAATTTTCAATCCTTTTTTGTAGATTGATTTTTTAAATCAAAATATTTTTAAAATTTAAGTTATAATTTAATGCTTCAAATATCATTAATAATTAAATAGAAAAAAAGTAATATATAATTAAAAATGTGATTAGTTAGGAGTATGTTCAGTTAACTTCGGAGACTTAAAATGAAAATTAATAATTTATTTGAGAATGTATCTTGAAAATTCATGGCTTGATTGGTCAAAATTTGAACAAAAATATTTAATTATTTATTAATAGAAATAATAAATTTATCTTAACACTTATAAATAAATAATTAGGCTTGTAAATTAATTAAAGAGAATGATTGAAAATACATATACATATATATATTTATTTAAACTCAAGTATTAGATTGAATAAAAGGAAATTGATTGAAAATAAATTAATAAGAATTGATAAGGAAGGAGAGCATGCAAATAAACATTTACAATAAATTTAGTTAATACAAGAAAACAATACTTACTTACAATAAGAAAATATAAAAATAACTAGCTATTTAAAATTTGGGGAGTGAATAACAAAAAAATAATATAAAAAAAAGTAGATAGATTATTTAATATAGTAAATTGAGACTGATTGTGATAAGATTAAAACAAATAGAAGATCGTATTCACCAAGCAATCTCAAATTTCAATACATTTTTGATACATTTTTTATACTTCTTACTTATCCAAATAAAACAAAATTAACAAAATAACTTCTCGCTGCAGCCTCTTAAGCTAGCCACTACACTAAAGTTAATTACCTTAGCACGTTAGTGTTTTTTAGGTTTTAAAAAAGCTTCATAAGTTAAGAGAAATTTGTAGGGAATATTTAAAGAACTTAGTAAAAAAAACAAATAAGAAAAAAGATACCAGTATGAAACCGAATGAAAAGAAAAGAAAGAAAAATACATATGAAATTATCAACAAACTTACCTTAAGTTTCAAAGATTAAACAACTGAGGAAAATTTTTGTAGTTAGAAAACTTCCAACAAGCTGCGGATTGCTTTAATAGATTAAATATGGATGTCTCTTGTTTATAGTTTATAAGCAGTTGTTTTGCTTGTTCACAAAAAAAATTAGTTTGCAATAATATACTTTTGCGCTACTGTCTACTTAAATGTTATCAGTTTTATAGGAAGAAAGTTTACAAAATATTTACAAGCATCCATTTTAGTACACCTAATTACTCAAATGATAGTTTTTACAGAGTTAATTATTCCTTATATGAAGGACTTGGATCCAACTTCAGTGAATATGGCCATGATAGTTGTTTATGTAAGACATTCGTATTTCCTCTCAATTATGGATAGTTGGGGTTTTAGATTCTTTTCCTTACTACTATGGATGTATTATCCAATCCGAAATATAAATTTATCTGATTATGAGTATTAAATAGGCTTTGTTTTATTCTTTTTACAAATGTTATTCATCTACTATTATGATAATAAATCAGAAAGAATTTGGTTTTTAAATCAATCCTCCATCAAGGAAGATCTCTAATTCTGGAAAACACTCTTTAAGAAGAATTTGCAAAGTGTTGTATTTGTGATTAGCATATAAAAATTTAATGAGGTAAAAGTTGAATTTTGTAACGATTAAGGATTAAAAGACTTTCGTGCTAAAAGTAAAAGTGATTTCGAACTAAAGATCTTGAATGATTTTCATATTAATCTGTTTGAAAATCGTTAATATTAGCTATTTAAAGATTTCCTTTATTCCAAGTACAACAGACAGCAAAGTCTGAGTCCTTCCCCAAAAACAGATACAGGAAACTAAAGGATTATCAGTAATTAAGTAAAATCTAATAATTTAATAAGTAACTTGCAGAATGAAATACTAGAAGGGATTGAAAATAAAAAAAACAATTCAAATATAGCTGTTGAATTATAACAAGAATTTAGACTAGATGAGCACATTTATATGAACAGCTTTTACATAGACCCCAAAACATCTAACAAATTATATTACGATGTGAAGCTTGTGAACTGTCAATGGAAAAATTAATTTGCAATTATGGCATTTTTGACAAATGTTCCTTAAAATAATCTCGTCAATCGCTTACAAAAAATTAATCAGTAATTACTTTTTTTTAATTATTAATATCTTTAATTAAAGTAAGAATTAATATTTTCCACTATTTTTTTTTTGTTTAATTTTGAGTTTCACTCTACCATAAATATCTAAGTTGCAAATAATTACTACTAAAATAGAAAATTTCATACATAAATAAGTAGCATCCACCACTATAGTATTTTTGAATTTGAAAATAAATTACATTCAAACAACATAAATATAATTGCAAAATTTAATAGTGGATAATAATCAACAAATATTTTATTCACTCTTAATTCACATATGATTTTATTTTCCCTTTGAAAAACAGTTAAATAAAAAATATAATTCCTATTTCATTTGTTTATTTATGATTGAATTTTAACAAAAAAATTAAGGAAATATAGAAATTTACAATTAAGAAAAAGTGAAAGTAAAAATTAAAAATCAATTTTGAAAAAGAGTTGACAAATTTAATTATAGTTCTATCTGCAGATCCTGTTAAAAAGAATATGAATAAATTTATTAAAAGTAAAGTGTCGTCACACTTAGAACACTTTTCAAATGAATTTTTCAATTTTGCTTACATCAAAAAAATTCGATCTAAAAAATTTTTAATGCTTTTCTCAAATACTTAAATTTTCAATCCAGTAAAAGAAGAACAAATAATTCAAGCAAACAACAAATTTTTTTTTCTACTTTTCTTAAACTTAGTGGTATTATAAAACCAAAAATTTAAGCTTTTTATAAAAATAAGAAGTAATTATTATTATAATTAAATATTGAAAGTAATTATTTAGTTATTGAGAAAGAAGCTAGTGTTGTATAATTTAAAGTACCAGGCAGCTTACAGCTTAATCCTTATAAAAATAAAGATTATGAATTTACGAATAATAAAATTTTACCCAAAATTTATAGAAATTTCAAAATTAATTAATGAATTAATGAATTAAGCTTTAGTTATTGAAATATTAATTTAGTGTTTGTTTTTACAAAATATTTAATTACACTTTTTAAAAAAGATATAAAGATGAGTTATTGGCTACTGTATCTCACGATCTAAAAACACCTCTCAATGCAATGATTTAAGTAGTCTAGACTGCAATGAGTTAATGCAATAATGAGGTCTACAATAATTATTTTGATATCATTGATAAAAATAGTAAGCTACTTCTTAACATCATAAATGATATCTTAGATTATAGCCAAATTATGAAGGGAAAATTAAGATTAACCCACTAAATATTCAGTATAAAATAAGTAATTCAAGAGGTTCATGACTTACTTAAGTATTAATTCTAAGACAAAGGAATAGATTTTTTAATTGATATTGAATAGGATATCTAAGTGTAAAATGATCAAAATCGATTAAAGTAGATACTAAATAATATTATAGGTAATGCTCTAAAATTCACTTTTAAAGGATATGTAAAAGTGTAGGTTATTTCTCTTCCAGAAAATCAATCAATATAAATAAGTGTAGAAGACAGTGGTACAGGTATTGAAGCTTCACTTCAGCCTAAACTATTTTAACTATACTCCACTTTCGATCACAATAAAGGAAGCAATAAGCACGGTGTAGGCTTAGGTCTCGCAATTTGTAAAAAACTTGTTCAATTAATGGGCCCTTAAGATTCTATATAATTGATTTCAGAAAAAGGGAAGGGAAGTAAATTTATCTTTGAAATCTACTAAAGCTTAGATATCCAAAAAGCGAATTAAAAAACTAAAAGCGCTTTACTAGAATCTAGAAGATCACTAGATAACAGTAGTTTAATATACTCACCTGAATATAAGAAACAAAATACTCTTCACCTATTTCACTAATCTGCTTCTATCATAAATAATAACAACAGTAATAATCAAGATTTAATCTAATCATTTCTTTTAAACCAATAGTAATAATTACCAATTCTTGCTTTATAATAATAATCTATTTCTAAATTAAATTCTGCAATTTAATAAAATTCATCTTATTCTAATATAAATTCTAATACCAATTTTACTTCCGTCAAGTCTCACAACATGATTGCACCAACAACCAACAATAGTTAGTTTACAAATATATTTGGTATAAGTGCTCCAAGTCTCACAGGTTACTTCCCAATGTCTCATCGCCAAAATATTCTTAATGGCATAATTGAGAATAATGAAGAGGGTAATAATATTGAGTCAGATTCATGTCTTCCTATTAATAAAAAAATTAATTAAGAGGATACAAATAACAATTCAGGCCAATAACAGGCTACTAATTCTAATCTTAGTCGTACCCCAGTCCATAATCGTTTAGCGCAAGATAATATGAATGCAAAATTTAAAATTCTTACTTACAATGATATAGAAGACGAATAATCATAATCCCGAAGTATAGAAAATTAGTAGTAATAATAATAATAATAATAATAATAGCAACAACAAAAGATAAGATAATATTCACTGTCAAAAAGCTATGAAAGTGATAAACATACTTTATCAAAAAAAGAGATAAATTCTTAGATACTTAAGAGCAATGCTGGAATTGAATTTAATACTCCTAAGAAAAAAACAGAAAAGAAGATGAAGGACTAATATCTACCAAAAAGTTTGGCAAACATTGAAGAAAATGATGTTTCTCCTCATTTCCCGTCAACAAACTAAAATTCTTTAGTTGAAAGTTAGGATTTAATTGAGTTTAAAAGAGATGACGACTTCAATGATTTGAGAGGTCATACCTAAACCAATTACACTTTCATCGAATAAAAGAAATTTCATATATTAGAAAATTATTTAAAAAACAAACTTAAAAGAATACTAATTGTTGACGACACTCCCTTCAATATTCGAGCACTCAAAATAGTCTTAGATAATATCATCTCGTCTTCAAAAGTAGAAATTCTCCAAGCATTTAACGGATAGCAATCACTTGAGGTCCTAAATAATTGTCTAGAAGAAGAAAAATAAGTAGATTTAATATTTATGGATATAAATATGCCTGTGATGGATGGATATGAAGCAACTAAGAAAATAAGAGAAATAAAGGATTTTGATAATACTAAAATTATATTTGCTACAGCTTATTCTGAATATTCAGATCTCTGCAAATAAAATAAAACAGGAGGTGATGGATACCTTCAAAAACCAATCCACCGATAAGATGTCTTAAGAATTTTAAAAGATTTATCACTTCAGTCATTTAATTAAAACAATTAGGAAATTTGAGAAATAAATTTAGCATCTTTCATTAAAAATAATAAGAAAAATAAAAAATTGAATAATTAATTAATGGCTTACTTAAATGCTAAAAACAACAACAAAAAAATGATATCAAATAATTTTCTATTTTCTTTCTAAATAAAATAATTTATCTAATTTTTATTCATACTCTAATTTTTAAAACCAAACTCACTCACCGATATATCATCACCTAAAACATTTTTAATTAGTAAATGCTTTTTTAATGACTAAAATAAAAGTATAAGTAATTGATAAATATATCATCAATTAAAAATATTTCTATAGATTTAATGATTATAAGTCAACAATAAAGTAATTAAATAAATCAATACAACTAATATTCAATTTTCATTTATATAAAACTAATATCGATTTATTTATGAATCTAGTTATTCATAAATAAATTGATTGGTAGTCAGGTTTGAAACAATTTTTCATTTTTCTACTTTATTTAAATTTTTCAAATTGCAATACTTTAATTTTCAATATCTTTATGTTTTTATTTAAAACCTTATTAAAACTGTATTTTTTAATTCCTCTGATAAATTTAAATCTCTTAATCTATTATATATTATAAAAACAAAAATGTTATAATTAATTCATTATATTTATATTTTAGTATTTACTTTATGTATTTTTAGAAAATATATCTTGCTAATTAAAGCATATAAGAATTATTCAATTGTTTACCAAAAAAAATTAAATAAATTATTTTAATATTTTTTTTTTAATTTATAATTCTAGAAATGCATAAATGAAAAATTTTACAGACAATTATTATACATTTTTATTAAATTTATTTATGTTTAAATCTTTTAAATATTTGAAATTTTTATTTTTCAAATCTCATCTTCTTCTTCTTCTTCATTACCAATAAAGCTATAACAATCTTCTTCTTTGCTTCCTTCATTTTCATCAAATATATTGCATTCATTTATGTCTGAAAGTTGTTAATCTGTATCTTGATTTAATACATCAGAAATAGAATCAAAATTCATTTCTTTTGAAACTAAAACGAACTTAGGATTATTATTAATTTGATTTTATTTTTTAGACTACACTAATTTAATTAAATATAAGCATTTTTCTTTTTCTCTTTGTACTTTTTTCAAAAGATGGTCAGCCATAAAATAGTTATCAGTTATAATTTCCTCAACATGGTGTTATCCAATTTAAATTGATGCCAATGCCAGGAAATGATATATCAAATTATTTAGTTGAATATTATCTTCTTCCACCAATTTAGATACCAATTCAACTATTTCTGATATCATAGTATCCTAGATATAACCAATTATATATCTTAAAATATAAACAAGACTTTCAGTATACTTCTTTTGAGTTAGATTATCTATGAATTTGGAATAGAACATAGCAAAACCTTAATGTTGAATGATTTATATTAAAACTATCCTGTAAAGTTAGAAGTCGATAGAAGGAGATATGTTAATAACAATATCAAATAGCTTCAAAATTTAAGATGGCTTAAACAATGTATGAGTATGAAGGAGCAGTTTCAAAGTATTTCTTACAACATTCTTGTTTGATTTTTAAAGGAGAGTTGAAAAGATTTTCAAGTAATTTAACGAAAATTCGTTTTTATCTTTCCTAGAGTAGAATTAAATTTCATTCTAAATCAAACTTATCAAGCTATCTTCTTTCTTAATATTTTCTTGGCAAATCATGATCTCAATTTCATCACATTTTGATTTTTCCTTTTAAAATAATTTAATTTTTGAGTTAAAAAATTCTTTTGTAAATATTAAAAAATTAAATTTGAATTTGATTAAAAAATGCATTTTAATCAAAAATAATTTTAAGTAACAGTTTAGTAAACCAAATTTAATTCATATTAAAATAATAAATTTATATTTTTATTTAATTAGTCTAAATCTATTTCTGTAAGTTGAATCAACTTTTTTAATATTTTTAAATTTAGTAAAAAAATTTTGCTTCTATTAAATTAAAACACATTCATTTATTTTATTTTTAATTAAATTTTCTTAAAAAGATTTATTTTAAATAAACAAATAAATTTGAATTACCTTTTAATTAAGTTATTCCGAACTTGGAATATTTGATTGAATTGCCTTTTTGAATTATCTTAATTAACAGATTCTCAAGTCTCCAATGTACTAATTAACTTTATCACCAATTTGCTGATTTAATAAAAATAGAGTTAAAACTTTGAAAAAAATAATATTTTATTACTTGTTATGTTTAGATTAATATTTGAAGGGAAATAGATCTAATTTAAGGATTTTTCGAAATAGAAGCCTTTTCTCCGGTTAACTGTAAAATTTAATCAAATTAGCTGTTATTTTAAACATTATTTCTCATAATAAAATTAGAAAGAGTTTTAAGAGCATTAAGCTAAATTAAGGTATTTTCTTGCTCAAGAGAAGAAAGAATAGCTGAAAAGAGCTCAGTGTTAAATACTTTCAACTCATAAACCATCTAAAATAAAGCTAGCACTTAGTATTCGAGTACAGATTTAGAAATGCTTTGATTTTTGATTGCTAACATTAAAATTTCTTTTATAGATGATTAATACATTTTGATAAGCTTAGACTTATTGCTTTCATAAAGCATTAGAAAAATTTTAAGGATTTTAATTGATAAAGAAAGGCCATTAGTATTTTAGAATTAGAAGAACTATATAAATGTTGAAGAATCTATAGAAATTTCATTTAGCTTTATTGTGCCGTTTGTTAAGTTATTATATAAAGTTTTTATTAAGATAAACTTTTCTTTATAACTTTTTTTGGAGAATTAATTGTAATCTTAAAAGACAACTTTTTAAAGGAACTAAAGCTCGCTCTTGATTTTATCTAATTCTGCCATTCTCTTATTGTGCTAGATCAAATTTTGTTTTCCAGTTGGCTTTTCTTACTTTTTAGATAAAGATTCAATCACTTAAAGCTACTGTTCAACTTAGACCTTTAATTATGATTATTCGTTTGACATATTTTGAACTTCAAATATTTCAACATGAGTTTAAACAATTTATTTTGTTAAATCTGTATTGAGTTATTCTTTGGAAATTTTTGGTTATTATTTAGGTGAGTTTTAAATCTGTGTAGATTCTTAAGAGATTTTAGACTTTGAGTCATCGCTTTAACTTTAAATTTAATTTTAGCTTTGTTTGTCCTAATATTCAATTAATAATTTATGTTTTTTTACTAGCTCTGACACTATTTCAGTAGATGATTTATAATCCATCGTTTCTAATTTTGCAATTATAAATTCTTAGCCTATTTCTTTGATCAATTATGAGAGTAGATCAAGACAACTTCTCTTGAAATTCATATTTCTGGTACTAGAGAAGTTTTAAAGTAAACCAAGTATACAAGATTCAGCAAAATCTTCGAATCTTACCTTAATAGGACCATATTATTTTAAGGTCAACAGATATTAAGCAATATCAATAGCACTTAGAGCAAAGTAAACCTAATTTGAAAGTATTATTAAACCAATAGCTTGAAGTAAATCATATGGCACTAGCATGTAGAGTTATTTAAAAATTTCTAAGCATTGAGATCTAAATTTCACTTTAGCGGTGCTGTTGTAAATCATATATTTGACAAAAGCATCTACAGGAATTTCTGATTTTTAAAAATTAATATTAATAAATAATATCTAAATTTTTTTTTTTATTTTTTTATTTTTTTTTAAATTTAATGAAATAAATTTAAAATAATAAAATATTCAAAGAGGTAATAGTAAGTATATTTCTAAAAAATTAAAAAAATAATGCTAAAAAAATAGAAATAAAATAATTTATTTACTTTTGTATTAAAATTTTTTAAGAAAAAGGAGTATTAAGTCTAACATTTTCTAAACTAGTACAGGAGTAATTTCTTTAAAGTAAACTTCTGTGTATCTTTGCATGAGTTCTTCTATCTTAGCTGAAGCAGAAAGGGAAGACTGGCTTTAAATCATATCTTAAAAGTTCTCTAGATCTGTCTTCTTACACTCCAATTTTTCATTATTATTGCTTAAGATACTGTCTGATATGTTCATTTTTTAGAAAATTGTATCAATATTTCTTTCTTTTTATGTTTATTTTGTCTAATTTGTTTTTTAAAAAAGATTATATTTATAATGAAGAATTTTTAAATTTTTGAACAGAATAGGTAGTTCATTTTTTTGTAAAAACCTGATAAGAAATTTATAGAATATTTGAATATAGAAAAAAGGATTTTTAAGAACTTAATGAAAAGATTAGTACATTCATTATAATCCGAGTGAACAATTATAAAAATAAAATACTATTTACCAAATCGTATACACATTTAAAATATTTGAAAAACATTTTATTTTTTATTAGTGCAATATTGTTTTGATCTATTCATATTTCCTATTTTTTATGTTTATTCATATTTATTTTAAGCGCACTTTTAATATAGAAAAATAGATTAAATAATGTATTATTTTCTGAAAAGTATAAAGATTTTAACAGAATTACTTTTCAAAAAAAAGTAATAGTAAATTTTTTTTATAATACAAGAAAATTAATACTTTTTAGATCCCTTTTTCAAAAATGTTTATTAGCGAAGATCTTTCAAAGTTAGTTTTTAATAAATATGATACTAATTGGTCCAACAACGAGCGAGCTCAATACTTTAAAAATATTGTTTTTAATAAACTTCATTAACTTTTATTTATCATTTAACTTTTATTATATTATGAATATTTATCTTTAATGATTTTAAGTTTAACTTATATAAACTATGTAATTTAAAACAAAAAAATATGTCTTAAAACAACACATTTTTAAAATAAATATTTGTTTTTGTTTGTTCTAGAAATCCCCATTTTTATTTTCCATTAATCTTATTGTTTAGTTTTAAGTTGGATTACAAAATAAATAAATAAATAAATAAATAAATAAATAAAAATGAACTAGTTTTATTTTAAATATTTAGATTCGTTTTAAATATTTAAAAAAAGATTAAAAAAATATTAATATATTTGAAATATTATAAATTTCATATTAAAATATCCTTAAAATTAAATAAATTAATTTAGAAATTAATGGAAAGAAAAAATATTATAAAAATATTTAAAAAATTCAAAATTAATAATACCTAAAAATCTTTGATATAAAATAAGAGCATTTTTTACATGTGTAGAAAAAAATTAAATTATTCTTAAATAATTTATTATTTGATTTTAACAAAGTATTTTTTAATAATTTATTATCTCTTTTGCAGTTACATGTCAAAAGAAGCAATTTTTATTGTTATATTTATATAATTAAAATAGAATAATATCATTTATATTTTTTTGATAAAAATCATTTGCATAGTTTAATGAAAAGAAAATAAAAAATATATCAAATGTAAATTGACCGCAGACTGATTAGAAAATTTTTGAAGTAATAAGGATATTTCTCGACCACAAGAATAAAAAGATGATTTACGAGTTAACATTAATTAGAAATCAGCTATTTATTAATCGAATACGAAGAAAAGTAACACTTATATCATCAATTTAATAATATTTGAAATATAATTAATACTCTACGAGCTTACATTATTAAAGATAAGAAAATCTCAATTCAAATTTTAAAAATATTTACAATAATAAATTCTATTTTTAAAAAATAGAGGTAAAACATAATTAATTAAAATAATTATATTGCATTAATAGATTTAATATATATTATAAACGCCTTTTATAAGCTCACGCAATTAGCTTTTCATTAAATAATCTTTTATATTTATTTGTTTGTATTAAATAGTTCACAAATTATATGTAACCTTTTATAAAAAGTGTGAGAATTTAATCCTTTATTTGAGTATTATTTTATTTTATTAGGATGGTAATTCATATTTTTTATCAATTAGTAAAAAGCTTAGTTATGACTCTAAATAGATTTATAGAAGTTATTATCTATAGTCAATTTATAATTTGGAGTTTTATTAAATAAATTTTAGTTACTATTTTATTTTATTACAACATCTTGAAAGTAAATTTATCTACTTTTTTGAGACAATATTTTTATTTCAATCGCTTTCTTCTTAAGGATTGACATGAAAGGTTAATGAAAAATCTTCTGATTACTTTGTATTACATTTATATTCATATCCATCATGATTATTTTCATTATTTTTATTATAGTGGCATTTCGTCGTATCTCTTTCTTCACTCACTAATTATGAGCTATCTAAGCTAGATTCATCGCTTTTATCTTTTCTACGCAAATGCTAAAAGGGATCTAGAGAAATGTAACCATAAACTAAAGCATTTAAACATCCATTTAGAGTAGCAAATGATAAATCTATATTATTGAGCCATTCAACATCTTCATTTTTAATTACTTCTGTTACACGTTCTATTATAATCCAAATCCAAGATAGGAACAAGACGATTGGATAGAGCATTAAATTTCTTATATCTCTTTTATCGCTTGTTTCAATTTTATTTTTATGGAAGAATGAATATATTCTAATGACAGAGAACATATCGAAAATCAAAACTATTACAAATGGTGTATAATATAAAAAAACTCTTAATAAAATTCCTAAATAATCTGTAGAACCATCTTCTTCTGATAGTGATAAAAAACACATAACATTTTCTATAGGTTATAACCTATTGTATCTATCCAAAGCTAGAGGTCTATTTATATATTTAAAATAGTTAATTACTTAAATATTTACCTTTAATTTTTGTAATTTAACAAAGAAAATTAATATTTCAAGACTGTTTATTATACAATACTTTGGATAGTTAATTTGTATGATTTATCTTAAAAATCATATCAAATAAGATAGTATTAAGTATTTAAATTTTAAAGGTTATGTTAATTTAATAATGAAATGGTTTTTACACAATAGAGAAAAAGAGTGGCAGGACTACAGTGTATTTCGAAAAGTATAAATGGGGATTCTTTGATTTTATTGGTTTGCGGTGAATAATAAAAGAATATAGGGACCAAGAAATAGTAACTGTGGTAAAGAATGATCCTAACATAGTAAAAAGTTTAATAGTAGCTTGTATCCTACATAGTGGCATATTAATTATCGCATCAGGGTCAGCAAGATTATAAAACACAGGAATAACAATATTAAGGCTCCAAATTAAATCAAAAATAAAGAGTGGAAGAACTAGCTTAAAGGCATATGTCCTGCTGCTTTTTTTGAAGGTATAAATTAAAATGAGACAAGCTGTAGAAATAATTGAAAGCATTCCAGATACAGCTAATCCTACTTGAGGAAGGATGCTCATTTCAAATAATGCTTAACTAAACTCAATTCAGTGTATTATTTTCTATTAAAAGATGAAATTTAGGCTATTGAAATTATTTTAATAGTAAAATTGGAATCACTATTTTTTTAGCTCAAAAGTAAGCTTTCAGATATTTGTTTATTTAGACTACTTTATTTTTTTTCTTAAAATTGTTGGAGAAAGACAAAACTTTATTTTTTTCAACTACTTTAACCTTATATTACCTTATTTATTGATTTTGTTGTCAATCAAATTAATGACTCAAAAATTATTAAAATTTTGATTTTTCCTAAAAATTTTAGAAATGCATAAATAACAAAATAGGTAAGGAACAGGCTAATCTCAAAGACTGATCTAAATACTTACTTAATAAAACAAGTGATATTTATTCATGTTTCTTCAATATTTATATTAAAAAACTTGTTATTTATTATTGCTATTCATCAATCTATTCTGTTTAACTTAATTTATAAATTTGCAACCAAACTTATATTTATTTTATGCTATTATTCTTGAGTAAATATTAAAATATTTTTTTTGCTTAGATAAAATATATGAGAATTTACTGTGCTATTTTTTAGTTTTAAAAAATATAAATTTAGAGAATATTCATTTTATTTATTATAAATGTTTATAAAGATGTTTGTTAAATAAATTGATTTTTAAGCAATTATACACAAAGTAGTATAAATTTAATGAGTATTACTATTTATTATAAAATCGAAAAATGATAGAATATTAATTTATTACAAAAATATTTTTTAAGTAGATTTAAATATAAAGTATAACTTCAAGAAGTGTATAAAATGTTTAAAATTTTCGGAAAAAATTTTTTTAGAGATTTAATAAGTATTTTATGGTTGAAATAAGATACTTAAGTTAATTCTCTGTTCATTAAGATATATTTAGTATTTTATATACATAAACTAAAAGCTTTATATACTTTTTGCTATAATAAGTTGAAATAAATTAATAAATATACAAGTTACATTCAAATTAATAATATAAATAATAAATTAAATACTTCTTGAATGAATTTCTGCAAACTTTTTAATTATTTAAAAGCAAAGTATTAAAAAAAATTATTTTTTTAAATATATATTTTATAATGTAAAAATTTTACAGAAAATGAATTCGAATTCAAAATATAAATATATGTAATGTAAGTCAATTTGTATTTTAAATCATTAGCAATCAACTAGAAAAATATATTTATTTTATTATATTTTATTATTTTATTTCAACAAATATGAATGTTAAAATCATTTTTTGCTAGAATCCTATTTATTGCTTAACATCAATACTTTTCAGATTGTTTAAAAAATAAGTAATTAATTCTTAAAATTAAATGCTAGTCCTTTTTAAATCACTCAATATTTGCTTTTCTTAGCATTAAAAAAAATAAAATTTTTAATATTTGCACAATACTATTTAATTTTTTTGTAGAATTAGTGTTTGTTTAGTCAGAAATTAATTAATTATCAATTTAACAAAAGCCAAAAGGAGAACTTAATATTTTTAATCTATAATTTAAAATAAATTATATTATTCTATAAATATAAGATAAATGGAATCTAAATTGAAATAAACATAAACTAATTGTACAGCTCTTTCGACTTACAAGCAGCAGTAAACAAATTTATTAAAAAATGCTACCTAAAAAAACGACAAAAGGATTTGTTAATGTCTACATGATAAATTATAAAAATATTTGCTATCTTGTAAATAATTTTTAAGAAAGTACTATAAAAAATTACCTGTATTTAATCCTTTCAGTAGGCTACTTTTATTTTGGGAAATCATATAGATTATAGCAATTCTAATATTAATTTATGCTTATCCTCTTGTGCCCTTCGTAAATGTTCGGGTAAATGACCTAATGATTTATTTATCATCGTATTTAGTTGTATTTGATTTGATAGTTAGAATCAATACAGGATACTTCTAAAGAGAAATGTTTGTCAAAAGCAGAATTATGATTATTAAAAAATATGTTTCCTCTGATTTTACATACGATTTTTTAGGAGTTATTGCAATAATATCTTTTACGTTCATTCCAGAAAGTTTTTAAAAGCTATCTCTACTTATAATTGTGAAGCTAATGTCTATATAAAAAAAGTTTATTTATATCGAAGACTCTCTATTTCATAATTTCACTCTTAGAAATGTCATCAAGCTTCTAAAGCTAGTCTTTACAATATTTGTCTTTTCTCATTTATTTGCTTGTGGTTGGATATTCACAGGAAGATAAAATGATTAACAAAGTTGGATCATTAAAAATAATCTTTAAAATTCAGAATGGTATATGATATTATATATTATTAATTTATTTAATCATGAATTCTTTTTATTTTATTTTAAAAGGAGCGATGTTTATGTGAGGGCAATTTATTTTGCCTTAGTAACCATGAATACAATAGGTTATGGTGATATAACCGCTATTAACAATGAGGAAATTATTTTTTGTTCTATAGTTATGATATTAGCTTGTGGTATGTTTGGATATTCTTTGAATCAAATAGGTAGAATATTTGAGATTCTATTTAGAGATTCTGACTGCTTAAGAGAAAACATAGCTATAATGAATACTTACATGAAGTAAAAGCAGATATCATAATCACTTTAATTCTAAATAAGATAATATCTCTAGTAAATTTATTTTTATTAAATTAATACTATAACAGTTCAATAAGTTATGATTGAACACTTTTTTCTAATTCTCTCTCTGTTGGAATAAATTTTTGGTTTAAAAGAATAACTTATATTTAAATTTGAATATTTTGTGTATCTTTAAATATTAGGTGCCTTTCAAAAACCTCTATATGTAGAGGAAAATTTATTGTTCCCAAGGTGCCTATTAACAAACAAATGACACTGTATTTATTTAAACAAACATCAACCTTATTTTCCTAATTATTTAGGGAGAAAAAAAGATTTTTTATTAAAATTTGTATGAAAAAAAATAAGTTAAATACTTTTCCTAATAAAACTATAAAAAATTAAAATGAATAAAAATTTATTTTAAATTGTAAGTAAATTATACTTTTTTATGCTAAAGATATTACTGGAACGAAAGCAAGGCTATTGAAAAAAGATAGTAAAATGACCTGATTAATGCACTTTCTAGATAACTATAGCAATAGTTACAAGTGGATGCAAATAAGTTAGTTCTGAAAGATGTGAATATTCTTTCTTAAAATTTTAGTTAGGATTTGCTAAAATAAACAGTGAATATAATCAAAGAACTCAATTCAACTCCTGATGAAATAATTTTTTCTGAAGGTGAATATAGTGATTAAAATGGACTTTACTTTATAGAATAAGGGAAATGTGAATTGTTTTTAAATAAAAGCAGCACAAACCAACCTATAAAAATACTTAATAAGGGTGAATACTTTGGTTCATATGGCTTTTTTACTGGTAGTTAGAGGTTGTGTGGGGTTAGAAGCATAGGATTTTGCACACTTCTATATATTACAAGAGATGATTTTTTATTCTTGTGTAAACAGCATTTTCTTGATTATGAAAAATTTTGCTTCATAAAAGATACCTTACAATTTGAAGGAAATTTTAATATTTTAAATGAAGCTTGCTATTAATGCAAATAAACGGATCACACATTTAAAGAGTGTCCTTCAACAAATTTTTACAAAAAGCAGGATTACATAAAATTTATGATAAAAGATTCAGCACATAAATAAATTAGCAGGACTCCTAAATAAAGAAATACTTTAAAATTTCGTAAAACATTATAAAATTTTAATTTAATTAATAATGAAATGAGTAGTTATTAACGAAACAAAAATAAAGAATTACAATAGTATATTGATGATAATTTCGTAAATGCTCTATAAGATTTATTTGATTCTGAGTGTTCTGATGAAGAAGATGAAGGTAGTTCATTTTAATCATCAATATATTAATATACTGAAAGCAGAAAAAATCGTGATAATCTTTCAATTTTTTCAAAAAGTGAAAAAGGAAATAAGGATGAAAAAAATTTATCTGAATCGACTCAGTAAAAAGAAATTTATGCTGAATTAGAACCTAAAACATCAACCTCTACAATTTCCTAAAATTAATAAACTGAATAAGAAAATAATAATTACATAAATCCTAAAAAAATAGTCAAGCAGCTCTCTACATCAAAGTATTTTAAAAGACTAGTTTAATAATAAATAGACAATCAAATAAAAATTATAACTTAAGATATTGATGAGCCAAGTTTTAAATTTACAGAGAGTTAAACAACAAATAGTATTGAAAACAAAATAAATTTACTTAATAAATCGTAAAAATTAAAAAATAAGCCTTCTAATCGAAACAAAATGGTTAGTAAAGTTAAAAAAATAATGAATGTAACTGCTTTATTCAAAAAAAAAGAAGAATGTTAAATTCAAGATAATTCCTAAAATTAATAGTTAGAATTTCAAAAACAGTAGAAAGCAAGTAATTAAATAACGCTGTATCTTTTAAAATAAAAAAATTTAAAAGAAGAAACCTCTTATACTGATTAGTATATTTAAAATGAATTTGAACACTTGTACAAATTTAAACTGTATTATCCAAAAAATAACTTTGACAATGTTATTTAAAATTATAACATTAAAAACATAGAAAAAAATTTGTAAAATGAGAAGAATAAACCTTAGAACGAAAATAAAAAAAAGTTTTTAAACAAAATGGAATTGCAAATATAATTTTAAAGAAATATAACTCGCTCTGGCTCGGTTATTAATCAAAGTAAAAACCCAGATGAAATTTTAGAACTCTTTAATTAATATAGAGAAATTTAAGTATAAAAAAGAAAGAGTTATTTTGCTTCACCAGAGATACAGCTTTCTCCTAATGTGCAACTCACCCAAAGCATTTACAATTCATACTAGCAAATCAACAAAGAAAATTTCTCAGATTTAAGTGCTCTTAGAATGAGCAATTATGAGATAACAAATAGAACTTAAGTTAAATCAATGAATAATGTCACAAATTTAAATTATGAATAACCTGATACTGATAAAATAGAAAAAGTATAGGAAAGTAAAGATGATAGTATAATTAAGCAAGATTCTAATGTTTAAATTTAGCATCTTAACAACTAGACGTTTAGTGCTTATCCTGTTAATATTTGTAGCTATAAAGATCACTCTAAATACTCTATGTTTTGAGAAATACTCAACTAATTGATGAAACATATTTTAGAAATTAAAGATCAACTTTAAAAAAAGATTTTTAGAAATTATTGTTATGCAAAGAATAAAAAGGATTGTTTTGAGTTTGAGTTACTTAATCAAATATTATATTTATTTAAAATATTTATGTATTTTATTTTATAGCAGTACATTAATGCTCATCAAAATAAAAAAATAATTAAAATTTCCTCATTTTATTAATCTAAGAATAAAAATCTCATCTTAATTACTAAACATAAATGGTTACAATAATATTTAAATTAGTTATTTTAAATTACTTTTCAAAGGAGTACTAATTAATCGAGGTTTCTAGACTATTTTTTTGATTTTGTAGATGAAACTTGTTTATTAATGTGAATGGGAGAAACATTTTTAATTTAAATTTGATATTTTTTATCATCAATTAGTTAGATTTAAGGTAAAGAAACTTTATTTTAAGCTTCCTTTTATTATTTTTATGGTTACTTTTTCAAGGAGCGTTACTATTGCTAATTTTTCTTAGATATGCAAATCTTTCTTTTATTAAAAAAAGACCATATCTAATATATGATATTATCATATATAAACTAAGTAAGATAAAGTATATTTAAAATAAATACAACTATTGATGCCACATTTCCAACAAAGATAAATCTGTCTACCTCATCTTGGGGAATTTCGATCTATCTCTTATGATCTAATTCGAATCTAATAAAATATATCATCAAGCACCATAAAGTTATAAGGATTGAATCTCCTATGATTTTTATGATATTATGGTACATTTTTTTAAAGGGCATAACTTTCAGACTAAAAATTAATGAGAATGAGTTTAAAGTTATTCCTAAAATGCTTATAATCATAGGAAAATTTACTAAAAAATAAATAGAAACAACTAATATAACTTTCTTAAGCATTCCTAATGCATGGTAATTTTTTCTAATGAAGACATAGTCATTTCTTTTTTAAGTTAACCTTTCATCATATTCTTTTGTAAATAATTTTATTAAATACTCGTCTTTTCCATTAAGTATTCTCACATAATTTATAAAAAATGTGATATATATAGCTAAATAAATCAAAGCTAAGTAGAAACTCCATCTGCTTAGCCAAATGCTTTAGTCTGTTTTGTTGAATTATATACTAACACAAAAAACTACCATAAGCAAGTTAATTTCATTTTCTTGAAGCATCCTATATATTAGGAACTACTCTGCTTTAAAGAGTTGTTATTTTTTAATTTATGCATTTTTATTTAAAGATTCGGGTATATATTCTGGTTTCAGCTCTTGCATAACTTTATTTGAATGAGGTTACTTCATTAGCTATATTATTGGTTTATTTTAAATAATTTAAACTTTTTCAGCAGTAACTTCTGGTTTGTAATAGAAATAATTATATTTTTCTTAAAAATAGAAAGTTTATACCATTTTTAATATCATGTATGTAAGAAATAAAAGAACATATTTTGCCAAAATAAAAATAGTATTCACTAATAGAGCATCACTAAATGCAAGTTAAATAAATACTTAATTTCCTGGCCCGATATAATCTTATTTGGAAATTTAATTCCCAAGCAGTGTAAAATTATAAACTTGTTCTTTTACTTAATAATCAGGTACTCTCTTAAAAATAAATGTTGAAAAAAGCTAAAGAAATGTATAAAAATTTTAAGGAAGCTTAGCATTAACTAACAAAAACATTGCAATAGGCTAGAGTGAATTTAATAAATAGAAAAGAAACTATATATTTCTTGCAAAATCTAATAAATTCTAATCTCCTCCTTCAATTTGATCAATGCTATCCCCCATTTTAATAACCGCTTGTTTATTTGTTTCATCCAAAATAAATAAATAAGGCCCAATTTCAAAAAATAAAGGTTATTTAGTATAAATAGGATTCAATATAGCTTTATTAGAATCATTTTTAAAAGGTTTATTTGTTTTAAATATTAAATATCCATAAATAGCTTAAAAGCTTTTATTAACTATCAATTAAATCTTCAAGATTGATTTCAGAGGGTCAAAGCTGTAAAAGGTATATGAATACAGCTCCACAGGAACCTCAGATAAAATGATATTTATATTATTAACAAAAATAGCATTATCTATTATTCCTTCAATTTATTATTCAAATTTTATTTCTATTAAGTAAAAAATTCTTTTAAGGGAAATTCCAAATTCTAAATTGAAGTAGCTATAACAAATTATTTACTAATTTTTATTTTTTGAAGGACTTTATCCTTATGGGCATTTACATTCATTGTTTGAAGTTAATATTAACCCAAAAGCACATTTTTTGCAATCAGTTTACGTACCTCCTCTACATTCTAAGCAACTTTCATCACATTATAAACATTGGTTTTGTTTTTAATCATAATAAGTATGAGATGGGCAAGACAAGCAATTTTCTTTTCTAGGATTTTCTTCATAGTAATTTTCTGGGCAATTACAAATTGGTGCATTTATTCTATTACCTCTACACAATTTACAATTTTCTTCAAAATAGGTACATCCTATACACTAAAAAGCACAGTCTATCTCTTAGCATGGTTGATTTACATCAATTTAAAATTTGAAATACTTTAAATCACATTAGCATTAAGTCTTAAGCAATCTATTTACTGAGCATACTAAACAGTTATCTGAACTATATTAACAAGAGGAGCATTTTGCTTGACATTCTTTTAATTACATTTTTAATTTAAAATAAAAATAAAAATTAGATTAGTTAAAATAAAATAAAAATAAACAAAAATGTTAAAAATGTTGATAAGTAAAATAATTAATAGAAGCAAAAGGATTAGAGTTATTTTATAAATATTGCTCAAATAATTATTCAAAATAATCAATAAATTTGATAATCAAATTAAATAATTTCTTGAATTTATCTTTATCTTTTAATAAAAAAAATTGTATGTTTTTGTTTAAAATAAATAAATTAAACAGGATTTTACATTAACATTAAAATTTTGAATCCAGATATTAATTAAGTTAAGGACACTAGCAAAGTGGTGGTGTGCCTTATATATTTCTACAAATTGTACAGTTTGTATTAGTATCTTAGCATTCAAGACACATTTAAGAGCAAACTTTTAAACGAAAAATTGTTATTTAAAAAATAAAAATATATTTTTATTACTTTAACACTTTCTTTGCTTAGTGTTCCAAAACATCCCTGACTAACATTTACAATTTCCATTAATTATAATCATATTAGGATCTATGCATTTATTACAGCTATTTATATTAGAGTAGTCTATATTTATGCAATTCTCAAAGTAGTTAAAGGAATCTTCACATTTAAAAGTTAAAGGATTATAGTAAAATTAAGTATTTGAATTAGATAAAGGCTAGAGTGTGCAAGATGTAGATGGGATTATTTGATTATCTTATAAGGCATAACCTAGCTTAGGAACTAAACATCCAAAGTTAGTTCTATTAACAAAAAGAAAACAATCATTATTATCAGAGTAATCCATATATAAATATCCTCCTGAAAATATTTTAATGTTATTTAAAAAGTATAAAACTTCTTCATTTTCAGATTTGCTTGATAAATTAGAATAAGCTGTTATTTTTGAAAAATCTAAGCCAGAAGGATAAGTTGAAGCAAATTATAACAATTTTTTCTAATAATTAATTATAACTAATATTTATGTATATGGGATATTGATTCTCCAATTTTCAGCTTAATTTTCATGTCTTATCACTATTATAAATTTACAAGTTTAAATAGCTATAAAAATTATTTTCAATGAAATTTACCTATAAAATTAGGTTCATTTATTCGTATTGTATTATACAATACTTAGCATGTAGGCACAACACATACTTCTAAATGAGCTTTATTTTCTGTGCTGGAATATAAAATTCTATAAGACAGAAGCATCTAATTTAAATTACTTTGATCATAAATTACTTAAAATAAAGGGATATTATGTTGGATTTAGTTTATGTATATCGAGCACATAAAGAAGAAAAAATGTAATTTTGTAATATCAAAAAAATATTAGCCTTGATTAGAGTTGGTAATTGAAATTCCTTTCACTTGATCACAAATAAAAGGAAGATTAGTAAATGATAATTTATTATCTGATCCAAAAAAAAATTCTTTTATATTTTGTTAATTTTTTGAGTTTTACTAGCTAAAATTGTAGCTATAAAATGTAACTATGCCTTCATTATTAAATTCAAACACGTCTTAGTCTTTTAGGCTCATAATATTTTAAACTTTAATTTAAAAATAATAATAACTTAATACAAAATAAACACTTTTGTAAATTAAATAAATTATTTTTATTAAATATTAATAACAATTTAAAAAATTATTACTAAATAAATCAGAAAATTTTTTCTGTATAAATTTAATATTTTTTCAAAACAAAATTTTTTGAAATAAATAAATAACTTTGAATGACAATTTACTTTAGATTATTAGAGTGTAAGGATATAAAAAAGAACACATAGAATAGTCTGAAGATATAAATTTGCTCATTCCAACTCCATACCAAAATTTAGGATTTTATAAATTATCTAGAATTTAATTTTAAAGATAGAGTCTATAGGTTTGGATAGGTTATAGAGAAGTTACAGTCTGAACTATCAAATAATTTAAATCTGTAACAAAACTTAGCCACATCGGTTAACCAATTACGCAAGGAATACTAATATATAGCTTATTTAGAAAGTAAATTTAAATATATCCAAAGCCTGTTGTAGGACCTTATTAAGCCATTAAAAAAAATACATCTCCATTGTAATTTGATGTCCTCAAAAATCCTAAAGTAAATGTTTTACCTGCACTTTTATCAGTTTTATAAATAATAAATCTAATTCCAAATATAAAAGAAGAAGACTATTTAGAAATTTAAAGAGCATCGTTTTAAACTAAATAACTGTCCCAATCTGGAGTTGCAAAAATGTCATTACAGCCAGTATCTAATTTTGGAGGTTTTAGCATAAAGTTATATTTATTAGGCAGATTAAATTAACTATTTCGTAAAATACATATTGATCCATCATCAAAGTAAGCAGATGGGCATACATTTGTTTCTAAATAAATAATTAAATTTAGAATTTTTCAAAGTTGAAAATATTTTACATTAATTCCTCACTGAGTCTTTAAATTACTTACAAGTATTTTCGTCTTGACAATCTAAGCAATAGCTAGGGCACTTAAAGCAATTTCCTTATTTATAATACTAGCCTGCGATGCATCTACAAGTATTATCATAAAATTTATATTAGTTATTATTGTTGCAAACTGCTTAATCATTTCTTATACAACTATTATTTAAATCTAAATCACTGAAACCATTTGGACAAGGATTATTGAATGCTATACAGTAAGAAGACTCACTATAAAGAAGCTTAAAGTTACTTTAACAAACAAGGCAATCACTTCCATTCAATTATGATTAAATCAAACAATTACCACATTAAAAGACTTTTGTCCCTTAATATATCTTAATCGACCTTGTATTTAAAATATTAAAAATTTTTATTCCATTTTATTACAATAAATTTTACCTGAATAAAATTTTTTGCTGAGAAGCTTAATAAATATTCTAAAATTAAAAGTATAAATTCCCATTTGATGGCAAAGATAATTACTAAACATCACTTAAATATTATTAGTTTATATACAGATATCTATAGATACTACCAAATTAAATATGAAAGAATAAGATAATCTTAATCCAAGTATTACTTTAAATAGTAAAAGCATTATTTCCTGATGGAAAGTTTTGGTTTTTTTCTAAATAATTAAACTGATTTGGATTATTGCTATCTCTCTAAAGCTGAACAGAATAGTAATCATTTAACAAGCCTTTATCTTCTATTTTAATATTTAAAAAATTATTGCTTGGTACTATCGATGCACTTTCTACCACCTTTAGATCAAAAGCAAGTATAATACCATCTTTAACAAACATATTTACTGGTCCTATTTCAAAACTTTCTCCAGAATGCAAGCTATTAAATTCTTCAGTTAGTTTATTTTTTTAGATTTTTATTTTCTAATTTTAATCAACTAAGTTTAGAAGATAATCTCCTGTATTAGGTTGTATAGAAAAATTTATATTAAAATTTATTTAGGCGTTAAGAGAGAGATCCTAAAAATTAAGGTTTCCTAAATTATCGCTAGAACTTAGTGCTTAATTAATGTATGCTGCAACCTTTTATAAATCATTCAAATTAAGATTAAATTTAACAATAAATTTTTAATAAAAGCAAATCTTACCTATTTTATTAAAGCGCAACCAAATGAATATCCTATTGTAGTGGTCTGGGCAACAAATACTTCAAAAGATGTATTATCAAAATAAATTATATTACTTGGTAAAAGTTTACTATAAATTAGCTTTTATTAACCATTTATATTATAATTAGACCAAACTATATAATAAATAAATATTTTTCCTGCTTAATCAGCTAAATTCAATCCTATGTCTAAATAAAACCATGATTGATTTAATGCTTATTAACTTGAATCTTATTAATTAGAAAATAATTAGGATGAAGAGAATATATTAACCTAGAACTTGCTTAACTGTTAATCATAAAGGAGCTAAAAAACGTTTAAACCAAGATTTTTAATTTCAATCAATACATACTTTTACTGATTCTATCCTAACAAATTAAACCAACCATTAATTCTAACCTTTTAAACAGTATTACGAAAAGACTTTAAGATATTGTTACCTGAAGGAAGTAAAGAATTTTGTTAAAATAATTAGCAATCATAAAAATTCAAGCTACTTTGCAGTAGTACTTAGTCACAACTATTGCTTTAGCAATAACTCACAAAACTAAGGGTTGATATAATTAAATATTTAATAAAGACCTTCATTATGGTTAATTTATTTATTATATATGAAGTATTTAAAAGCTGAATATGATGATTCTTTAGTCTGGTTGATAATAAGAACAAAAATTTTTTATTTTTAGTAGTTGATAGTGTATTTATTGGGTTTTTAAATGTTTTTCTTTTTATTGTTAATTTTTAAAGTAAAAAAGCTTTACTTCTAATTTACAAATATTACTCAAATTTAATTAAATTATATTGATTACAAATTAAAAAAAAAATAGGTGGATGCAAGATAATTGTTATAATCAAATTAATCACTTAAAATAGAAATTAAAAGCAAACAAATACACCATTCATTTTTAACAATAAATCTTTTTGATTTAGTGGTTTTTATTGTAATCTAGCAAAAAATTAAAGTAAATAGATGATAATTGCTCATTTGTAAAATAAAAAGTTCTTCTGCTCTAATTATTTATATTAGTACAATTAAAAAGGATGATCTTAATAAAGTGATATTTGAATACTTGTAAATTCTACCACAAAAAATTTAAATATCAAATGAATTGATGTTTTCTGTAGTAACATTAATGAAAGAACTATTTATATTACATTAATATAAGCTGATTATAATAAAGATTTAATTATCATATCATATGCTAACAAAGGATCAAATAATTTAAAATTAATTAACTTTTAAGTTAATTTTATTAATAACGCTTATAAAATTGAATTTAAAATTGGAAGTAAGTAATACAAATTTGATTTTCTATTCAAAATAAATTAATTTATGATTCCTTATTTTTAAAAATTAAAAAAATCTTTATCTTTTTTAATTAATTAAGATTATTGATGACATTATGATAAATTTCACTCCAATTATCATTCATTTTTTGAAGCAATAGAATCTAATTTTTTAATTTCAAATTACATTTTTAAAATCCTTCAAAGATAATGTATTCATTCATACTTAAGATATAAAAAGATACTAATTTATTTAAAAGAATATTAGAACAAAAACAATAAGCAACTGTAATTTGTGTCCTTTAATTTATTCAACTCTCAAATTAATTAATATTAAATGCATTTATTTTTACATTTTTACAAGGTATAATTGACTCTTTTATCAAAATTATTGCTTAAAATAATTTTGAAAATAGATTTTTTTTAAGAATTTGTTTAGCTCTTTTTATATTTGTAACAGTGATTACAGAATATTTCTAATTTCAATGATAATATCAGAAAATATTCAAATACCTTTAATATTCTAATTTAACATTCAATTTTTTAATAGAATATTTTAAAATATATTTTGTGAAATCACTAACTTATTAATTTATTTTAATTTTTAATACATACTTTAATTCTTAAAAACTTATATCTTAAAGTTTTTATATTATTTAATTAGATTATCATCCTTAAATGCGAAATAATTAACTCATTTTATTATAATTTGTAAGTCTTTAAATTTTATTTATAATTTTTAAAGGAATATAACAAGTATTTAATAATTTATAAAATATTATTAATTGAAATATAAAATAAATACATGATAAATTTATTATATTTTTAGTTTTTAACATAAAATGTAATCCATCCTTTTTCAAAAAAGTTTATTTCTATCCATGAATTTTTAGAAATTTCAATAATCATTTTTTAAGGATATTACTTATTTTTTATGTTCTCCTTTTATTTGATTTTATTTATTAATTAGTTTTTTTTTATAGATTTGATAAATTGGAAGAAAAAAAGTTTCAAATAAGAAATTTATGAAAAATAAGAAATTGAAAATTAATAGTAATATAATGGCATAGAATCCTATATTTAAAAATTGTTCAACCTCTTATTAATTTAAAATGGTATTATTCTAGTTTTTAATTTTAAAATTGTTAAAAATTATCATAAGTACCCATATTATTGTTAATATGATATCTCCTACTGCTTTAATAATTGATTAAATTAAGTATTAGTATGGTCTTAGATTTATTGTTAATATTGCAGTAATTACATTAAAAATAATTCCAGTGCTACAGACGACATAAGGATAGTTTACCATTGAGTAAATTACAATCATAAGTATTATTTTTTTTAGATGATAAATAAAATGATAGTTTCTAATGAAGTAATTTTTGTTATATTTAGCTGTACTTATCCTTTCATAAAAGTGTTAGAAAAGTTCACCATAATTTTCAAAGTAACTTTGCTTATTGTAACACACAAAAAAGTAAATTGTATAACTTAAAAAGACTCCAAAAGTAAATAATCCTGAATAAAGTCCCCAGCGACTAAGCCATGATAACTGATCTATTTAAATAATTTAAATACAAATGCTTAAAACTATCATTAATAAATTGATTTCATTTTCTTTACTTATCCTCACAACTATTAATGTTTCGAGCTTCTTTAATTTGTTAGATTTATTAACAATTATGCCTTTTTTTTTCTTAAATTCAATTTTTTTTTTTAATATTTAAATAATGATGAGTGTAACTATCAGAAAAAGATATTTAAAGAATACTATTTAGCAATTAAATAAAAAGCTATTTCGAAATCCTAACCTATCAAAACAAATACTTCCAGAGCTTTTTAGAACATCATTAACATTGATTCCATCGAATTGTAAGTTTTGAGAAAGCTAGTTATCTTAATATTAAGGCATTTCTTTAAAGACAAAAGTTCCAAACAAAGATAAAAAAGCATAAAAGTTTACTGGAATGTTAATGTTGATTAATAGAAAGAGTGAGGTTGGTTAAATTGAATTTAAAAGGTAAAATAAGAATTAAAAAGATCCCAAAAATTAAACTATTGAAGTTGATTATGGTGTTATTTAATTTATAGCATTTATCATTTGTTTATCTCTATCTTCTAATACCATAAAATATGGTCCAATATTAAATTTAAAAGGATTTATTTAATAAAATGAGTCAACTATTTTTTTTTCATTAAAATTTCTAAAAACACTGCTTTATTTTAATACAAAAAAGGCTTCTGTTGCTTAGAAACTTTACAGAATATTGACTTCTATAATAAGCACACTATTACTTTATACTTAATATTGATTTATGTCATAATAGGACTCATTAGGAATTTAACTTATCTATAACTAAAACAAATTATTTATACCATATTTTTGTAAGATTTATTGCAAGTTATCAATTGGATATTAAAATTTAAGCTTAATTTAAAATTTCTAATAAGAATTAGTAATACTAAAATCTAACTTCATAAAGAAATAACAAGGATAATCAGGGTCAAATTCTAAAGCTGCCAAACTTCCATAGGGACATATACATTATCCGTCGTTTTTTAATTCTAGTCCTTGTTAACAGCTTAAGCAATTATTATTTAAAGGTCCATCACATGTATGACAGTTTGAAAAGCAATTCATACATTATTTTTTTTAATTATCATAATATTATCTTAAAGGACATTATAGACAGTTTTCTTAATTAATATTTGGGTCTTCATAAAAACCTTCTTAACAAATACAATTCGGTGGTTTTATTCTATTCCCTCTACAAGTTCCACAATTTTAAGGGAAATATAAACATGTTTGGCATTTAAAATCGCATTTCAATGGTCTACAGCTATTTGAAATATTTTCGGTTTATGTGTTTTCAAAATATGCTTAGTTACATCTGCAATCTGGTGTGTATATTCTATCTTAGCTACATAATGTGCAATTGCTACTACTTTCAATGCATTCACTGCATTATGGATCACAAACTTTTGAAAATTATTAAAATAAATATTTTTTATTATAATTCCTCGTTTTTAAAAACAACCCTTTTATTTTATTGTTAATAATAATTTTAATTTAAATTTTTGTTTGCCAAAAAATAAACGAGGAATCGATTATTTTGCATTTATAAATTTTACATTCACAAGTGTAATCTTGTTTCATATATTAATTGGTATACCAACACTAGCAATCTGGAGCTAATAGAGTTTAATTTTTACATATTATACAATTTTAAGCAGTACCAGAACAAGTTAAGCACTGAGGAGAACATTCTTTTTAATATAAAATTATATTTTGAATGAAAATTCTCTATTTATTATTTTGAAAAAGTGATATTGAAATTTTATTTGTATGCTATATATTTATTCTGGATAGAAACTTTGATGTTAAAATTTCTTACGTAGACACTTCATAAGTGAGAGATTTAGGTAAGTTCCATCTTAGCATTAACAATTATTACTAGCACTCAAACCATCACTTGAACATAAAATACATTACTTAATGTTAGTATAATCCATTTCCAAGCAATAAGGTATCACATTATGTGAATCTTAGCATCTCATTATAAATGGATTGTTATAGAGTACAGTTTAATAAAGTTTTCTATCATAATTACATTGATTTTATAAAATAGCCTTGCCATCTTTTATAGTATATCCTTATTTTGGAATTGCACATTCCATATTAACTTTAGTGATATACAAAAAACAAGGATCGCTGAGGTCATAATCAAGATAAAAAAATCCTCCAGAATAAATATTAAGATTATTAAAATAAAATACATCTGAAATAGGTCCAGTTTATACTAAACCTATTTGTATTATTGAGTTTAAATTTGTAAATTTTGAAATTACCGACTATGGAAAATTTAATTCTTCATATTTGTAATTAGCTATAATAGAAAACCTAGTATTTTAACTTTCTGCATTAAATTATATAACTATTTTTTAAAATTAAAATTGATTATGATATCTTTTTTTAATTTAATTTTAATCTTACATATTTAATTGATATAATTAATTCTTATAGATACATATGTAGCAGTTTAACAAATGAAGTTTAAACAGATTTTCAACTTAGCTCTGTTTAATTAAGAATTTATTTAATAGATGTTAAAGGCAATAACTTGAGTATTAGCTTAATCGAGAATTTAAAAAAAGGTATAACTGTTAGAATACATATTGCTAATTAATGGAAAAATCATAAACTCAATAGCGAATGGAGTGGTTAGATTTATTTATATTTAAGAATATGAATTACTTCTAGTAAGAATTCCTTTAAATTGGTTAAATCCAGTGTTTAAGACATAAAATTAAATTTTTTTTGTAGAATCTAATATATTTTAGATTATTAACTATGTTTAAAAAAGGTTAGAATTGTAGTCACTAAAATTAAAGTCTAGTATGTTTATCATTTAAGGAAAACTTAGATTCTGAAGAGTTTGAGGAAATAAATTCATAGTGTAATCTCCTTTTATTATTTATTTATTAAATATTTAAAATGAAATTAATTAAATCTATTAATTAATACTATATTACCATATAAAATGAAAATATTTTATTGTAGATTTCCACAGAGAGGATACGTTGTTGTTTAATAGAAAGAAATCACACCTCCAACAAACAAATCAGGATCTACTAACTAACTTAAGCCTTGTGATTTAACTTAATAAAATGATACTGGAGCACTTTACTGTTTTATTATTAAATTAAAATTGGAAAGATCTGTGAAAAGTCCAATCCAAGTATCTAAATTATAACTTATATAGGTTTATAATATTATTGAGTTTCTATAATGAAGTTCTAATTTAATATTACTACTATTTTGTAAAATTCCTAGTAAAGTAAATACATGTTTATTTTCATCTTACATAAATAAAATTGTATATGACTCACCAACACTGCTTGTTGGAGATGTTATTTTAAAGCCTAAACTTATAAAAAAAGAATTCGAAACTGTTCCAATTTTGAATGCATCACTTTTAATTAAATATTATTTCATGACTAGTGAATTTAGATTTGAGCAATTAATAATTTTATTAGGGAAATCTATTTTTAAGTTAATACGATTAGGAATTTTCATAAAGCTTGAGATACAAGATATTCCATCATCAAAGGCGTCTTATAATTAACATTTTCCTAGTTGAAATTTCATTTTAATAAATATATAATTAATTTTAAACTTAATCATACCTGTAACACTATCTCTCTAAGGAGGATTAATAATGTATTATGTACAAACATTTTATTATTCACATAGAATGCAATATTCAGGACATTCAGAGCATATGTTTTAATTTTAAAAAGTTCCAAGAGCGCATGTACACTACCCATCTGGCCTAAATCTCATCATTTAAACTGATTAATAGGCATTACAGGGAGTATTGTCAGTAAAATCACATACCTTCTATTATTATTTTATTTAATAATAGGATGGACAGGAGGCTTAATTAGTACATGTATTACTAGAAATTGAATTGATTGTTAGAGCTGTTGATTAACACAGAAGACAATTTTTCTAATTTATTATATCTGTTTAAGCCTAACAATCAAGACAGGGAGCAAAAAAAGATCCTTAAAACACTCTTACTGTTCTTTTTGAGTAATATAAATTAATTAATAAAATTTCAATGAAGATCTTTGCATAAAAAAAAATAAACTATTATTTTAATAAATTCTTTGCTTTTTAAAATAGAAAATAATAAAATATTCATTCATATTACTTTATGAAAAGTAATCTATAACAAGGCCCTGACACAGTCTACTGTTTATTTTAAATAGTAAAAAAGATTTATCCCACTTAACTTAAAGGATTAGGAACAGTACCAAATATTGGAATATTATTTAAAAATATTTATTTATATAAATATCTAAAACTAATGTTCAATATAATTGTTAATCTGTGCCAAGTATTTAAAGGAATATTAATACCAGCGTTGTTAATATTTCCTTTATAAGATTCTCTTAGAAGAAATTAACTTGAGTCATAGCTATCTGATAGAATTTCATAAAATGGAGTCTTACTAGAATTAATTTAAGACTCTAGCAAAAAAATAGTTGAAATTTAATTTAATTAGCCTCCACTAACTTTGAAATCTATTGAAATCATTATACCTTTTCTAGTATCAAATTCAAATTAACCAATAAACCAGGTTTCACTACATTACAAATTTAGAGTAAAATCTGAAAATGTTGATTATTTATTATACTTTGTATATCCAAAATAATTTATAGCTTAATTAAATTAATAAGGAGACCAAGATGAAGCAAATCCATAATTTACATAAAAAACTTGCTCAGCCAAAATTGATTATTCTTAACTTGTAATACCTTGACCTAAACTGTGAGATGTCTAGCCTATAATGAAGATTAGCTTAATTTTAAATATTGATTTATTATTCTTTGATTTAAAATACTATTTACTTATCTAACTAATGAACAAGCTGCTGAATAGGGGTAAATCGCTTATTAGCCAATAAAGATTTAAAAATTTTAATTGTCAAAATTTGATATGGGTGAAACTCCATTAAATACATTATATGGAGTAGTAGTTAAAATTAATCCAGATATTTCAGTATTTTTGTTGACAAACAAATAGTGAGTGTAGTAATTTGTTGAAGAATATTAGATGTCCATTGCTATTCTCAAAAAGAACCATGTATTTTACAAACTAGATAAATTTGATGCTGAGATATTTAAATCATTGCTAGGATTATAAGTGCCAAACAGAGTTGTTTTGATTTTTAGCTAAATAGGATTTATAGTAATAGTTATAATATGTTGATTATAATCATTTATTGCTGAGAAAAGCAAATAATCTTAGTCCATATTTCCCTAAAAATTATACCATCCTATCAAAGTAAACTATGATACCTAATTTGTTGTGCTTTATAAAACGTGTATTCCTTCAAATTTCTAGTTTTATTACCCAATTTGGCATCCAAAAAATGTTTACTTAGATATTAATATATAATTATTGCACAAATCTGAGCAAAGAAAGGCACCAAGTTACTGCATTATAAAAATGATACTAATTTTGTTTAGAAATTTTTTCATTCCAATCTTTAAATTTTAAGAATTTGATCAATTTTGTTTCTTTTATTTATTATTTTTAGTGTAAATTAAAGTTTGCGATTGTTTTATTATTCCAATTTTTCGCAATTAAATTTATTGTAAGTTAACCAGCTAATATCTAGCATTTAATTTTTAATCAAAAATTGATAAAAGAATTAAGTAAAAATGCTTATTTTTCTATACATCACTAATATACTTCCTGTAATACTTAATAACTAATCTCAAAAAGAAAAAAAAGCAATTTTGGCTAATAATTTATCTAAATATTAATAATTTATATTTAGATAAAAAATTCAAATTCCAAGCAACTCTACATCTATCAATAATGAGCCACAATTTATTTTATTTTAAATACAAATTAATTATATTTCAAATAATTTCTAAATGTTAATATTAATATAAAGGGTTCTCTTTATAAATTGTTTATTTGAAAAATATTTATTCTTTATTTCAATAAAGTGAATCAAATTTTTTAATTTAATCCTAAAAATGATATTACCAAAATCAAATTTTTATAAGAAAGCATTCAATATTCTTTTTATCAAATTTAAAATTAAATAATTAAGTTTTTAGTAAAATACAATTCACGAAGAAAATATACTTAACATTAGAGTAGATATTAATACAATAAAAAATAATAAATTTTAACGTTAAATTTACTTTAAATGTTGAATTTGAATACCAAATAATTTATTTCATTTTATAAATGAAAAATAAGAATTTTCAAAGAAGATAGATATTAAAATTGAGTTAAAAGCTTCAAAATTATCCATATATTTTGTTAAATCTAAACTTTATTAAAAAATGTTAAATGTAAAATAATATGATATATTTCACTTAAACAAAATAGTATGCAAATTATATCCATAAAATGAATCAATAATTAATTAGTTGAAAACTTCGTGGATTAATTCATTCTAATCCAATCAATTTAAAAATTTTTAAATAAAATTTGAATTAAACCTTTAAAAAAATTTGAAATAATTATTTGAGAAATTGCATTATTTCATTAAATAAATTAGTTATATCTCTTTAATTAAAAGTACAAATATATTCAAAAATTGTTGAATTGAAACACAATATAAATTACACAAATTTTAAAAATTGGTTTTTTAATGATTTATTAATTATTTAATCTTTGGAGAGTTTTTTTTAATAGACTAATTCATAAATTATTAAGTTTACTCAATCATTACTTTAATCATTACTTTGGAAATAATTTAATTTGTTTTCTAGGCTATTCATTTGTTTTGTTTTATTTATTTTAAAATTTTTTTTGAATGTATTGGTAAATAACAACAAATACATTTTCAAATAAGAAGTTTATTAAAAATAAAAAATTAAAGATCAGCAATGATATTATGGCAAAGAAACCTATGTCTAAAAATTTTTTTACTTCTTGCTAGCTTAAAAGAGTGTTTTTTGAGTTGCTAAATTTGAAGCTATTAAAAAATATCATAAATACCCAAACAATTGATAAAATGATATCTCCGATAGCTTTAACTATTGATTGAAATAAATATTAATAAGGCCTAAGCTTAATTGTCAATATAGCTGTGATCAAGTTAAAAACTATACCAGAACCACATACGAAATAAGGATAATTTACCATCGAGTATATTATAATCACTAACAATATTTTTTTTACATGGTAGATAAAATGATAGTTTCTTGTTAACTAACTTTTACTATGTTTATCCGTATATAGCCTTTCATAAAAATGCTGGAAAATTTCACTATAATTTTCAAAGTATTTTGAGTTATTGTATTATTTAATAAAATAAATAGAATAACTTAAAAATACTCCAAAAGTAAATATTCCTACATAATATCCCCATCGACTTAGCCATGAATACTGATCCACTTAACTTATTTGGATACAAAAACTTAAAACTATCATAAATAAATTTATTTCATTTTCTTTGCTTATTCTGACTATTAAAAATGTTTCAAATTTTCTTAGCTTGTTAGATTCATTAACATTGATACCTCCTTTTTTTTAATATTCAGTTTTCTTTTTAAATATTTATATCACTAGTATTATAATAGTTAGAAAAAGATATTTAAAGAATATTATTTAGCAATTAAATAAAAAACTATTTCTAAATCCTAATCTGTCAAAGATAATACTTCCTGAGCTCTTGAGCTAATCATCAACGTTTATTTCATAAAATGTTATGTTTTAAGAAAGCTAATTATTTTATTGTTAAGGCATTTCTTTAAAGACAAATGCTCCAAATAAAGATAAAAAAGCATAAAAGTTTGATGGAATGTTAATGTTAATTAATAGAAAGAGGGATGTAGGCTAAATAGAATTTAAAAGGTAAAATAAGAACTAAAAAGATCCCAAAAACTAAACTAATTAAGTAGACTCTGGTGTTAATTAGTTTAGTGTATTTATTATTTGTTTATCTCTATCTTCTAATACCAATAAATATGGTCCAATATTAAATTTAAAAGGATTTACTAAATAAATTGAATCAACTATTTTTTTTTAATTAAAATTACGAAAAAC